AAATAAAAATACCCATAATGAAATATAAATAACTATAGCCGTCTTCTTTATCAGTGGCGCTCTTATTAGACTAAAAATATTTCGTGACACTTATTTATCAAATAAATAATTGAAATGTACAGTCGTAAAAGGAAATGGCTAGTATCAAACAAAATACATAGATAATACATTAGACGGCTATGAAAAACATTTGGTTAATGTTTTGTTCCATCTATAATTTTCACTTTCACTTCCCTTTATCTGAAAATACTTATTTCTGCAAAGAAGAGGGTGGTAAGTGGAAGTTGTGTGATGCGTGCACCACACCAGGTTTTTTTATTCAAAATAATCAAAATATGCAACTATTTGCATTTATCATCAAATATGCAATATAAAATTTGACTAATTGCATCTGGGTACACTGATTTGTATAGATATTTGATCAGCTGTATAAAAACTGCATGCAAACAACATATGCAATTTCATATAAATCCAGGCCTTTGTAATAACTTATTTACTCGTCCCTTAAAATTACTTGATAAGCGAATACAGATTAAATACCAAATCTTATAACCAGGATGAGATCAATTAGCATTATTATGCTTAGCTACCAAATTTTCTTACCACCACTTGAAGATTTAGGTCTCTACATTTTTTAGGTTTAGATGGATTTTAGTGGGCTCTCTCTCCAAGAGAGTCACTAAACTCCTGGTGCAATATGACATTCATTGTCTATCTGTATTTGATTTTTGTATATGAGCGCAGGAGTTGGTGGTCCAGTGATACATTTGCCTTAAATACATAAAAGCAGGGGTGTCCATTAGCCCCCTCTCCCTCCCAAGATATTTTCTTGTTCATCTTTTCTTAAAAACAGAGCAAACGAAGGTAGAATTATACAATTACACTTTGCTGCGATCTGTTACATATTTCCCCTTATGCCTTAGTCCAAAAATTGTTAACCTCATCGAAATTTGCCCCCCTCAAAAATCCATTAAAATATGTCCTCAAAAATCTTGATGGGTAACTTGCGCCATGAAACTCCATTCTGGGCACCCCTGCATAAAAGTAAAATATTGATGGTTTAATGAATACTAGAATCTTTAGATTCGTTCATTCGTCGATTACATTGGAGAAAAATGAGTTGTTTCAAATAATTTTCTGAAATTATATATATGAACAGGTATCCTGAAAAGATGTTGATATTTCCTTAGATGTGAGTTTCTGTTCATTAAAAAAATTAAATGAAATTTCAAAGTTAAAAGTAATGGATGATGATAGAATCTATATTTAATTCACACAATTTGTATGGCACAGTAGCCAGTATGCAAGTTCTAAAAGTGGCCTACAAAAGGTCAGCTTGTGTAACAACTTATTTATTTTGTTGTTATTATTCTTTAGTGACCTTTACCGATACTCAAATAAATATTTTGCTTTTTATATTTGTATAACAAATTCTTTATTGAAACACCACATGACTTGATGAATGCTTCTTCAAATTTTATATTTAGGTCATTATTTCATGTAGTCGATTCACATTGGCATAATAAAAATAGTTTGAAAATAAAACATAATTAAACCAATTAAGTTAACTGAATAAATGTAATTAATTTTTTCTTTATTGTCCTGAAGTTTAGTAAATCAATAAATATTGTTAGATTATTATAGTATTTTATGTATGAATTATAGGATTTATTAAGTATCTTTACTTGGATATATTTTCTGTTAATGTAAATAAATTATTCCTGAAAGAGACAATTTAATATTTGTTTGGCTAAAATATAGTTGGCGTTGACATTGACCAAACGTTTGATGTTTGGTCACTGACCTTGAGATATAGCAATGCCAGACAAAAATCTAGTCACTTATTTCTTTCCAGTTTAAGTTGGACTGACAAATTAATTATTTAATATTTTCAGCCAAGAATATGAATTATTAAATCATGAAGGTGCCTAAAAATAGCGAAACAGCTTTGTTAAAGTTTCAAACTTGGAAGACTGATCTCTTTTAGAATATGCTAAAAAATAACCTTTTTAAAGTTTATTTAAAAAAACAATTACTATTGAGAAAATTTTGCATAAACTGGATAAATTATTACTTTTGGCCGACCTTTACTGCAATAGATGAATAGTTACTACCATGTTTGTTATTTATTGACACAATTGTGTGAATTGATTCTGATTACTTGTAATAATAAATAAATAAATTTGGTTGAAACTGTCATTTGTATACGGTATTATTTTATTTGTTAAAGCATATTTTAAGAAATTATAGAAAAAATTAGATAGAAATAGAATTAATGACATCCTCACCAAAACTCAGTATTACGTATAGGTAAACTATGTAGTAGTTAGCTATAAATTGACCAATCGTAATAAAATATTTATAATTGTGGGTTGATGGTTGACTGTAGTGAATAATTGAGGAGAAAGATGGTTGGGGTGATCAGTCAAAATAAAATAGTAAAAATAAATAATTGTATTTATTTTTACATTCGCCGACGTTTCAGCCCAAAGTTCGCCCTTCACCAGAGCTAAGAAAAGAAGAGAACAGAAAAGAATTCTTTTCTTTTCTTAGCCCTGATGAAGACCTGAACTTCAGGCCAAAATGTTGGCGATTGTAAAAATAAACACAATTATTTATTTTAACTGATCACCCCAACCATACTTCTCTTCTAAAATTATTTAATTTTTTTTGCTATTGCCTTTTAAAAAAAAAAAAACTGTTAACTTGGACATTAACAGAAGTTGGGAAGACTGCAAAGATATAATCAAAGTTATAATTTTCAAAACAAAGTTGGAAGATTATCGGTCTATATGGTGGGATGGATTAGTATAATTATTAATTGCTCAACTAGGTACTAAATACTTGATTTTAAGAAGCGACTAACCGGTTTTAAAGCTGTGTTGAACTTTGAAGTATTGCTAGATATAAATAATTCTCGATAGTGGATAATATTTGACTAACAGATATGTTGAAGAGAAGTTGGTTGTGGTTTTCATTTAGTAAAAATCAGGGCTTGAAATGAATAATTATTTTTCCACAAAATCATGTAATTAATATTATATATGATTTTTGGTTTAAAAATCGTGCCTGATTTATCAATAAAAAATTAAATTGATCTCTGATGTTTATTGATTCAATTAAAAATAATGATCAATCACTGAGTGATATGGTTTTACATAAATAATAATGATTAAATTGTGATAAAAAAGAGTTTGAGAAAAAAATTAAAATCACCTTAAACACACAAATTAAATAAATTATATTAAATAAGATGTTTCAACTGCCTCCCGCAGTGCTACATCCTACGCCCTGAAGACAACCTGAAAAGTGGGTCGAAACATTGACAAAAATTAAAATAATTACTATATTTTAATTTAGTATTTATTTGACCGCACCCTCCGATTAACTCCTCATATATAAAATATAAATATTTATGTATAGCTTATTAATGTACACATTTTTTAATATGTTTCTACAATCATTTTAATTATGCATGCGGTACCTACACAATATATATTTGTTTTTGTTTTTTGCAAACCAAAATTTCTAATGAATTTTGGAAATAAAGATGTTCTGTTGCTAATAGTTGACAACAATATTCTCCACAATTCAAAATATATCAAAGGGATTAAAAAAATTATATTTCTATTTAAAAATTATGATCAGGATATGATTTTAATCACTCATGATCAACAATAAAAATCATCAAATGATTTTTAAAAATTTTGAGCAGATTTGATTTTGATTTGTTTAATTATCGATTTCCAACCCCCTTGGAAAATAGGAAACAATAATAATAATATGCAGGTAAAATATGTAGTTATATAACTGGTAGGTAGTTGGGACTTGTGAAGTATTAGGCAAACTTATTTAGAAGAAGTTATAAAGTGATGAAGTAAGCTGTAATGAAATAATGGTAACATATGGTAAATATAAAATAACGGTTATCTTGTAAAGTGACAATGTTATCTTGTCTTTGCTTAGCTCTGATAAAGGCCTGAAACTTGGCCGAAACGTTGATACAAAAGGAAATAAAATTAAATATAATTTATTTATTTTTACTTTGTATTTACATTGCCTGAAAACCCCAACCTATTTCTCTTTTATAAATAATTATGTGAACTTACAAAGAATAAAAAGTCTAATTGAAGAAATTCTCAAAAACATTCTTAAAATGAGGATATAATAAACTAATTGGAATGGAATAAGTATGAACATTATTAAGAACCTTTGGGCAGACTTTTGATTAAGAATTCATTCATTATTAACTTACACCAAGAATAAGTGTAAATAATTAAATATTTATTTAAAGATTTTAGTATCTTCATTAAAAATTAGAGGAATAAAGATTGCTCATGCTATATGACTCTTCTACAAGATTTTAATTTTATTAATTGGTTTTTCTTTTAAGAAAAAAAATAAAATGAAATATTACAAATCTTATGAAGTTATATTATTAATACATTAATCAAGAATTATAAAAGTTTTATTTAAATAATGGTGAAGGGTAGAAATCTGTGTATAAACGATAGATAAAACTAATACTTGACTAAATAGCATGAATGAGCTGGCTTTATTTATAATTGTAGTTTCAATATGAGTCATTAATATTTTATTTTTGTACTTATAATAATAATAATAAAAATATAAATAAAAATATAATAAATATAATATAATAAAAATATAAACATGGACTGCTAATGATTCTCCTATGTTTTTAATCATCATTATTTATTTTCTGGGTGATTGACTTATAAAGATATTACTGTAATTACGTTTCTTTTTCTAGGATATTCAAATACTTTGAATATTTCATAAATGATTAAAACAAACAGCTTCCATATTTAGGTATTCATTTTCTGTTCCGAATTATCTTGTAGTTCATATAGTTATTGGGTTTTATTATCAAATATTAATTTCCCAAAATGTGTACGTCGACCTTGACGACAGTAGTTCAGTGTCTGAATGTATATATTAATTCTATGTTTTTCCCACTAGAATTGTTCAGACTGGGTAAAATGGAAAAGCATCCTTTAAAAGGGAATGCCTCAATACCTATGAACACGCCTGCATCTTATCAAGCTGTTGGTAATAAGGTAGGAAGTAGCGCATGCCCTCTATATTAACATTATTAGTTAGTAAGTGTTAAATCAATACTAAACATTTCCAGTATTAGCTTTGCTTACACCAATTTAGGAATATGTGCACCTGTAAAATAATTAAGCTGTCTCTCATTATTCCTGGTTATCCTTTGTGTTTATGTTGATTTTTGTATGTTGTATGTTCTTAGAAGTGATGTTTGTATGTAATCTATGTTTTTAATGTTATGCTAGTTATTTGTCTTATTAAATGTTGAACCAATTTAAGTTAAAAACTTTTAATTTTTTAAAGGGATAATGACATTTAGTGATTTTATTTATTCTGTTATAAATAACGGACATCCTTCTATGATATAATTTTCTTTTTAGATTGTAATGTTACATGTAACATTAATTTCTTATGTATAACGAAATCATAAGTTTTAGCTATACTTACAAGGAATTTGTGTTTATATAATATCATTGTTTAATGATAAACATTTAATTGATTGATATAATTTGGTAATTAATTAATTGTTGAGTTTATGAATTTATATGATCATGTTAAAGGTAAAATTTATCAAGTTACATTTTTGCTATTCACCTATGGCTGGACCATAATTCATGCTTCAGTATTAAATTGGATGATTTACTAAATAATAATAATAAAATAATAAATAAATAAAAAGATATTTTCAAAATTGTTACTTGATTGTTATTAACTTAAATCCGATAATATTTACATAAACTTAGTAGTTATTATACACCTAGTCACATACATATATATACTTAAATGAATACATACAGAGACATTAGTAGATAATAGATAGTGATTGAAATCCAAATATTATAAGTACAGACCACAGAGCAGTTTTAAGAATACTTCTGAAGTTTCTAGAAATAAATTAGATAAAAATTAGCCTAGGCAAATAGTTTGGAAAATAGAACTAATGTGTTATCTGTTTAGAATCCAGTAGTGTTTGGCAAAGGTGAGATGTTATCAGCTAGTAATCACTTGTTTTTATTGGGGATGAATAATATTATAGCTATTTCTATAAATATTAAAGACCATCACATTTAATCTCAAATTTGATAACATTCCAACTAAATGTACTATCAAATGAGAAATCGTTTTTTGTCCGTTAGTAGTCATCGTACATTTAGCATCTTTCTTTTTATATTTTATTTTATTCATTGCTAAAATTATGTTGGCTTAAATATTTGAAAACAAATTGATAAAAATACGAAACTATTTAGGTATCAAATGGTGAACAAAACAGAACAACTTCTTTAAGCTCTGATGAAGGAATGATTGATATAGCTACAACTGGAAACATGGATGAAAGAATAATTCAAGATGAAATAGGAACTGTACAATGTAAGTCTCTTTATTTCATTTTAATAAAAAAAAGGTGGTGTTTTTAAATATAATAAAATTTAAAAATAATATGCCATATTCTGAAATTCTCTAAAAGGAGATCACTAACAAAGCATGTGTATTTCATGGGTTTAATGAAAAAAGTCCTTAAGTAACATTTAAAAAAATTAAATCACTACGTATTTTGATGTATTTTTCCTTTGTGAAATCAAAACATTGTTAACTTACTGTAACTATTAACGACATATATAAATGAGTTTGTGTTAATTTATTCCAGTTAATAACTTTTTCCATCAATAAATATTATTGAAAAGTTTAGCTTTATCAAAAATGTTATTAGTGACTTTTTTCAATAAACTAATGATTTTCATCTCAGTTTATTGTTATACCTAGGGGTATTAATTTTAATTTTTCTGGTGAAGGTATCGTTGAAGTCTTATAAATTTGTCCTTGTTTTATGTTATTTGTCCTTTATATTTAAATTATTTCAATTTTAAAACAGATAAATTATCTTTTTTAATTATATTTTGTTTAGAAGAAATTCATCGTTCTTAAACCCTTTGATATGTTACTTTTTCATTTCAAAAGCTTAACAAATATCTCAATTCTTTCTATTTAAAAGTAGATAAAGTATATTTAATTATTATATTTTGTTTAGAAGAAAATATTGTAAATAACCCTGTAAGTTGTAGTAATGTTAGTGGAACACTAGTTGGACCTTATTTTTATTACATGTATATATTTATAACAAATTCCAAAGATAGCTTTACATAATTGTTTATCATTTCTTTTATCTTTATAACCTTCTGCTTTTTTTTCCCTTCCCAACATAACAAACACTGATGGCTTCTAACTAACATCTTGATACCCTTGGCTTTTAAAGGTGGTGTTTCTTTTGCCGGGATGCAAGGTAAGTTTTGAGTGTTTATTTATTATTTTTTTGATGCATTATTAATTAATACATATATTAAAAAAGAAATAATTCTGTTTAGTTGTGGTGTTCATAATAATGTAATTTTAATTTCCTCTTTATATCCTGCCTTTATATATTGTTGTTATTTTATGTACAAATGTAAAATTGTCACTGGCTTGACAATCGTATAGTAATATTTTTTTTTTTTTTTTTCAAAAACTTGCTAAGAAACATTTTGCTTCACAATAAGGGCTTTTGTTTTGCATATTTAGTATTTCTGCTTTTTATGTGATTTTTCTTTTTTTTTTTTTGTAATTGTAGCATAGTTTAGTTTCATATTTTGCAAATATGATTAGGTTATATATCTGTGGCATTCATGCAAAATTGAATCAGTCATGATCATCAATATATCTTCGAAATCATTAAAAGATTAACATCAATACAATTTTCTAAAAATTTCTAATTTAATAAATTTGAATTTTTTATTTATTTAATTCAAGTAGTTTTTAAATACTGCCATAGTAATTTTTGTGTTGATTTGTGTAATCTTAATCAATATAAATAAATTAATATAAATTTCTCTATATTTTGCTCTGACATGTTTTTTCTATTTAATAAAATTCTTCATGATCTACCTTTTAAAAGTAAATAAAAAAATGAATAGAATTTTTTTTTTTAATCTTTTATTGAGATATTACAATCTGTCACATTCAAGGACAATAGTAATAGTGATATTATAGAGTAGCTCATTCATACCGTACAATAAATAAAAATAATAAATGGCAATATAATAATACTAAAGTAAATTGTATATAAACTAAAACATTAAACTAAATAAAAATAAACCAATCTAACAAAATAAATATTTAAATTCACACATGCTTTTATACAATATTCAGTCATTCAAGATCTCCGAGCCAAGCCCTCTAGGAGATCCCAGCGTCTTTCACTCAGCCGCATCAATTGTATTACCAATGGAGGCTGAGCAGAGTAATAGGAATTAAAATATTTGTTTTGTTTTTTTGTTGATACATTATATCTCCCTTAAACTTCATCAAAACCAATATTTGAGTAACAATTTTTGTAGGTTGCCTTCACCACTAAAGTGATGGACATAGCTAAGGAACTTTTTGTATTTTTTGGCTTATGCCACTGTAATTATTATAGATATAAACTTCTCCGTTGGACATTTAGGATCTCCTTTTTCCATTTAGCACTTTAAAATTGAAAAAAATAAACAGTTATGCAGTTTTATCTCAATTTTAGAAAAACACCTTTTTGCACTAGTGATGGACTTCAATTGTTCTAATAATGGACAGGGGGTCGGTACCAGTAATGAACGTACCTCAAAAAAATTCTAAATTTTTATTTAGCTATAAAGAAAAAGATAAAAATAAGATAACAAACATGTTCAACTTACTCTTAGCAAAACTGTTAGTAGGAAGGTATGAAACACACTTGTAGGCATTTTAAAACGTTCTTTTGGGAACTTTGTTCATACAGTTGTCAGTAGAGGGCATTGTTCTTCAATCTAGGAAAAACTGGAACCTTTTAATCAATAAGGAAGCTTATTATTTACATTTAAAGTCCAATCTGTCCATAACTGGTGTGTTCATCCTGATGACTTAAAATAAACAATTCAAAATTAAGTTTTCTTTTAAAATTTGGATTAAATGAGTTTTTATGGTCTTTGCTGTTTATATACCCATGGTCAAATGGTTATAAAATACTTTTTAAATTAAATAATAACTGATAATTGACTAGATTACAAAGTTGCATTATCACTTATATTATTAATATTTTTTATTCAGATTCGACAGATGAAATCCCAGGCATTGGTCAATATGATGACTTCCACACCATTGATTGGCAACGGGATATTGCCCGTGACCGGATGCGTCACAGATACATTGTTAAGAAGAGGTCTAACTCCATTTTAGATCTAGTCCGTGGAGCACACGATGCCTGGTCGGGTTGGTTATGTGTGCTTTTGGTCGGTCTGGTGACGGGAATGGTCGCTGGTATCATAGATATTGGTGCGTCTTGGATGTCCGACCTGAAGTATGGCCTATGTCCTCAAGCGTTTTGGCTCAATCAGGAACAGTGCTGTTGGTCATTTAATGAGACATCAGTGGATGACAAGGGGAACTGTTCACAAGTGAGTACTTTTTTTTTAATGTACTTCTATTTTCTGATACTAGATGTTCTTTTACTTTTTTGTGTCAGTGATTTTTAATGCCAAAAATCCAAATCCAAATCGGGTTAAGGAATAATTAAGACAGACTTACATTATCAATTCAATACAGATCCATTTATTTCCAAATATTTATATAAAGAATCCTAATCTATTATATTTCTCAAATTGGCTGATTTATGTCTTTGATATGAAACCACACTCATATAAATAAATCAATAAGAATGTATGAATTTTGAACTGAGTTAAGACTGGCTTGACTGTTGGTAAAAAAAAAAAAAATGGTGTAAAACTATTACAATTTTTATACCAGAGGTATTTGAGATTCCTTCTAAAATTTAAAACTTCTAATATTTAAGTGGACTGTATAAAGGAAATAATAATTTTTAAAAAGAAAAATGTGTTCTGTACTTCTAGAAAACAAAAAGAAATGAAATAAAATAACTCATAGATACAAAAAAAATTTAAATAAATCTTCAGTTTGATGTTGTTATCTGATTAAAGTGTTTGTATTCACCCTGTTGTATGCAGCCTAGTGCGAAAAGAGCCATCGATGAATAAAGAAATTGTGGCTAAGGGCAACTGTCCTGTGAAGATAAAATGTCTTGCAGGAGCATAGTAGGAGGTGGGCGCTTCTGGGTACGAGAAAGAGTTCTTTCTCAGAGCTCATCCTGTTGCAGAATGAATGTCTTGTAAATAACCTACTGAAAGTTAATTTTAAATGATTTGTTTTGGCGGGAATAGGCGAATAGCCTTCCGTTTATATATCGGGGAACTTAGGTTATTTACACTCCAGAATATTAAAACAAATCCCCGGCACTGGATATAGACTTTTTTTTTGAGGGTGTTTAACTGTGATTGGGAATTCGGGAATCGCATACCTTTCGTGACACTGAGTGAGAAGAAACAATAAGAATATATATTTGAAATGTGGGACTGAGTAAATACACTTTGAATGAATTGACTCACCTGGTTTCTTATTCTTCAATCGTGAGGCATATAGGACAACTTAATAAAATGATTTTCACTCCTGTATAATAAAACAATTTATTTTATAACTGTAATAAATTAATATAAAAGTCTTATAACTGTAGGCTTGATATTCTTAGTCTTCAATGTAGTAGGCCTCTCTTCCCAGATGACTTCCTCTCGCTTCCGTCCTTTTGCCTCAAGTGCCTGGACGTCCTCTTCCAGCTGCTGCTACCTGATCGGACCTTTTTCCTTCTTTATCGATATGAGATTTTCCAATGAACAATTTGTCCTTACGTACAATTCACAGTGCAACCTCACATTTCTATATATTATATATTCCTTCTCATTCCCTCACACATTGTCATCTAAAGGAGTAAATACAGGGGGATGTCTACTACAGTCTGTGCGCTCATCTAGCTGTTTTTTTTTTTTTTTTATGTGTTTGAACTTTGAAAGGGCTAAGCTTAGCCGTAATACTTTGTACATCATCATTTACAGATAACGACATATACAATACTCCCTTAACTTAAATAATTTAATTATAAACTAATTATTAATTTATTGGAATGGTATTTGGTCCTGAGCAAGAGGTAAATGATAGTAATTTGAAAATTATTTTTAACAGTGGATGATGTGGTCTGAATTAATCACCAATAGTAGGACTGGAGTTGGAGCTTACATCATCTCCTATATGTTTTTCATAGCTTGGGCGTTGCTATTTGCGTCTCTTGCCGCTGGTCTTGTTCGTATGTTTGCTCCATACGCTTGTGGCTCTGGTATTCCTGAGGTAATATATATTATCCGTATATTTTTAATGTTCTATCATCTTTCCCATCAATTTAATTCATTAATAATCGATTTATTTAATTTTAGATTAAAACAATTTTAAGTGGTTTCATTATTCGAGGCTACCTCGGAAAATGGACGCTGATAATCAAATCAGTCGGTATAATGTTATCCGTATCGGCAGGACTAAGTTTAGGAAAGGAAGGTCCAATGGTGCACATAGCCTCTTGTATCGGTAAGTTTTACAGACAATACTCACCTCATTATACTCTTGGCGTTGATTATAGGAATTGACTGTACATTCTGTAACGTAAAGTTTATTAAGTTGCCAGAAGCTTTATAACCTAACCTAAACCTAATATTAAAGTATTAGTGGTCTTTTGTTGGAATCAAAAAGATTATTTGGGTTTTTCCTGTTAGAGATAACACCTGGCCCTCAAAGCATCAAAATGTACTTATTTTGAGGAACCAAAGATTATTGAAATTTATTCTTGAAGTAAAACTTTTAACAAACTAATTAGAAATCTGTTTAATCCAAGATAATTGGAAAAATTATAGTTTATAAAATCTTTTATGTCACCTTCAGTTTAATTAAAGTGTGAAAAATAAATCCTCTTTTGTTAAACTTATTTTTAATAAATTCAATAACTCAAGAAAAGATACAGATTGATCTTTCAAGCATTATCTAACTAAAATCAGTATTATATATGTATAAACGACTTTATTACAACATACAACACTCTAAGGTCATATACCGTGGCTTAATAAGCCCTGCTGCCATTGCCTCAGATATATCTTCTATCCATCTCTTTGCCGGTTGATCTCTCTTCTTTCTTTCCAATGATTCAGTATCCTTTTAAGCCATCAGCTGTCCATCATTCTCATAACATGCCCAAAACAACTCAGCTTTATTGTCTCAATAGAGTAGAAGAAGAAGAAGAAAAATAAATTTTATTTTGTACTTATAAATAAACTTTATTTATATAAAGTGCATGATGTTTAGGGGTTCTTTCATGTTTTCTTAATGACATTATTTGATAAATTTTGTAGTCTAGATATTCTACAACTACATCTCTAAAAATCCATTTCCATTGATAACAGTTTGCTGAGACGGTTGAAATAATCCAGTTTTTTGAGGCATATAACAACAAATGAATGATAGAGTTCTGTCCTTATTCAATAGAACAGAATTTCAATTCTTTTTGACCTTTGTATCTGTGATAACTTTTTCATCAATGTCTTTTTTGTTGCTCCCCTTCTAAAAATCAGTACTAAATATCTGATAATATAGATAATTGGAAACAGTCAAATTGTCTTAATTAAATCAATTGACCAGTCACCGTTTCTCTTTAATATGATTGATTCCCTGGAAGTACTTGGATGAAGATAGAGCTGAATAAAATTGAGCAAGGATATTCAGATTTATATTGAAACTTCATATTTTTATATGATAATTCTGAAAATATCGACTATATAATCCTGCTATTTCTTAGTTAGAGAGTAGAGAGTCACTTTTTGCGACCTGATGTCATGTCTTAATATCGCTTTGCATTATAATAAACTTGTGACCCTTAGTTCACAATGCAACCCTTATGGAAAAGCAGTATCCCTCCGACATAGTAGTGATTTGTAAAACTTACCAAAGCACTCTACAACCTAGACATTATTCTAATTTATATTGATTTTCCCTAATTATCTTATAAGGCTCTACGGCAGTAATGGTCTTTTTACAGTTATAGTTTTGTGCCTTTTACTGTGCTAATATCTGATTAGAACAAAAGCTTCTGCAAATCTGTTATTCATTGAAAATTTTGGAATCTTAATTGATATTTTGTGAGTTTGTTTGTTACTTGAACCAGGATATAGATAGAAAATTTGTTATAAATAGTCATATTTATTTTCTTATTTCAGGAAATATCTTATCGTACCTTTTTCCAAAATATGGTCGTAATGAGGCTAAGAAAAGAGAAATCCTGTCAGCTGCTGCTGCCGCGGGTGTTTCTGTTGCTTTCGGAGCACCCATCGGAGGCGTTCTTTTCAGTTTAGAGGAGGTACAGTTTTTGAATTTTTATTCCACAAGTAAATGAAATGATTTATTTTGGGAACTTTGTTATTTTTGTTTAAGTTTAATGTAATTTCTTTGCCTGAGGTTTATCTAAATTAATAAGCCTTTTTTTATGTATTTATAGGTCAGCTATTATTTTCCATTAAAAACTCTTTGGAGATCTTTTTTCTGTGCTCTTGTTGCTGCGTTCGTTCTCCGATCAATAAATCCATTTGGGAATGAACATTCAGTATTATTTTATGTCGAATACAATAAACCATGGGTTTTTATTGAACTTGTACCATTCGTTGGATTGGGAATAATTGGTGTAAGTATTCAGCACGTAAGATTTCTTTTTGTTTGTATATTCCATTTTTTTTTTAATACTAATTTATTTATAAACACGCAGGGTGCAATTGCTACCGTTTTCATCAAGGCTAACATTTGGTGGTGTAGGTACAGAAAGACTTCTCGGTTGGGCCAGTACCCCGTGACGGAGGTTCTTGTCGTAACCGCTATCACTGCGGTCATTGCCTACCCTAATCCATTTACCAGAATGAGTACCAGCCAGCTCATCTACTTGCTCTTCAGCCAGTGTGGTGTTTCAGCTGCTGATGGCCTATGGTGAGATTATAAATAGAACATTGTTATGGAATGCTACAGATGTATTTATTATTTATTTTTAATTATTAAGAGGTCATGATGGCGGAAGGATAGGTATCTGGATTGGGCCAGATCTGAAACATTAAGGGCATTATGGATGGTTTTATTTGTAATAAAGTAAGGAGCATTGAGGATTTTATGAAAGATTTTGGATTGTAAGGATTGGATATGAGAGGAATTCGATGGTTTAGTGGAGCCTCATAGCTCAACTCCGTATTTATAATCGATTTGCGATCCATTTGATGAACCTCAAACTAATATTTTGTAAAAAGTAATACAAAGATTAAAAAAAAAAAAAATACTGTTTTTAAAAAAAATAGCTGTGAAACTGGCAGCGTTCTCCTTCAGTTAACCAACGAATGGAATTCAAAGGTTTAGCAAACAGTGCATGATAATTATTATGACACTGCTGACATATTCAATGGCTGACATATCTATGGACATATTAATTTTTAAAAATAAACTAATGAACTTGTTAACAGTAATTCTGTCTATTGATAAATGTCCATTAAAACATTTTTCAATCTTAAAATGTAGAGTCTGATCGAGCATTAACTTTAAAAAAATTGTGTTTCACCTCGTTGAATATGTCAGCAGTGTCATAATAATTCTCATGCACTGTTTGCTAAACCTTTGAATTCCATTCGTTGGTTAACTGAAGGAGAACGCTGCCAGTTTCACAGCTAATTTTTTTAAAAACAGTATTTTTTTTTTTAATCTTTGTATTACTTTTTACAAAATATTAGTTTGAGGTTCATCAAATGGATCGCAAATCGATTATAAATATTCATTAGTCTTTTTGAGTAAAACCTGCCTTAAACCTGATAGCGGAATATTCAGGACTACTGATTTTGTCATTATATATTATACGTATCTTTCATGTATAAGAAATAAGTTTATTTATAAATTAATTTTTATTATTTGTTTCTCCAGACATATTGGTCAGGGAAAACTATCTTTAAATAGAGAAACGTCAGAGAATTTTACTTTAACTACCTGGTAGCCACTCTGGTTAAATAGGTGTATAAAATGATAGGGAAAACAAAATACATGTGCTACAAAACTAATAAAAATTATGATTTAAAAAATGTACATTATTATTTGTTTATCATTAATGTTTGTTTTGTTTGTTGTAGTAATTATGATAACAGCCCTGATGATCCTGGCGTCTACACAGCTGTATGGCTACTAGTTTTAGCTCTGCTCTTTAAGCTTATAACTACAATTTTTACATTTGGTATGAAGGTACCTTGTGGTTTGTTTATTCCATCGCTTTGCCTTGGTGGCATTGTGGGCAGAATCGTCGGCATTGGGATGCAACAACTTGCGGTCGCTTATCCACACATCTTCATTTTTGCAACGGAGTGTGCCTCAGGGGAAGATTGTATTACACCAGGATTGTATGCAATGGTTGGGGCCGCTGCAGTTTTAGGAGGTGTTACACGAATGACAGGTAAATAATTGTCAGTTCGTTTATTAATTCTACTCTTCTTAGTTCAATTTCTAAATAATTATATAACTAATAATGTTAACCATTAACCCTGCGTTTGTAGCAGCTGAACTAATGGCTGCCATAAAATTGTTATTCAAATATTCTTACGATATATGTATAGATATAAACAATATAGATTTTAGTTTATGAATGAGGTTAAATTTATATTTTTTTTTTTTTTTTTTTTCCTGAGTTATCATTTAACCAAAATTTGTTTACAGATAATGCAATTCACAGAGTGTTAATATCAATAGGAATTGTATCATTGTCCATAACAGAATGGATATATTCATTCAAATAGTTGATTACATTTTATTTCTTTTAAAGTATGAACATTTTTACATATTAAAGAAACTTATATATAATAAACTGAATGTAAGGTATTGAATTAGGTAAAGGTTTCAGAGAATAGAAGTTTAATTTCTCTAATACTTTATAATATGATATGTGTAATATTTAAAGAGTAAGGAGAAATATTAGGTGTTGCTAAAAATAATATAATTAAAAATGGATGAACATATGCTTATTTCTAAAAAAAAATGTGAATATTTTGTTTTATTGTAAAATCAACCCTCATCTTAATCCAGCTAATTGCACAGTGGATTTGGATATACCAAGGGTATTGGTCTGGTTTCAATCTCTGATTAGTCTAAAATAGTGTAAAAAAACACTACAACCCATAAAGGATTTTGGGTTCAGTACTTTGTTAGAAAGTACTATTTTAAGGCCAACAGTTGTGCAGGAAGGTGATCAGGCTAGGATCATGCTCAACCTCCAGGTTTTTCCCCTTTGATTAATTATTTAATTAATAGTACCTCATATATAGAGGCTGGGTATGCTCCAGGAGAGTCTCCCCTCTCCAGGGTTGATCCATGACCGATGAAAATTACTTGACATCAGCTGGATTTGGACTTGGGACCTTGAGTCCAGTAGCCCAGTGCCTAACTCACTGAGCTACTTTGCTCACTCTAAAATATCTGGATTGTTGCCTACATTTTGTTCTGTTGGTGCGAGGAATTTAGACTCCATGCAAGATATATATCTGAGCATGCCTATAATGACTCCTTTGTAAAAAGTAAATGTTGCTGGCTATCTGAGACTCGATAAGGCTACTCAATAGGACTGAGTCCATTTAGAGCTAGGGTCACCCTACTTTTCATGTAGTCCAAGTGAGGCGTAACATTTTCACTTTTTTCCAATCCTTATGCCAAGGAAATATTTGTAAATAAAAAAAATACATAGACATGTGAGAGCAGTGATTTTTTTTTTTTTTTTTTTTTTTTTGGGTCCTTCCCTTCCTCGCCGTTAAGGCTATACGGGATTTTCCCGGGCCAGGGAGTGTGGGCGGGGATTTAAAAGACTCCCCCGGCACCGGGACGCGAACTCGTGACTATTTTTATATCTTTGTATTCATATGTCAGGTTGCCAGGCAATGGCGGTGCAGTGCACACGCTTTAGCCCATTCGGCTACCCCGCCCACCGAGAGAGAGCAGTGATTTAAGCATTTAGCGCAAAAACCTGAAACCTCGGAAGATAACTGAAAAATATTACAAGTTACATATCAAAATTTCAAACTTCTTTTCCCTCTGGTATCGTCATTTTAAAACAACAGTTGATTTTGATGAAATTCGTAATATTGGTTTTCAGCTAATTTATTCTTGTGAGGATGATTTATTTCTTTATTAAATTAAATAAAACTTATTTCCAAATTGTATATTAAGTAATTTGAATTTTAACTGCAATTTTTTTTCTTATATATTCAAGAAATAATTATAACGGTTTTCTAATTAATAAGAAGATTTTAATGAATGAGTGAAAAAAGTAAATTCACTGTCTACCAACTGCTTCCTGCAGTGCCTGATACCACACCCTGATGAAGACCTACAATGTGGGTCGATACGTCGGTGTAACTAATAAAATACTATTCTAGTTTATTGTATTTATTTGACCGCACCCTCGACCAACTCCTCATACATAATCACGGTCAATCATCTCTACACCATGAAAAAAGTAAATGTTACCAATTTTTTTTTATCGGTACAAGTTAAATAATCTTTTATGATCTTTGTTTATATCATTTAAATAAATGAAAAAATATTTCTTGTTCGCTTTGTGCATTACTGTTGCATTATTTATAAAAGAATTTTCGTATTACAGCCCTTAGCAATGATGAGTGTATCTATGGGATGCACGCAACATCTGGTACTTCTTTTTCGACTGCGACTTCCGCAGGGTTAATTTAGGTAGCTTTTCATTAATTTGTTTTATGTTATTCATTAATTAATTTTGGTATGATACTTTGTTTTACCTTTGAATACTAGAAAAAGTAAGTTCATGAATTTATTTATTTTTAAATTGAAATAATGACCAATTTTCAGTGTCATTGGTGGTTATTATGTTTGAACTGACCGGCGGTGTGCGTTATATCGTGCCTCTGATGGCTGCAGCGATGGCTTCGAAATGGGTCGGCGATGCTCTCGGCAAGCAGGGGATATACGATGCTCACATTAACCTCAACGGATATCCCTTCCTCGATTCCAAGGAAGAATTCGCTCATACCTCTCTTGCTGCAGATGTAATGCAACCAAAGTTAGTACAGTGGTTTCTTTATATATTCACTTCTTTCTAACTTTTGAAAGTTTTGCTTAATATATTTTTTGTGTTGTTTGATTTACAGAAATCAGAAAAAAATATGTTTTTTATCCCATGAAATATTGGATTTTAACATGATATCTGTAACAGCGAAACGAGAAGAAACAACCTAAATTTTAAATTTATATTGATAGGAACCTAGAAGAGTGATATTGTTATAATTATTCAATTATTACAAATATCAAGCAGTAAAATGATTTTTACGCATACTTTCGAGATAGAGTTAATAAAGTAAACAAGAGTTTTGTCTAAATGAAACGGCTCGTTGTTGCATTTAATTAATCTGCTTATATATATGTATTACCACTACATATATAAACACCATTCAAACACAAAAAAAAATTTTTGAAACATATAATGTATACTGAGTCGCTGATTTTATTGCATAAGAAAATGCCTGATCCTCCAAATTCCTTAAAAGTACCAGGCTCCGTTAGTCGACATTGCATCCATTCGCCCACTCCAAGCAAGTATTAAATGCCTTAATGGCGTTTCTATGCCTCATCTATAATGAAAAATAAAATGAGTGTAAACAATTTTTCCTGTAAAAGAAAAAAGTATTCCACACCTGCTATTGAAATTATCAAACTCACTTTTATTAGCATTAAAATTTGTTTTGACATCCTTCTCAAAAAAAAATTTTAAAGCAAAACTTTGACTTTTTAGCTAATATTTCCTTGGAAATCGGGGTTTGTCTCTCAATCTCTGTGTCCAATATTTATATCTTAACTTCTGGATGACCGCCTAGTTTTAATGTTTTCCATTTAGAGACACCATAATAAAATTTCGACACTGCCACATGAAACAATTTGAATAATTTACATTACTGAGAAACAGACCCATTTCTGTTATATCTGTTGTCAATCAATTTTTATTTTTTTTCCTTTCTTGTTTCGATTACTAGCGATTCAGATTATTGACACTGTCCTGTAATATGTCATACAGATATGATTATTTTTTTTGAAATAACAAATTGATATAAAGTAGATATTATATTTTAGCTCAATAAAAAAATTTGACTATATATTATAGTGATATTGACTGAAAATATTATTTTGGACTCCCTGGAGATCATCCACTATTATCTATATACTGATTGAGGACGTCTTGTATTAATTATTTATTAAATTTTAAATTGGTCTATAATCGTCTTATCTTTTTGTCTACATTCGAAGAATTGCTGTGCTATATATGTGTGCGATGTTGTATTGAAAGTTTTTTTTTTTATCTCGGGGAAATGTTTATTATGCTATGTCTATTGTTTAATATGGTTTATTGTTGATAATTTGTAAGAGTATTACTATGAAAGGGAAGAAAAAAAAGAAAGGAACGATATGTAATATATATGTATGTTGTAACGTTCCCTTTGTCAACAAAAACCAAACAAAGAGTTTCCTTTTTGAATATCTTATTTATTTTAACACATATAACATAAATCTCAGGTTGGGTTCTGACAACTGAACACTCATCCACATTTAATAAATACAATGTACACTAATTACTAAATACATATAAAGAAACGAGATACATACATTAAGAAATTATACATTCAAAAACCTTGATTGTCCCAGTCTAAACTTTGTGGCTCTTTCTATTTTCTCAACTTGCTGGCTAGTACCTTCTCTCTTGACAGCTTGTCACATTTTCTCTTGGCGGCTCATAATCTTCTCTCTTGGCCGCTAGCACCTTCCCTCTTGGCGGCCCGTCGCAGTCTGAGTTACATGAGGCTTGCTTCCCCCACCATCCGCACCGTAGTTCATGCTCTTGCCACTTTCGCGCCACTATTTATATACCATGTAATGTTGACATTACAATATATACAAAAATAGAAAAATATAATATAAAATTAATGTCCGTATGGATTGATAAGTATGCTGTGTACGAATCAACCCTATGTAGTAGGGCAGCATTACTTTTAATAAAGTTCTCTCTCTAAATTTAGCTTTTCATGGGGAATATTTTATCTAATTTTTATTTCAATTAAAATAACAAAGTATAAATTTAATGAATGTAATTAAACCAATCAATACTTAAATATTTGCTGAATTATAAAAACTAAATCCCAATAAATTAAGTTTATTGGAAATTCGCTATTTGGCAAAGGTTCAAAGTTAAAAATTATCCCAAAAATATTACTTTAATACAAATAAAAATTGTTTCTATCAATTTTTAGAAAATTTTAAATAAAGAGCATGGTATATATGTATCTATATAATTTTTTTTTCCTATCCTGTTCTCACAAATATTTTACAACCTGTTGGCTTCTCCTAATTAAGTGGGTAATGAATGGTCTAACTTCCCGTGAGGACCGGCTGTAGTGGGAAGTAGCACCGGGATTCGATCATATGATCTTAACTTTACTAGTATAGCACACTAACCACTCTGCTATACAGGCCCCTTATAGTATTAAATATTTAAAAATCACTTATAAAATGTTTGTAAATTACTATTGCAGGAAGCAAAAAATATATATATTATTTTTGTTATGTCATACATCAAAATCGATGCTTGACTTTCAATGATTTTACATTGATAGATTGTTATTTTTTATTATCACGTGTGACTGTGCAGGTCTCAATGTGGCCCACAGGCGAATAAGTTCCTTTGAAATATAGTATTTTTTAATATTAACTGTTTTGTTTTTTTTTTGTGAAGGAGGAACGAACCCCTGTCAGTATTAACGCAGGACTCGATGACTGTGGAAGATGTTACACAGCTGTTAAAGGAAACTGAACATAATGGTTTTCCAGTCGTTGTATCAAGAGAATCTCAATATCTTGTCGGATTTGTTCTAAGGAGGGATTTATCTCTAGCAATTGGTAATTATAATAAATTATAGTGGATAATTGTTGACTGTAGGAAATACATTGAAGATAAATTGGTATGGGTTTTCTTTCAATGAAAATACATTCGGTCCAAGTTTGAGGCCTTCTTCAGAGCTAAGCAAAGACAAGATAACATATTAATACTGAGTAATATAGTAAATAGAAAATAGTAGATAGTAATAATAATAGTATGTTGGTTAAAAAAGTATTGTCAAATGATATGTAGGTAATTAAACTTAACATTAATAAATATGTGCAATGGCAAATAGATTTATTAATTTATATATATTACTTCCTTAACTATAATATAAATTAGTAATTGTTTTATTACAACTTATTGCTTGTTTTCACTTTTTTTTTTATAAATAATATTACAATAATAGTTGTTTAATTTATATATCATATGTTTGCCATTATTATTATAATGAAGGAAATATGAGATATAAATTAAGGAATCAATTTGCCATTCTACATATTTATTAATGTTAATCTTAATTACCTACATGCATATTATTTGACTATAATATTACTTCTACTATTTTCTCAATATTTATAAGTATTTTGTCTTTGCTTAGCACTGATGAAGGCCTTAACAAAGACATCATTAAAATTAATCTAATTTATTTAGGTTATTATTAAAAAAATTTCAAACCACTCACACAGCCTCCAAAATGCAGGCAAAGAAAAAAGCAAACAACGTTTCGCCAATTCATCGAACATCACTCCATGAAATCCAATTTAGAGTATGCGATTGGATTTTAATGGAGTGATGTTCAACTAGCTGTTCTTTTCTGTCATGATTATGCCTGAATTGACTTTTTGGCTGAAACGTTTATAGGCTGTGTGGTTTGGAATTTTTCCAATAATAACCTAACATTTATGTTCTGTCTCTTGATTATTTTGTTACTAATTTAATTGTTGTTACTTTTTGACGGAACACCCCAACAAACTCTTTTTTACCTATATATAATTACTATTACTGTCTACTATTTTCTCAATATTTATATGTTAGCTTATCTTTGATGAAGGCCTGGCCTGAAACTTTAGTATAAAGGAAATAAATTATTTGTTTTTACTTTGTATTTTCATTAACTAAAAATCCTAACTAACTTATCTTCAACATAATACGTTATTTTATCATTTAACATTAAATAACTGTTTTAACCTATAAGAGAAATTATATGTAAATATGAGACAACATTTTTTTGCAGTAAAAACATTTGAACATATTGTTTCTTTTATAAAACCGTTTACTTACCCTTAATAGTTGGACTGTGCTATAGTATTGAAAGTAAGAAAGCACCCTTATTTTTATAGTCCCATATATTTATGTTTAGGAGCTTTCGGTGCTCTGCAGCATTACAATGCTCGTTCCAACAAATTTTGGGATTTTGTTCTTGGTATAAATTTTATCAATCATTGTAGATTGGTGTCTTAATTTACAGAACATTTTTGTTTGGACTTTTCCAATTATAAGAGGAAAATGGACCCCTGCTGTACTTCACTTTCTCGTTACGGTTTTACTCTGGTGCAGAGCACTGAAAGTTCCAAAATATAAATATATGAGTGAAAAAAGGGTGGTTTTACTTACTTTCAATACCGTTTACTTTTGTAATAGATAAATGTATTATAATGATGTAGAGATGATTGACCGTTGATATAATATGAGAAGGAGTTAATTGGGGGGAGGAGGGGTGCGGTCAAATAAATACTAAATTAAAATATAGTAATTATTTAATAATTTTTTAAAATGTTTTAATTAATTTAATTTTTAATATAATTTTAATTAATTTATTAAATAATTACTATATTTTAATTTAGTATTTATTTGACTACACACCCCAATTAACTCCTTCTCATATAAATGTATTAATATTAAATTAAATGTAGCAACCTCTAGCAAATTTCTTCATCTGTTTTTACCACTTCAAATGATTTCAAAAGCAATTCACCATTACTTATTTGTACACTACCACACGTTGAGAGACTGAAATATTTTTTTATCATAGCTAATTTACTAACAAAGATGATAATAGATAGTCTCACAGATTTTGTTCACAAATTCTATTTAGATCATGCACTACGAAACATGTCACATGTATCAAATAGGGATAAAACAAATTAAGAGTCTTTCTAGTTTTCAGCATATAAAGCATTAAATATGAGTTTTGTTTGTGATAGGAATGAATAATGTACAATATAAAACTAAGCGTCAATAGAACACTCTTTTCATGATTTGAATTTCTGGGTTCATTCGAAACTAAAATTCAAATATTTTATATATTAGAATTTACATCTATGTTGACACCAAATTTATTTATTTTTTTTTTTTTTTAAGAAAATGCCCGAAGGACAGTCGAAGGAGTTCAAACTGACTCATTAGTACTGTTTAGCTCGAATCCAAGCCAACCACTCGGCCCTGGTAGTTCGCCTCCACTAAAATTAAAAAAGATATTAGACATGGCGCCTATCACAATAACAGATCAGACTCCAATGGAGACTGTTGTGGATATGTTCCGTAAACTAGGTCTGAGGCAGACACTGGTTACGCACCATGGGTAAGATTTTAATAATCCAAGATACATCAATTTTATTAAATTAAGTGGTTATATACATATTTGCTAGTAATTATTAAGAATGCTATTATAAATATAATTTTTATTTTCACTTACCTGTATATATAATATATAGTAAGGGTAAAAAAAAAAAAAAACCTGTACCACTACAACCCATGAAGGTCTGGGGTTCAGTACTATTTAGGGAAAGCACTGTTTCTAGGTCAACGGTTGTGCAAGGAGGTGATTTGACCGAGATCACGCTCAACCGCCAGGTTTTCCCCCTTAATCAATTATTTAATTAAGGGTACCCAACTTTATAGAGGCTGGGTGAGCCCCAGGAGGGACTCCTGACCCAAGGTCGCCCCACGGCCAATGAAACAGATAAATAAATTTTCTGCCATGAGCCGGTGTTCGAACTCGGGACCTTGGCATTGGAAGCTCAGTACCCTACCACTGAGCTACCCCGCTCCCCATATAGTAAGGGTAATCGTGAAAATTTTCGAATCCGAGTCTTCATCGGAAATACACGTTTTGAGGTCCTCTGAGTCCAAATACCTAGTCCCACAAAATGATCTGTGTGTGTGTATATATGAACAGCCTAACTCAAAAACGAAAAGTTGTATGAAACTGAAATTGTGCATTTGAATTTTTTATAAGCCTGGGATGTTACAGCAACATTTTCGTTAAAATCAGAAAACCAGAAGTGGTACTTTTTATCATCGATTTAACACATTTTTATAATGTTCTCAAAAATAGCTCTTAATGATTTTGATGAAATTCATTATATCAGTGTATTATTAAGCAGTTTTTAATGTAATGTAGGTTTTATTCTCATTGATGTTGTTCTCTAACACGACTTAAATGGCTAATTTTCAATATTAGCTTCCTCTAAAGTACCTTTAATTTTTTATATGAATGAATTTGATAATTAACTAAAGGAGAAATAAGAGATCGTAATGGATAATAGTTGAAGTGGAGGAATCAAAGGAATGCCATCGGGCCCGAAAGATTAGAACAGGCTTCCATATGTAATATGAGCTTAATATAATACAGTCTCCAACAATATTATGTACATGTGAGGTTTTCTTGAATATCACTGGTATCATATTATTTAATATTTAATTGTGTAGATTACAGTGATATAAAAACTTGTATATATAAGGGTTATTAAAACAAATAAAAATACCCACAATAAAATGTGAAAATTTCACTTTCCCTCCGTCTGAAAATACTTATTTCTTCTAAGAAGAGGGTGGTAAGTGAAAGTCATGTGATGCACCAGGTTTTTTACTTTCATATGAAATATATAGTTAGGGAAAGATTGCAATCATGAAAAAATTTAACAGAAATACACCTTTTGAGATTCCAAATTCAAATAACCGACTTTTAAATCCATTTGCACTTCTCTTCAGGAATTCTCAACTAATATTTTGCAAAGTTGCATACAGAAATTCTGCTCTTCTGAAAATAATGTTTTGGAAAATCCTAGTATTGAAGGTGCTAGAGTTTCCCGTAATTTTACCAATGTATAGCTTTCGACAGTTAATCTGATGACATGAAAATTAAATAATGCTGATGTATTAAACACCTACAATACTAATTTTCTTTTTTTTAAAGCTCGCACTTCATCAGTTTTCAACATTTTAATGGAGAAAAGTATTATCTGACCTAATGAGTGCTTTATTTGGAAAAAAAAAAAACTACATGTAAATATATATTGATTTCTTCTCCCTTCATTACAAAAAAAAGCATAATTTTCTCATTTCTAAGCATTCCTCATTCCAATAGGGCTGAGTTACTATTTAGTTTGAATAGGCATAATTTTTTTTGGCATTCCTAAACCAACTGTGTTGGAACTAAAATTTTCGTTTCCGAAGCATTGTTTTCATAAATAAACTTTTTAATATTTTTATTATGATTATTTTATATATTGTTTAAAAATTTGGCAATAATACCATTTGATTTGTTTACTATTTCAGGCGGTTGTTGGGAGTCATCACCAAGAAAGATGTACTTAGGTACATAAAACAAATAGATAATGAAGATCCTAATTCGGTGTTATTTAATTAATCATAGCCGTGTTCCTCATCTCGAAGAACTGTGAATGGGTGATGTATCTTACTTAGATACATAACATATAAAACTATATTTTATTACTCTTATATGTATTTGATATTTCCATCCTCCTTAGGTATATATAATTTTTTTATTTATTGTGCTTATTTTAAGGTGATATAATTTCGAGTAGGTGAGGAATATGTATTTCAAATGCATTTAATTAATAATTTGTATATATTGTTAACGTGCGAGGAGAAGGTCATGAATTATTTCAATCTGTTTTTATAGTGTACGAATAATAATAATAATAATTTTTAATCATTATTATATAGCATGTCTCAAAATATAAAGTTACTAATTCTATTGTTGACACTTACAACAGCGAAGTAATTAATGGAATCACACATTTTCCTTTAAATACATTTCTCTTTTAAAACTAACTGCCTTTTCGAGTTGATCTAGTTTGTTGGATATTGCTCGCTACTTGTGACAAATTTTACATAATATTTATATATTTTTTTTATTATTTTATTTTCATCGTGTGATCTTCATTGCTGCTGACTCCCTGACTCTTAGTATTATTAAATTTAAATGTAAATATACAGTAATTTTTAAATTATTGATGATGTTATATACTGAAATCGGTACTCTGGTCATAGAGAGATTATGGTAGAAGTATTTATGATTTATTGTTATTTACCATATGATTAACTGATCATATGGATGTATGAATGTATTGTTAATAAAATTATTGATCGTCATCTTTATTATTTTTTTAATTTTATTTCTTCTCCCTACCTTTCTTCCTTTATTTTGTCTGTACCAATCTAAACTTCCAAAACTAAAGTTATTTGCACTATGTTTTATTTCTATTATTAAACCATCCATTATTAAATTTTGAATACAAAACAATTTCTCTTATCAGAATATTAATATTTAAAGTGAAACGCAAACAATAAGTTTTAAACAGTTCAGTTCATATCAGCTTTGCAGTTAACGATATAATGAAGTGAGGTGCAAAGGCTCGATTAAACAGAATGTGTATAGTTGAGGCTGAGAGATCCATCAAGCGGTCTGTTTAATGTATTTTTATCCGCTTGGAAGAGGAGGACCCTAACCACCCCTCTTTCCACATATTATCATGGTTCTTGGAGTCTTACGATCCAGTAATAGTGTGACCTATGTTGCGTTCAATTTTTGTGCCAAAACTTGAGGATTGATGGATGCAATATCAACTGATACAATTGAAATCAAAGCCTTTATTATGCTACTATATATTGTAGGAATGCATTAAACTGCAGGAAAAATCTGGATGATTTGTGGGACTCAAGTGGCACAATTAATTCCAAGTTTGGAATCGAAATATTTCGTTCCACTATGAGTGTACAAAGGTTTCAATTTTTACTTCGATTCCTAAGATTTGACCAAGAAACGCGCCAAAAACGTAAAGAAATAGACCGACTGGCATATTTGAAGTTTTTCAGAAAATGCCGATCTTGTTATTAAGTTGGAGCAGACGAGACTTTCAATGAGAAATTGGAGCCCTTTAGAGGCTGATGTTCATGTTTTTGATGTTTGTATTTATTGAAAATTTTCATGAGAAAAAGTTATAGTTTTGAAATAACAGAAACACTCAAAAATGTAAGTTCCAGCCGTATTGAAACTGATTAAAATAAAAGTTTAAGCTTTGGATTTATACCAATAACATTACAACAGGTAAAAAATATATTTTTAATTATATTACATAATTCCATAAAATGTATTAAATTATTGTAAAGCAAACTAGTAACAATAGATCAGGTAACAAAATAAATAAGCTTAAACTTAAAATCAATACACTTTACACCTTTGAAATCAATAAGTTATAAATTAATACTATGAAATGGCCCTTCATTCTGATAAAAATAGTTAATATTAATAAATACACATAAAAATAAAATTATGGCTAAAAGTTGTCAGTCGAGTGCCATTAAATTACATTTATATGAAACAATGCAACTAATAAAATACATAACGTCTTTAACAGTGCTAGTTCATTAATTCATTCATTTCATTGATCCACTATACTTCAAGTCGATCTGAATTGTTCATAGCCAGCTGAGATATATTACTGAATAAAATTAATTGAGAAGGCACCTCCTCTACTTGTTTGTGCCCCAAGTCAAGCGTGCCACATGATCTGGCTTAACCTTGGACGACTTAATAAAACCAAGGAATTCCAATTCTGCAACTGCTTGAGTAAAACGAGCTCTAATTAAATTTTTTAAGGAAAAATTATTGATTATTGGTATAAAAAGATACATAAATATACAAATAAAATAATATTTATTTTAAATTAAATTAATTGGCCCGTGCAAAGAATATTGGTTAGTGACCAAATATTATTATTACAAAATAATAAGGAAATTAAATAATTCAACATATAATAAGATGAAGGAATCATTTAATTTTTTTTTTTTTGGTAATTGTAATCTACCAAGGAAAGAGAGTTATAAAACTTTATTCCTGTTTTAAAGCAAAATCTTCACAAATTACAATAACCTGTATTTCAGCTAATAAAGATCTGAATTCGATGATTTTTTTTTTTTTTTTTTTTTTGTAAGGAATTTAGTAACTTTTCAAATAATCATGAGAATTTTGTTGAAGAGAAGATTGGTTGGGATAATTACTCAACAAATGTAAAAATAAATAAATTATATTTATTTTTGCCAATGTTTCAACATAAAGTTCAGGTCTAAGAAAAAAACAGATAGCAATGGGTATGAGAAACTATTAACATTAAAATAATAACACTAATATGTCTCATACCCATTGATATCTGTTTTTCTTAGCCCTGGTGAGAAGGCCTGAACTTCGGACCAAAACGTCAGAAAAAATAAATATAATTTATTTATTTATTTTTTTACTGATCATCCCAACCAACCTTCCCTTCAATTATTCACTACAGTCAAACATCAATCCATAATCATGAAAACTTTACTTTAGGGAAGATTCATGAATCTTAGCTATTTTGTGACGAACAGATATGTGAGAAGGGCATTCAATCCTAGGTCACACCCTCCAGCAAATCTGGAGAGCCCTTCTCATTGTTAGCCAGGAGGAACTTCTGTGACATTTCCACCGACCAATCCACATCCACCACCTTTGGGACTCTTCCTTATGCAGTCAATATTTAAAAGTAGACGGAGGAGGTAGTTCTGCACTGGGGACATGCATCAATTAATGCGCAAAACTTTAAGGGAGGAATACATCATTCGGTGACAATTGGTATACTACACATAGTAGTTCATGAAATAACTATATGAATGTAGTATGTTTTGATGACTTAATAATGAGCTTGAAAGTCATCAGAAGTATAATAAAAAATTGTTGAAAATTAAGGACCTATTTATTCCTTGAAGACATGATATATAAGAACATCGAGTGCCCTTGAAAAATACTACTGAAGTAGGTAAATATACCCATATAAACATTCTTCATTTGGTTTGATAAAGAACAAATACGTTGTGTTATTTTTAAACAACTTTAGTTGAGTCTACCAGTCATTTTAGATTTACATGGAGAGACCGATCAAATTGAGTTTAGTCACCAGTTTGATATATAGGGTGAGGAAGTACTACCCAATTTGATGGCAACTTTTACTATTTGTTTTGATTGCTTTAAAAATTGGAAGGAAAATAAACAAAATTTATCTAAAATTTTAGATCTATCTTTGATTTCAAAGAAATATTTAACAACTTAAGTAGCTATTTTAATCAAGAGCAGCATTCTCCAGTAGACAAATCAACAGTCTTGATAATTAATATAAACCAATAAAAAATTCACCAAGAGACAGAACTTGGCAACTTTTACTATTTGTTTTGATTGCTTTAAAAATTGGAAGGAAAATAAACAAAATCTTACCTAAAATTTTAGATCAATCTTAGATTTCAAATAAATAATTAAAAACTTGAGTAGCTATTTTCATCAAGAGCAGCATTCTCCAATTGACTATTTAGCAGTCTTGATAATTAATATAAATCAGTAAAAAACTCACCAAAAGACAGAACATAAATGTTAGGTTATAATTTTAAAAAATTCAAACACACAGCCTTATGTTTCCAAAAGGCAGACAACCTTAAGACCTTACCTTGCTTCCAGTATGCAATTAGGTGTCATGGAGTGATCTTTGATTTGTTTTTTTATTCTGTCCTGATAATGCTTGAGTTGGCGAAACATTGATGTATGTTTTATTTTTTGCCTGCATATTAGAGACAGGCTGAGTGGTTGGAATTTTTTTTCCAATTATAACAATTATAAAGATCAGCACTGAATTTGAAGATCCTAATTCTTATTTAATTTATTTTTAATTGAAAAATCAAGAACATTTGAAGAAAAGATATTAAGGAGCGATAATACTTTCACTCCTATCTCACACACCACTTCGATTAAATCACAACTCAGAAACAATTGAACACTACACTAATAAAGGATACTGTGTGGTTGGATCAATGTCATCAACATTATCCAAGCTTCTTTCTGGATTGAGAATAGTCGAGAAAGACTAAAAAAGAAAAATATATATAAGAAACAAAATAGCATGAGTGGATACTTAAAACTAGTAATATATAATTGATTTAAATATGAGGTCATTTAGAAACAGATAGGATTTTCATTCAGAAGTTTATATCAAGTAACGAACAAAGTCTGGATAAACTGCTTGATACTGTCACTTCTTTACAAATACATTGGTAACATTTTAAAAATTAATGAGAATAAATTTTTGTAACTAATCTAATGGTAAGATAAGAAGCATGAAGCAATAGATTAAACTTTCCCTCATTTTCCTGCTTTAAGATTAAACTCATTTCCAAACTTTCTTAGGTTTACTAATAACAATATAAAATAAAAGGCTTAGTGAACCCGAAGGTTCGATGCCAACACCCCCAATTGTATCTATATATCTCCCTCCGTCGGTCGCCGTCAATACCCAACAGATCAGCCTTAAAGCAATCCTTTCACCTTAACTTCGGTCTACCCATCACCAGACGGCACAGCAAATATTAATCTTTTAAATATTCTCTCGTTACTAAGACCAACAATTTTATTCACCGCAATTCGGCATTGTGTTGCCGTCTAAATTCTTTGGTGGACTCATCCTTCTTCAATAGGGATATTCTTGCGACAAAACACTTTATTTTCAATAACCTTAAGATGTTGCTCATCCCTTAAAAAGAACCTTGGTAGGATAATGGTTTTATAAATTCTAATTTTAAAGTTTTGGGAGGCGCGAGCTGTCAGTTATGTTGTTCAATGAGGATTTTCAAATGAAATATTTAATAGGAAATTAATTTGAAATGTAATAGTGTTTCTTTGAAAACATTTATTCACTCGATTTTCATTATTTTTTTTTTCCTTCTTTTTTTTTTAATCAAGAACCAAATAAAAATTACAAAGATAGTAATTTTGCATTCAATGTATCTAACTACTACTTAGATACACATATATAAAAAATGAGAGTATTTTTTTGTTCCACATTATCACTGCATCAATATACATATACTATTAAATAATTAGTTATTTTATATATAAAAATATAAGATATAACTTTTTATATGTTAAAATAATTCTATTTTATTATCATTATCAATATGAAAAATCTAAGGAAAATAGAAACATAGTAGTACCCACCATTTGACTACTAACCGATACTTAAGTAGAAAAAATGGTTAAGATCTCCGAGAACAGGAAATACTACAAACTGGAATTAGTGTAAAAATAATCAGTTGCATTTGATGAAGTTACCTGGAGCCAATCGTAAAGGTTAATGAGCGGGCCTCCTTCAAGGTGCAGCTTGTAGGCTATACAGATGTCAGGCATTGTTGACACGATTTCAGCATCATCTTCCAGTTTACAACATTCACACTAAAGTTAAAACAGAAATTAAAATTATTTTTATTTGCCATGTTTTTGAATTTCTGTATAATTTTAAATTCTTTTATTTTTTAGTTCTTTCTACCTTTGATTTAAGTATAAAGCAGCTATTTTCTTTTCCCTGAACTAGTGAAATTAGTTTAGCTTGCTGTTTAACTGTTACATGAATTTATCAAATCATTTTTAACAACTTCCAATTAAGGTGTATATAACAATATAGTAGTTTTATCCTCAACTTGGTCAAGAATAAAAACAGTTTGTTCATAAGACCTAAGGGAGATGCTTTTTTTTATCTGGAGTATATAAATAAAATTAAGTGGCAGCTTTACTCTCCCAACAATTTTTTCTTTTTTTTTTATAACGTATCGGGATCACTTTATTATCCCATCTATCAATTTTTTTTTATAAAAAAATAAAATAAAGAATATTGTAATAATAATATAAAAAAGGTTTTTAATTTCTAGACTGAAGATGGGATAATTAAGTGATCCCGAAGTGTCATACAAATAAAGAAAAAAATTGTTGGGAGAGTAAAGCTGTTACTTAATTTTATTTATATACGTCAAATAAAAACAGTGTTTTCTTAAGTTGGCTGTAGTATGCGTAAGAGTTTGTCCTCGCTCTTTATTCACTGTAATTGAAAATTATATTTACAAGAAGCTATGCAAGTATTACAATTGTCTTGAGTTTTCCACATTGATAGATATTTAGTTCAGGGTCTTACTCATTTTTTTAAAACTTTTAACTTTTTAAGTGGGCTCTTGTTCTACACGGACTGCCAACTATCTGATCTTTCCTTTATAAGAGGAAAACTCATTTCTGATGGGGTTAAGATGGCAGTACCTCCGTCTGGGAGTGTGGTTGTTGGCTATCATATCTGCAAACTCATTACCAACTATTGCCTATATGACTAGGGATCCATATTATCCATATCCATATACAGACTTTCCCAAATTTCGAACATATAGAGATACTTGTGAATTTTTAGGGTAACGGGATGTTTAGAGTACATGTTATTTAATCACTTTAATAACTCAAGGAGTCGGTTATTATAACTATTGTGTTGTATATATGCTGCATTTATTAGTTTTAGCATGAGTAATAATAACTACGTAAATAATGAAACCGATTATTATAAATGTGTACATAAAATTTATTATTATTGTGTTTATAACTTAAGGGAGAGAGCAAGCACAGTGGGTAAGGCACTGGCTTCCTATATTCCGGGCATGGATTCAGGTACAGCTAAGGTAGAAAATTTATTTTTTCTGTTACATTAGCCACGGATCAACTTTAGGGTCTGGAATCAAGGCACATCCAGACTCTATTAAGATTACTCTTGATTGCGCAGAATGACAACTCTGGCGAAATGACTTTATATAGCTGTTAGTCAACAAACAGATTTTTGTATCAGACCCATGACCCCTTTGAATTCTCATGTTGCAGGTATTGTTTTAAATTACTTAAATTTAAAATTCATTAAATAAAATAACCCCCTCCTCTCCCTAAAAAACATACATATCTAATTAACAATACAACACAACATTATTAAAGAACAGAAGGGATAAGCACAATAAAATTGGACGGCTACTCAACTGTGTTGAGTTGCTAAATCACTCAGCATACATGTCAGTCATAATCAATACCATTTAATAAAAGAGAACACATTGGATAAAGTATTACGGGACCATCATCCAACGTGCTAAATGTTATCATTCATTCACTGTTAAAACTTTCTCCTCTTTTCTTCCCTCGCACTTTTATCCACTGACTTCACAACAAAGCACCCAGAATTACTACAGATGGTGTTGTAGGATTCCTAATGACTCTAAAATAATGGATTTTGCCATACTCTACAATTCTTCCAAAAAATCAGCAGTTGAAGGTGGAATCGCTTCTCTACTCCCGAACCATAGTCACCAAACCGAATATTCTCTCGCACCAATCAAGGAGGTACAGTATACACTTTTTATAGATTTCCTAGATTTCTTATTGTACTTTGAGATTCTGGTCCTCATCGCTTGTTTCAAATCTAATAATAGGATCAATCTATCAGAGCCTCTTTCCCTTTCATATTTAAAGCTAAGATATCTAGGAATCTCGCTGAACCTTCTGTATCAAGGCAATATACTTCCAAGAAGCATCTATACTTCTTCATCTCCAAGAATTCAGCAATTCGATGCTTTACATTATTGCACCAGTGGGTGACAAGGTTATTCGGACATTTGCCCAATAAATGAGCCGAGGTTTCTGACTCAGCCACATTTGCGACTGAGGAGTCCTATTAATAATACACTATATATAACGGATAGCACAAGAATATTTAAAAATTTACTTACCATTAAGTAATGATGAGGATTATTTAAGGCCGTATGAATTGGACCACGGATCCTTGGCACTACTTTGTTTCGAGCATCTTTATCCCGAATCATAATTAATTCCCAAAGAACTGCCTTTTCAGTGTAGGGTACAATGTAGGAGGGTAAAAATGAAACCATTAGAAAATCTATTATTTTTTCTCTAGTGATCTCATAACCAACTTTTTTTGGACCTTTCAAACTCATCTCAGCCAATTTCTAAAACATAAAATAGGTTATCAATTATTTAAACTATCATATGTTAAAATGCAGCATTTAATTAACTAAAATATACATTTTTTATTATTTTATATTAGCTATACTCAACAGTATCCAGTACAAAGAGGCTAATATGTAAGACTATATTCGAATCAATAACGACATATGCCTCGGAGACATGGACCATCAAAGCAAGACACCGTAAAAGACTGTTATTAGTAGAGATGGACTTAAGGAGAAGGGCAGCAACGTAATCCAAAAGGGAAATATAAAAAATGAAGGAGGTGGAAAGAAACATTATAGCAAATATTAAAAAGAAAAGGTTATGTTGGTTTGGGCTTGTGAAAATAAAGACACCTCAAAGATTGCCAAAGATATGTATGGAACGACATAGTGAAAGAAAACCTGGCAGGGCATGGCATCAGAGAAGAATAAGGCTTAGATAGAGAAGGATAGAAGAATATCTTAAATGATATTTAGATAGGTTACGGCTTGTAGGGCAGTAAATAGTGGGATAATTATGTCTGAATGATATTTAGGTTAAGGATAACCATAGTAGTGGAAAAGTCCTTAATAAAAAAAACTATCTAAAATGCTACAAATTATTAAACAATTCATAATATATTTTCCTTATATGAGAAGGAATTAGTCGAGGGTGCGGTCAAAAAAATAAAAAAAAATTAAAATATATAAATAATTTTAATTTTTGCCGACGTTTCGACCTACTTTGCAGGTCGTCTTCAGGGCTACAAAAGATACAAACATGTTGAAAAAATAAAAATAAAATAAAAAATAAATATAAGTATATATAAATTACGAAGAAGTTGTCAGATACAGAAATAAAAGATAAAGAAAATAAATACATGATAAGAAAATAAATACATGAATGTTAACGAATAAATGAATGTTAACGAATAAATTGATTGAAAATTGAATAACTATTGTTACAGTAAAGTTAAAATATGGATAAGATAACATAATAATAAGATATCAGTGGATAACAAGCAAGTGGAGGTTACCTTTAATTGTAAATAAACAGATAATATATAATAATATATCTGATATAATAATATATCTGTTTATTTACAATTAAAGGTAACCTCCACTTGCTTGTTATCCACTGATATCTTATTATTATGTTATCTTATCCATATTTTAACTTTACTGTAACAATAGTTATTCAATTTTCAATCAATTTATTCGTTAACATTCATTTATTCGTTAACATTCATGTATTTATTTTCTTATCATGTATTTATTTTCTTTATCTTTTATTTCTGTATCTGACAACTTCTTCGTAATTTATATATACTTATATTTATTTTTTATTTTATTTTTATTTTTTCAACATGTTTGTATCTTTTGTAGCCCTGAAGACGACCTGCAAAGTAGGTCGAAACGTCGGCAAAAATTAAAATTATTTATATATTTTAATTTTTTTTATTTTTTTGACCGCACCCTCGACTAATTCCTTCTCATATCATATCAACGGTCAACCAACTCTACATCATTATTTTCCTTATAAATAATTTCTTATGTGTAGCATGTATCCTCAGACTACTTCTAATAAAAAATATCAATATTAAAACGTTTGTTAATATTAGAAAAACTATTATTATTTAATTTTTTGGTAAACTATGTAGCCAATTAAATTATTCTGACCACCAAGAATGCTTCAGTATGGGTGTAATTTTCGAGTTATCAAAAGCTTAAACAAATGAGATAATCTTTCAAAGTTCAAAATAATATATCTCTACAATAGACTAATCTGATTTTAGTGCTTTTATTATATTTTTTTTTTTGTGGAAAATTTCACTTTTTTTTTTTTAAATACATGAATGATCCACCAATAAATATGCACTTTTTGAGTTGCTCAAAAAATAAAATTTTGCAATTCCTCATACATTTTTTTCGAGCTTCTTTTCAGGCAAGTGTGTTTCATACAAATAAATTTAAATGGCTTCAAAACGAGGATTTTACTAAGGCAAGTTTCATCAAAATCTTTACGGCTGTTTTAGCGCTACAAAATGAATAAAAATTTAGGGTTTTGGGATATCGTGCACATAATTCCGATTTAGTACATTGCCATTAGGGGCGAAACCCTATAAAATAACAAAATCAGTCTACACGTTCAAGATATGTTCATACCACAAACATAGTTTTCTTATCCAATAGCTTTTAATTCCAAGGACTTTGGTACAACAATTTTAAAATACTTAATATTTTAGACATATCTCCCTTCCCCTCCCCCGTAAATGGATATGGTATATCAAATTTCAAATTACTAACCATTTTGAAACTAAATATTGATGGTAATGTTGAGTTCTGATAATCATCCTAAGATGACCTGATATAGATACAAATCTCAAAAAATTGGGCACAGTAATCTCGGAGAAAAGGCGCAGACGGTGAACAGCAGGATTTTTTTAAGTTGATTTTCGGCTTCCATATATGTAAAATCTCAATTTTAAGGAGAGTTAACTTTTATTTATTTATTTGTTTATTATAAAGATTCAATATTGAAAGTAATAAACTAAAAATAAAATTGTTGATTTATTGCAAAAACTTACATTTTTATGAATTTCGAAGTTATTTATTGATACAAAAAATAAGGTAATTGTAAAATTACACAAATATAGAAAAAAATAATGCTTTTATATATATCAAATATAGGTTCACAAAGCGCATAATAACCTGATTTAACAGAAGAAAAATTCATCTAAGTACTTAGTGACTTAATTGTATGAAATGTTACTTAATGAATTTTAAACCGATGGAATTACGACATTATCATCAATATATTACATTGCTGTATAGCTTAAGTAAAAAGGAATTGAACTTCAGATGGAAGTTTGAAATATCCATGAACATGTAAAAAGCAATATCAAGTTTGGCAAAGAAGTCAAATTCCTTGAAATTATGATAACTCAAATCAGTAAATTTAAGATTGAAAACAAATACTGGTATTTGTTTCCTATGAATAACATTAAGATAAAAATCTGTTTAATAACCTCAATATATTGACATTATGAAATAAACATTTCCTTTGAAAAGAGAAGTCCCTCCTAAATATTCGTTAATACCTATGTTCCAACAATTATTTCTATGGATTAATAAAAGTATAGTTTAATAACTTCATAAAATATATTTTATTAAAAAATCAAGAGAACATGAGAAACTTTAATTGCTTTCCTAAAGGTCTTACAAAGAATAACAAGTATTATCAATACATAAAATACCTTTCTTAGTTGAGAACGATTTTTTACGTTTAAATCAATCTTTGTTGGACTTTTCTCCATGTTTGAGACTGGATTCAAGCCAATATTTTTTAATTCATCATTCAGCTTTTCCAGTTCAGCAGCAATTTCGGAAAATATTCCTTCATTTAGAATATTGAAAATCTGAAAATTATTAAAGTTTAATCCCTTACCTAAGTTAAGAACCATACTGCGTACATTTCTTACAACAAATGAAAACTCGGACTATATTTTAGATTAAATTAAATTATATTATAATTAAGTAAATTATATATTAAATGTCAATAAAACAAAAACATATAAATTAATCACTGTATTATTATTTTTTTAACAGAATTTAACTAAAATTAAAAAATACAAGCATTGGAAGACTATAAGAATAACTTTAAACTAGTAGGCCCATGTGAATAATTCGCACAGCATATTGGTCAGCGATCAAATGACAAATTAATAAGAAAAGAAAAATAATGCAACGTATCATAAGATGAAGAAATCAATTCTTATTTTCTCATTAATTATAATTGACAAAGCACAATTAATTATAACCAGTATTGAAGTATAGCAAAATGTTTATATCCACTTTATTTATTTTAGAAAGAAAAACAAAAGTGAAGATTACGATTTGCGAACTATCTATTTATCTACCTAAGTGGTGCTACAACCCTAGGTGGGTCTGGCCTCTTAAAGAGCCGCCGTCATTTGGCCCAATTTTGTGCTGCCACTTTCCAGCTTCTGATCCATCCGCTGCTACTCCATCAACCCATCAAAACCTTGGCCTACCAGGCCGTCATGTACTGTGAAGGGCAGTGTCCACTACATTTTTAGGAATTTCTTCCGCTTTCATCCTAGCGACATGACCAGCCCAACTGAGCTTCCCCAGTTTTATAAATGTTATAACGTCCATATCTCCATAAAGCTCTCTGTTCCTCCTAATTCTCCATCCATTTTTCTTTCGAAAATCAAAAGATTATTTTCATCACTTCTTGAGATGGTCCAGGATTGGGAAGCTTAGGTAAGAACTGGGAGTATAAGATCCTTGTATATCAACAGTTTAGTGCTCCTGGTAATGGATCTGCTGCGGAGTTTTCAATAAGGCAAAATGTGCTCTATTTGCTACCACCAGCCTTTTCCTTATCTCAGCAGAGACATAGTTTATTGGTGTCAATAGGGATTCCAAATAGGTAAACTCGTTCACCCTTTTGAATGTGTATGGGCCAACACTCAGTTCCTCGTCACCACCAGTCCCTGTGTGCATATATTTTAATTCATTCTCGTTTATGGCCAACCCCATGGACGAAGCAGCGTCTATGAGTTTCCTGAAGCTTAACATACAGCTTTCTAAAGTGTAGACTGAAGAGGAGACAGGCCAGTCCATCCCCTTGTCTTAATCCTTTGTTGGAGCGAAATGCATCAGAGCAGTCAGACTGGATCTGTACCTGACACCTTACATCTTTCATTGTCAAATTCACGAGACGAATCAGTTTGCTTAAGATACCCATTTCTTTCAACTCCTCATACAGCTTAGGTCATTTGATGCTGTCATATGCACTCTTAAAGTCGACAAACAGGTGGTGTGTAGGGATTTTATATTCATGACCCCATTCCAAAATTTCCTGAGGGTGAACACTTAATCAACAGTGATCTGCCATTCTGGAAGCCTGCTGATAAGGATATTCGAGAGGATCTTGTAGGAACAAGACAACAGGTCTATACCACGATAGTTCATGCAATGACGATTTGCTAACACCCCGTGAAATTCTGAATCCAAAGGTACCCCATTCATGGCCTTTGAGCATAACGGCTGTATATTTGGGACAAAACCGAATTAGAGCCTTAATGTAATAACATACGTGGGGATAATTTAAATTTCATGATGAATAATTACCTCTTGTACTTTACTTTCCAGCTCATCTTTTGACAGAAATTTCAAGAGCTGATTACATTCTTTAAATTCTGATGTTTTTGTGATATCTTTGGACATAGCTGTACAATAAACTTCTCTAAACTGAAATAATAATGAAAAATAAATAAATAATCACAAAATATAGCAAGTTGAGATTAAAGTAAAAGACAATAAGAACGTACTTGCTTACCGAATGGCGCCTGAGGTAAGTCTTTTACTAATATATATAGAACTCGAAGACCAATATAGAACTCATCAAGAGTCCTCCTCAATAATAAGAGCAGCTTTAATATTTTTTTCTATAAAAATATTACTTCACATTACGAAATTACTAAAATACTTTAAACACAACATATTAAATAAAATCAATAACACAAAAGTTTACCCGCGTATAATCATCATCAGTAACAAGTTTGTCATCCTTACTATCTTCGATATACTTCTTAAATGATGGGATTTCTCTGATTTCTTTTAAACAATCATTATCTAGTTTCGATACATTTTTCTTGAGTTTATTTTCTTTCTGGCAGAGAAGGCTAACTGATTTATTTTTGTAAAAGTGGTCCATAATACAATACTATAACAGAAAAAAAGATAATTTAAAATCATATTTAAACAAAAAAAAAAAAAGCTAGAATTGTTAATCCATTAAAAAACATTACCTTTACACCATGAATGAAACGGTTGACTGAAAAGTCGTAAAATAAAAATATAGATGTGAAAAAATTGAATAGCTTTCCACTCAACTGAAAAGGGCAGGCAGACGACAGGAACACCTGATCAACAAACAGATCATCAAATTTAAAAAAGAACAATGTTTTAAATATTAGATTAAATATTTTTTACTGCACTGTACATGAAATAAAACTTATCAATATAAAATTACATAGGAATTTTGAATTTGAAAAGTAAATTTACATTGATCTTGTTCCCAATGATCATATTTAATTGAAGAGTTAAAGAACACAAAGCAAAAATTATACAAAGGATCTTGTTTAGTTGTCTTAACCTTAAATTGTGGTAGTTTTAAAATGAGTGATCTAATCAAAAACAGAAAAGAAAAATCATTAAATTCAATTTTCTCTGATTCAAATGTTCGTAACATAACATGTTTTTCCACTTAGCATAGCTTTTTAATTTAATTATTGAAATACATTATATCACCTTATCTACAGTATTGTTGAGGAAATAAACTGACGGCTGGGACTGGAATACCTTCAGATTTAACCTCGATGTAATTTTATGAGATAAGGATTCACCAACTGCAGCCTCTGTCGTTGCAACTCCAAAGACAAGAGTAATAGGAAGACAATCCAAATACCCACTGTTAATAAAAAGATTAGATTAATTCACAATTAAAATATAAATTTATCTTTGAACAAAAACAACTAATGCACAAAATTTAGAAATTTGAATGAAATCCATGAAAAGAATCACAATAATCATTAAAAGAGCCAATGTTCACCGACCATTAGCTGCGCGGTTTTGTTGCTCATATTTTTATAATTTTTTTAAAAATATATAGGGTCAGACAGAATTGAGTAAAACCTACTAATCTTTGAGAAAAAAATTCTTCAAAGAATATTTGGAGGAGTACAGATTGATCGAAATTTACTTTATTTTGAATGATCAAGATGTCATTCTGAGGATGAAGCTTGGAAGACTAAGATGGGCTGAACAAGTGGCAAGGATAGAGAATGAAGAAATCCCCAGGATGATCCTGACAGAATCTCCCTATGGCACAAGAAAAAGGGGGGACCAAAACTAAGATGGTCAGACTGTGTGGAAAGAGATTCAAGGGATGTCCTGGGAGTCAGGAGCTGGCTGGATGATGGCCGCACAGAACAAAGATGACTGGAGAAAGCTGGTGGAGGAGGCCAAGACTCATCACCAAGTTGTTGCGCTGCGATAGTTAGTTAGTTAGTTATATAGGGTCAGAACTCATAAATTCAAGAAATTAAATAAAAATATTTGAGAAGTTTCTCTTTATATTAATGCCCTATAAAGGGATAAATTATAAAATTAATTGATATGGGTTGGCAGAGAGGTAATTCAGCTTTTTAAGGATTGCAGTAATGTTGAAATGGGAAAATATCCAAACGAGTTAGAATGATATAATAGTTAAAGGCATGAAAAAAAAAAATCCTGTTTTAATTAAAAATTTATAGAATTTATATTTTTTTTTTTTACTATAAACATTTGTAGTTAAAAGTTTTATAGGATGCTAAAAACGAATCTGGGTACTAGTCACAACAGTTCACAATCACTTTGGTCACACTTATTCATGAAATATCGAAAATGGTCAAATGTTGTCGAATGATATGAAATCAGCTCTTGTCCCAACCACCCATTCTCCTTTGACACATTTTTGAAAAACTTCCTCATAAATAATTTATTATAACTATTCATTTATAACTTTGTTAATAATTAATATTTTTATAATGATAATTACTCAAGAAGAAAAGTAAATAAAATATATAAAATGATGTTTGAGTGGTTAAAAGGCATGTTAAAAAAAAAGTTTAATGACATGCTTACTTATAGTAGCTTTATATAAGTTGTAATATATTGTGAAATAGCTTCCAGTGATATAATAATGAAGATTTTTATCCATTACTATATCTTTTCTACAGCTATATAATATATGTACAAGTTCGATTAAGGTTACGTGATTAATTTAAATATCGAATATAATTCAACTCTTGTTGTATAACTGTAGATACGTTACAAGTACTATAATAGCGGGAAAATTATTAGTAACTAATTCAAAAGATCAGTCGTCTTTGTACCCTTTTAGATAAACCTGGATACATTTAACATTCCATGAACAAGTGTGATAGAAGTGACTGTGAACCACGTCTAATCCGTGCAGAGCTCTTGTGAGCCAGAATATGACTTACTTTTTACTTTTACTTACCTATATATATTATATATAGTAAGAGAAACTATTGCGATCGTGAAAATTTTCAAATCTCAACAGAAATACACGTTGTGAGGTCCATTGAGTCCAAATAACTAAGTCCCGCAAATGGTGAGTGTGTGTGTGTATGAACAACTCAAAAACGAAAAGTTGTATGAACCTGATATTAAATATTTAAGGTTTGTATAAGCCTTGGATGTTGCAGCAACTTTGTTGTCAAACTTGGCTAACCAAAAGAAGCACTACATAATTGATAGAACACATTTTAATGATTTTCTCAAAAACAGCTCTAACAATTTTAATTTTTACGATTATATCAGTGTATTATTAAGTTTTTTTTAATATCAGATAGTTCTTATCTACATTGATGTCACTGTACAGGTCTTAAATACCCAATGTTCATATAAGTATCCTCGAAAGTACCTTTAATTTGGTTTATTTAAAAAAATTAACTTTCTCTTATTGACAGTAACTATAAAAAATAGCTAAATATACAGTATGAAAGAATTTTATGACTGGAAATTGGAGAAAAAACATAAAATGTTTATTAAGGTCAAAAATAAATCTCTGGAACTACTGGCCAGAAGGTATGCGTATAATATATCGTTGGAAAGCGGAGAATTTTAGAAAAAAAAAAAAAAAAAAATCTAATATAGAAAATCATAGAAGATAATGAAGAGTGATGAAATAATTTGTGAAAATTAATATTGTTTAAAGGAAATCTCACGTTTCCAAGGAAATTAAATTTAAGGAAATTTACTTACTAAATGTAAAATTTAAAAAAAAATTAAGTTTGAAAAAAAAGTATTCAAAATCCACCGAATTAAGCCAATGATATTGTTTAGAAAACTATTTTATTGTACATGTGTGAAAGAAGAAATAAAATATTAAAATAATTCACGGATGTGTAAAATATATGCTTGTAACCTTAAATAAATTTACTGTAGTTAAATAAATCTAGATTCAATATCATATTTAAATAATTATTCTTTAAATTTAAATTATTATTCAATTTAATATAAAAAAAATTTCCCTTTATGAAATCACGAATCACTGTATGACGACTTTCGACCTAGTCATACTATATTTAAAAGCAAGTAACTGTATTTTGGTATGTTTTTTAGAGTAAAAAATAAGAATTTAAATACATGTAAAATGCTATAGAGATTTAGTAACTTTCAACTCTCTCTTAGTCTATAGAACTTAGAGACTGGAGTTATGTGATTCAAATAGACTAATGCAGTTACATCTAAGGTTTTTATAGGCTATAATACATATTATAAATAGGGTTTATGTTTTTTTTTATGGTCTTAATGAGTTTTTGTATAGATAAATATGACTGAAATTCAAAAATATACTGTTTAAGTTTAATTTAGCTGCATTAAAATTGTGCTTTAACATTTTTTTGTAATAGTCCAATTTTGCAAGACAAGAATTGCTTTTCGAGAGCATTAGAGCAGTAAGTGAAAGTTGTGTGGTGTGCGCACCAGATTTTTCATAATAGAAATAAACTGAGCCTACTTTACTAGAAGCATGTTTTGGTTTTGGAAAAAAAATAATAAATAATAACCTTGAAGAATAAGCAGAACAAAGTAAAAAAGCAACAATATAAAAATGATTACACAATTATTTATTATTTCTATATAGTTATATATTAAATATGTGTGGTATGTCACATTACTTTCCTTACTACTTCTGGGAAAAGTTAAATTGAAAAATTGGCTCCTTAAGATTTTTTTTTATTCTAGGTTAATAAAACATTAAGAAAATCAAATTATTCTTCAAATATCAACTTGATTGCTTTTGTAATATAAAAGGCATTACATAATAAGACTAAGTCAACTATATTGATTTAAATTAAAGTTAAAAGAAAAAAAAACTTCAAATTGTACCTAAGAATAAGAATCAATTGGCATACAACTGCAGGTTGGAATCCTTCAAAATCTTTTAATACTATGACAAGTCGAGGACGAGTCGACTTAAAATTATCATACCAATTCACAAGAGATGGCATATTGCAATCACTTTTCTTTAGGTAAGTATTACTAACTTCTACATCATCGTCGTCTATATCCTGAAATAAAAAATATACTTACAAACAAAAAAGATAAAATTTGTACTGTTGCTATTTTTTTAAACTTATTTTAGAAATAAAATATTACATTAGGAAAAAAACGGAAAAGTGTAATGAACACAATGTAGCATAAACAGAAATGCTACAATTGTTAAATTAAACAAAATATAATTTAAACCAAAACTTTTTTATTGTTAATTAATTCAGCATTGAATAAGTTCATTTCAAAAGCCATGATTTATTTGAAAAAATGTCTTTAGAAATTCATATAGAACTTAATTATCTACTATAAAGACATTATTGAGAAGAAAAATGTTACACCTAATGCCAACATAAAGTTATGTTACAATTTAACTTTAAACATGATGATCCGAAAAATAAGAACAGTAGGACAACCATAAAAACTGAAATCAATGTTTCTGGTAAGAGGTTCTGACTGGTAAGAAACTAATGTTTATGAACATAGTACTATCAAATGAAATACAAACAAAGTGACTAATAACAATATTATAAGAAAATTATAATTTTTATTGTCCATAGGTTATAAAAAATACAAACATCTTTTCACCTTTAATGATAAAAAAAGAGAGAAGTTTGAATTTAAAAAAAAAACAACTTACAATGGTTATAAGCTAACAGCGTTCTTCATTATTTTATATAAATTAATGAACGAACTAATGCAATTTTTTCACACATAATTATAATCAGGCCATTTCTTGTTGTTCATATATGATTTTCAGAATATCATCAAAATATTACCTATTTCAGTCAAAAATTGTTATACTAAAGCTGCATTTTAAGTTTTAATAAATTTGTATTAGTATTCACTAATGCTTATTAATTACCATCTCAATGGATTCCTCGCTTTTCTTCATAAACTGACAAGTTATGTGTTCCAACGTATGTTTTATGGATGTACAATCATTTGATGATAACATAACAACGTGGGGAGTAACTTCCTCCTGTAATTTGTCTCTGAATTTATTGAAAAGCACAGAGTGATCAGGAAGGTTTACACCTTAAATAAAATAAAATAAATTAAAACAAGTTAAATCTAAAATACATGAACGTAAAGAGTGAATTAAAAACTATAAAATACCTGTTAAAAGAATAACAGTAGGAATTTGATTAATACTTAAATTGGCTTTTTGAATGAAATTAACTAAGTCCTTCAGGAGCACCTTCATAGCATCATCTTCAATATTCTAGAACCATGATTAAGTTTAAATAAAAATTCTATATAGAAAAAAAATAACAATAATGACAAGTTTTTTTTGTTTTAATATTGTAAAAGGTAACAGTAATGAGACACTTAAAAGGAATATATAAATGAAAAAATTTATAGTTCTATTTGCTTTTATTTTTCGATAGATATAAAAATCCATAAAAAGCTAAGCTTAACAACATTAAGAATACCATAAAGAATTGTAATATATAATTAATTAATCAAAACAATTATTATAGTTAACATAAAAGTCTATTCTTTATAGTAAAGTAATGATGGTCTCTACTTATCAGGACCTCTACCTGGTCCCAATGTGAATTCAAAATAAAAATTTCTAGGTCAATGAAAATCAACCAAATTTAACCTATTGAAAACAAAGATAAAAAGGTAATAAATAATCGATAATTTAATAAAAAATACTTGCATTTAATTTTTTTTCTATACTCTGCCAAACCTTAGTATAACCCCGATACCAATCTTCAGAGGTAATTTCTGACAGAGGATCTTGAAGTTGTTCCTTTTTTTTCCCACGTTTCGGAATATAGACAAAAAAGCCCTAAGAAAAAGTATTTAAAAAAATTATACAAACAATTATGTTTAAGCAAATAATGTAATATAATTATCCACACTACACTAATATTCATAGTGCTATCAATTGAAAAATTAATCACACATAGCGGTCATATATTTAATTTTTTTTTAAATATATAACATAATTGACCTAAATTGAACATAAGAGGCAAATCAATTAACTTAGATAATTAAATATCAGGTATTACCAGTCTCAACAATGCTGTGCTTATAACCATGAAATTAATAGACTTAATTTTGAGTAAAGCTATGGAAATGTCACAAAGTTCACTGACTCTGTTTAAGACCTTAGTCTCATCCAACAAATTTGTTACAGTAGCTTTACATACTTACTTCCTAAAACGGGTGCTCAAATCGCAATGGGAAATAGCTCAGTATGTGCACCCTTCCTTAGTCTATTTTCGAAACAGCCTATGAGTTCATCGACAAATATTGTTTAGTATATTCAGAAAACAATGAGGGAGTTGGGAGTAACCAGAAAATTGGTGAGATCGACGAAAGCAAGTACAGATGGTCTTATATGTCAGCTCCTGATATAAGAAGTAAGTATAGCTTTAAAAGTTTGAACTGGTTTGCAGCAGGGACTTGGATGCTCATCGATTTTGTTCAAATTTGGAGGTGACCAGAATAGTATCATATGAAGATAGACAGGACATGTACCTCAAAGCAATCCATCTAAAGGCCCCCACTTAATATTGTATGTTCCGATTGTTGAGGCCAAAAAGCAGATGAATAGATAAAATCAATAAAGATACTCCAAAACTCTATGCAGTAAACCAGAAAGCACAAACCTAAAGTAGGCAGAATGAGGATGATAAACAAAAAAAAAGAAAGATATATGTACTAAGTAATGTCAAAAGATGGTTGCTTGAATATTAAAAATATTTGTTAAAGGAAGCAATTCAATTTAAAACAATTTGTGGGCCATTTGTTTTGATTAGGTACAAGTAGATTCCAGAAACAAAACGTCTTGGTTGCGGTCAAGAAGAGGTCATAGAAATAACTGTGAAGGATTTAGATGATAGAAAGATGTCTAATATCATAAACTAAACAAAAATAATAAGAATTAAGTTCAACAAAAGTTAAAAATTTTCCAAACTGTAGGAAAAAGGGAAATTTCGAAGGGAAAAGTTATTATAAATGGCAGAAAGACTAGAGAAATGGATGAAGTCGAAAATTAAATCATTATCACTGTAATGCCACATAAGTTATTTAGTAATATCATAAAAATTCCATTTAATGGTAAATCAGGTGAAACAAGATAAAAATAGACATTACAATTAAAGGACTTAGATCTTAAAGAATGTAAATAATCAAAAATAGAGAACCTAAGTAATATCTTCAATGGAACAGGATTTAGATTTGCCAAGAATGAGCAATAAGAAAGAAATTACTTAGAGGAGACTACAAGGAGTGTCATGAATATTTACTGCTTAGATTATGCTGACTAAAGGATGGTTTCGGTACGAGTATTAAATATCTTATGACTTAATTTGTAATAAATTAATTGTCATTGAAACAAACTGAAATTGTACAAGTATCACTACACAACTTAAGATTAAAAAACTACAAAATTAAATTTACTTTAGAAACAGAATCAGAGTAATCCATTACTTCACTTATTCAATAAAATATATATTAATTCATATATCAAAACCCATAAATATATTGACAAGGGTCATAAAATTCACTGACAAACATGAATTTGGCGGGATATCAGAATGTTGACGTAACTATCGATATTTCATTATCGAAATACTAGAGGTAATAACCTTCTGTTGCCATTAAAGATTGTGGGGAGTTAATAGCATAGAACATAGATAAGATTTTTAGTTTTCATTCCATGTTGTTTAATTGAAATACCTGTGATAAACCTTTTTTTGTTAAAATTGTATGTACTTCTCGTCACATTTATTATAATTTAGGTTAACACCCCGAAGATCGCACAGGATCTGAGAGATACACCAAGCGATCTATTTGATGGGGAGAGAAGCAGCCTCTCTCCTCGTATTCTCCTTTCTCTAAGAGTCTTACAATCTAATAGTAGGGTGATCTGTGTTGCGTTCAATTTTTGTACCAACACTTGAGGATTGACGGCGTACGTGGACATTTTTTCCATGAAAGGGGTGCAATGACAACTGATACAATTACCCTGTTATGTATTGCAGGGATGCATAAAGTCGGCAGAAAAAATCTGGATGATTTGTATCACTTAAGTGGCATTAGAATCGAGATGTTTCTTCCCACCTTGTGTGTCCGAAAATTTTGATTTTTACTTTGATCCCTAAGAGTTGACGACCGAGAAACACGTCCACAACGTAACGCAATAGGCCGACTTGCACCTATCCGGATAATATTTAAAGAATTTGTCAAAAACTGCCAATCTGGTTATTCAGTTGAAGCATGTGACTATCGATGATAAATTAGAGACCTTTAAAGGCTGGTGTTTATGTTGTAATGATTTTTGTATTAATTATCCATTAATACAATTTAATCCTATAATAATTGTTCCTAGTATTCATGTTCATATTTAATGGTATACAGAATTTAATGTTCATGTTCCTAATTTTTTCAACGTATTTTTCGTTTTTATTTTTAATATTTTTTTAAATTATGTAACTGTCTTCATTAAATAGATATATAAAAAAACTCGTCTAATATATTTTCATTCAGTACAATGAGAAGTTTATTGGTATTTTTGATCAATAAATTGATTTAGAGAAGTGGATCTCACAGATTCGTAGAGACTTTCCATATGACTCTAGGGCTAGCGACCTTCAAATGAGTGTTAACGTTGAATTATCTTCGTTTAATCCAAAGTATCACAATTGTATATGTTTTTAACACGAATATTCAAGGGGATTAAATATTTTAATTTATTTTGGATTTACTTGTAATAGTAAAACAGTTACTGATATCTAAGTGTAGAATTCTCCACTTCACTTTATTATTTATCTCATACGGTACGAAGGGTGCCCAGAAGGGAGTTTCATGGCGCAACTTGCGCCATAAAAATTATTGAGGGGGGTACATTTTGATGGGTTTTTGAATTTTCGAGGGGAGCACATTTCGACTGGGTTATGATTTTTTGAAATGAAAAATTTCAAACCAGAAGACAAGAGGAAAGCATAGAAGAGACCATTGAAAGTGTAATTGTATATGATTTTAAAAATTCTTCATTAGTTTGTACTATTATTAAGAAAAGGAGAGCAATAAAATATTTTGAGAGAACGGTATGGCCGTTAGGGATGGGTACATGCGCCATCGACATTGGGGGAGAGGATAGGCACCCCTGACACTTACATACTTGTAAACTCAACCTACCAGTTCAATCGTACATTAAAGAACAAGTTATCGAACCAATTTTGAAATTATGGTCATTATTAATCTCTTAAGACATGGAAAATCCCTGTTCTCCCTTTCCTCACCTTTACGGCGATACGGTTTTTTTTTCTCGGACTAGAGCAGAGGGCGAGGGATTATTAATACCAAAGTTAAAAGCCTACGGTATTGGGATTCTAAATCGTGATCTTCTGTTTATCAGACCCACGCGTTAGCCCGCTAGATCACCCCACTCTCTCCTTATGAAACAAACTGGGATTTATTCCAGTAATACCACTAGATTAGTTTATGCCTGTTTTAGGCATTGTCATTTTTGGATGCATTTTTTCATAGATCATTTCCCTGCAGAGAGTTAAAGTAGTTCTTACAGAACAGCTGGTTGGTGAGAACGCAGCGAAAGACTCCGCTGTGAATCACCAATGCGTAGAGAACAGTGGCTCATGGGGTTGTACACATCTTAACAAGATGAATACCTATCGACCTTCATTGCCCTGATGATGACCGAATGCTTAGGTCAAAGCATTGGCAAGTTCAATAAACTATACATAGAAAGCAATTCGTGGCTCTTAGTCATCATCACAAAAAAAAAAAAAATAAATAAATAAAATAATAATGGAAATTTTTTAAAACAATATATGGCAATCTAATAAGTAATGGAAAACCATCTTCTGAGCACCCCTGTTAATATCAGAATCTTATCAGAGTTACCAAGAAGATGGTTTCATGGCGCAAGTTGCGCTATCAAAAGTTTTGAAGGTGGCACATTTTGAGGTGGCTAAGAATTTTCGAGGGGGCCACATTTCGACGGGATTATAAATTTTCGAAATGAAAAGTTTCAAACCAGGAGATAAGAGGAAAGCATAGAGCGTAGCAATGAAAGTGTAATTTTATATGAACCATGATTTTTAAAACTCTACTTTATCTTGCATTGTTTTTAAGAAGATGAGAGCAATAAAATATTTTGGGAGGGAGGGAAGGTTCATGCTCCATTTACCTTGGAAGGGAGTACTTAAATCTTATTATTTAAAAAATGTCCATGCAATAATCACGGGCGGATCTACGGGAATCTACGGGGATCTACGGGGGCTTTCGGGCTGAAGCCCCCCTCCCCAAAATGGTAAGATATAACCATGTTTTCTGGAATTATTGTTCGAGTAAGTACATTTAAAAGGACTTAAGGAATCACTTAAACACCATTTTATATAGGTAGTTAGTTTCTTTCTGTTTTTCCAAAGTAATTATCGTTATTTTTTTGGAAAAAAAGTTTCGGGCTGAAGCTCCCCTCCCAAAATTAAATCCTGGATCCACTAGTGGCAATAATAGTAAGCATGGTAAGAGGATGAACGAAGATTTGTTTTTGACAAGCGGCAACACTGGTGAGGATTTGTTTACGAGTGGCAACACTGTTTAGATTTTCCATAGCATCTGCCAACCCCCTCAGAAATTTTTTGGAAAGAAATCCTATGAAACATAAAAATTAAAATAACGGAAACTTGTAAAATTTTCCTACTCAAATATCAAAATAATAATGATTGGTATTAACGTTTAATTGAATGTTTTTATACATCCTGAGTTGTAACGAATACAGAATATACTGGACTGCCACCAGAAAATTGTATGAACTACGCTTATATTAATAATTTGTTACTATTTCCTTGCTATTAATCTTAAATGCCACTCATATTATCTCACTTGTCGAAGTAAAATCGCTTACAACTTTTGATGTCGATTTCTTGAACAAGAAAAGAATCTAACAAAAAATTATGAACTTCGACAATAGAAAAACCCATTGATTTGATTTTATAAAAACAGCTGTTAAGCTGGAATCTTTATTATTATGATAAATAATAAAAGAACATGATATATATAATAAAAGAACTCATAAATAAAATTAAAAAAAATAAGAAATTGGCTCATTGCAACATAACTCTTTTAATCGTTAAGTTTATTTTGGAATTCTCAATATAAAACATACTATTGCTAATTAATAAGGATTCTCGTAGTTATTTTTAATAGCTATTTCAAAACTAACAATTGACATCAGAAAGAAAAAGGTTGTCACACATGACCTCACATGGAGAATCAGTTGACATTATTACGGATTAGTAAACATGATGAAGGGAGTTATATTAATATTCTTTTGTTTGCAAATAAACTTATGAGTTTGTTTTCTTGTATTGTTTAGAACCAAGATTAGATGAGTTCTGTTGGTTTTAATTCTGCTGCAATCATTATTCCTTATCAATTTCTCTAATCAATGTAAAAAAGTAACATTTTCGTTGTTTATAAGTTGTCAAAGATTGTAAACCAGAAATTTGATAATGCCTCCAAACAAGAGAAATGGAAATAATGTAGTTGGGACTGATGTAAACACCATTTACTAAAGAGATGGTTATTGTTTTTGATAGCATTTATATATTAATATTTTTATGTTCTAGGAAGTTGCCACTGATTACAAACTACAGCAATTTTTGGAAGATGTCCAAAAATTCACGGAAAGATCAAAAGTATTTAACATTTTTTTTTTAACTTTTCAGATAGTAACTTTAATTAGTATTGTTGTATAGCAATATTTGTTTACACAAATGTTTATGTTTCATTAATCTTCGGACAATTATATACTATTTTGTATAGTGTATATCCTTGCTATATTGGCTAAAGTGAATAAGTACATTTTTGACTGAGCTAGAGTTTTAAGTAAGTTCATGTGAAATTTTACCTTATTGATGCAAAAACAATAGGCACATCAAAATTACAAAAATCTGTTCATATATCATAAACAGTTGCACTAAATGCACTACATTTCAGTATAAAACCATCCTTCCAAGGATCTAAAAGGTACTTAGTGATTTATTTTTTGAAATGATACGTTATGATTTTCACAATAAACTCAGAATATTCTTGTAATCTTGTATATTAATACTAAAAAGCTAAAGTAATTAAACAATATTAAAACTTTAAACTAAATTTTATTGTTCTGAAATTGTAGGTTGATTAAAGTACAATATTACCAATTTTTATCTTACTGATACAAATTAATGAATGCTTTCTAACAACTGTTCTTACTTTATGTTTATTAAATTTGTTTTATTAAGCATATAATTTGGAAATATTTTTATCAAATCTGACTCAATTTTGAGATGAATAAGATGTAAAGCAGTCTTGACAAAGATTTCCTATTAAATGGTCTATAATATGGAAAAACTTTGATTTGATTATGGTAAATCCATTTACAAGAATTTCATTTAAAAATTACCTTTTTGTTTTTGTAGAAAAGTGATGAAAAACCAAAAAGATGCAGAAAATCTTTTGATGGTACTAAACAAGCTTTTGTAAGTTGGGATGTCAATGCATAATTTTATATTTCTGATATTTAGTATATGATTTACAAATCAATCATGTTTTCAGAAAAAGCGAGGCCTATTTGAAAATGGATTCAGATCCAAACTATTTCTTAAAGGTTGTTGTTTTATACTATTGTATAAATAAATTATTTTATTCCAATTTTGTGATACTTTACTATATTAGAGATTTTATGAATCAGAGAATAAAGCGAGATTGAAAAGTAATCTGAATGATCTTGTGAAAGAATGTAAGAAAACTGGTGCCACTGAAGAAGAAAATTTGTCTTCAAATAGTCCAAGTGTATTGGAAGAAAGGTATAATATCATTAATTTCAAACTAAAACTAATTATAATTTGTTAACTAGTTCATTATAATTCTTTTTTCATAAATAGTAGTGTGATGAAACTTTAAAAAATGCATCAGAAGGAAATATTTAAATAAATTAAGGATATTTGAAAAAAAGAGTGTTTAGGCTCTTGTGAAGCATATGAATCATTATGGTGGAACAAGAGCTCTTGATCTATATTAGGTAGATCATATGATCAGATCTCAGAGGAATATTAATAAGTGAAACATGAGTTCCAGTTAAGAGACGAAGAGAATAAATATTTCTGACTGCATACTGTCAACAAACAAATGATCAATTTAAATCGAGTATATTATGATAAATGACCACAATATCAAAAAAGACAATCCTAAGTGAGTTTGCTTCATGATAATACACTATCGCATTCACATCCACTGCAAAACCAGGGAAGGGAACGAATGAAGTGTTCAGTTTGGAAGTATTATAGCATGTGGCTAACTCACCAGATTTGACTCTGCCCATTTACTATTTATTTGCAATGATTGAGGCACCCACTTGCTCAGTAGCGTTTCTCTTAAGAAAATGGCTTCATGACTGGTTCGCCACAAAAGAGCAACAGTTTTTCTGTAATGGCATTCAGTAATTACCAGAGAGATAAGAAAAATGTATAGTTAGTGATAGGCAATGTTTCATATGAAATTTTTGTTTAAATTTTTATGCGATAAATGTGTACTTTATTACACACCTGGAACTTATTTATGAGAGCAAGAAGTTTCTCTGTGTTATAAATCATTGAATAAAGCCTTCTCTACCATCTTAGTTTTTTAACTTTGGAAAACATGGATAGCTCTCTTTCAACTAAGTTCATGTGCTAAAAAACTTAGTTGTCAGTAAAAACTAAAAAAACAATAAACTTTTATTTTGTGGCTGTGACCAATAGGGGTGAAGAAACGGAGAAACTTGAAGGTCTAATTTTTTTTCCATAAGAAGAAATAGAGTCAACCAGCAAAATTGGAGTTTATGATCATTCAGGAAAATTGAAAAAGAATATAACTAGTATTTTGACCAGGAATGCATTAAAAAACTACTTAAAACACTCCCTCCCATATCATCATTGGTAGTGATGATCTTATTGATTAATGGATCAGTAAAAACATTTCTGCTTGGTAACGATGAGTTTTTTATTTATCAAATGTAAACTTTTCCTCCAAGGAGCGGGTTTTCATTAGATAATTGGAAATACATTATTTTTTTTCTTCAGTTCATTTATTGCCTTTGGTTTTTTTTTTATCTCTTAAGAACGTTTATTTTCGTGATATGTATTTTATGTTTTCTGTTTAAGCAATTTGCTTTATTGAGTGATCCGAATGAAATTTGGTTACAGGATTAAAGAAGATGCTTAAATTTTTTTCTAATGTCATTTAAAAATATATTAATTTTTTTCTCCCACCTTTAATACTGTTTATTGATTTTTACAGCTCTGAACTAGGAAACCAAGAAGTTGATAACAACAAGGATAGTAATGTGATTCCAAGTAAAAATGAAAGAGCTGCAGATGAAAGCGAGAGGTAATGATAAGGTTTTTAATTATTATGTCACATAGGTAGATTTAAAAAACAAAACAACATTGGTGAACTGAAAGAGAAGCATTTGAAGGAAATTTGAGTGCAGTCAATGTTTTGATTATATCAATAGCGTATAGGTGATAATCAAAACTCTGGGTTTATTATTATCATTATGTTGGAACATTAGTTAGGTCTAGAAAATGTAAAAGCAAAACAAACATGTCTAATAGATTTGTTGGTACTAGTTCACATGAGCTCCACATGGATAGTTCACAATAGATATGCATAGTTCACAATCACTTCGATCACACTTTATGGAATCCTGAAAGCAGCCGAATGTTGCCGTCTTATATTTTTATGTATGTCAGCTACTATCCCACCGCAAAATCTGTTTTCGTGCATTTTTGAAAAACAACCGTATTCTCTTCATGGAACTTCCTTATTAACGAATTATTTTTTTTTTTTTATTGTTGATTTATTGCACCATTACGATTAATGGATCTATTGTGTGCCATTGCGTTATGTATTTACTAATTTGTTAATTATTAATTTTTATCATAATGGTTATTACTGTGGAAGTAAAAGAAAAAAATATTTATAAAATGATGTTTCACTCGTTTCTTCAAGGCCTGTTAAAAAGAAATTTCTTTTAGAAATAAAATTTTTATTTACATGTAGTGGTTGTAAATATGCATGAATTGTTGTATGTTCTCTTTTACAACTGTGTATAAAAGACTTTTTTATCATTCACATAATAAATAATCTGAAGTGATCTATTATCTTTTGATTTGTTATTCGAGTTTTTCAATAGAAATTGAAATAAATGAATTTATAATTTATTTTAGCAAGATTTTTTTTTAGAATTGTGCAATCGTCTCTAGTTTATGTAACTTTTTTGAATTCTTAGATATATGGATCCACTATTTTCTAGTCGTCGGAGGTTTCTATGAATGTACTGTCGGATTTAAAATTGTTCATCTATTTTTCGTAGCTTTTTGGATTTCTTGTATATAAGAGTCCACTATATAAGAGTCTAGGACTCTTTTTATGAAAATAATGTCAGATTAAAGATTGTGCGAGAAAAGTGAACAATATTAATGAATAAAATGTATCTATTATTCATTATATAGATAAATATTTATTCCAATAATGTCCAATTCCAATGGGACCCGTAGGTCTGCCAGTTAGTTGGACTATACCGTTAACTTAAAGTTTATTTTCTCTTTTTAATCGCTATTATTTTTATTGAATGAATTAGCTGTGTAATTATTGTTATTCACAGTTATTTTGCTTAGTTATCCGAAAATGAGTACTTACTGTAGTTATAAATATAAAAAAAAAATGTGTTTATTTTCGAGGAAGAAATTAATTTATTGGAGAAACAACTAACGAAGAATATTTCATCATTCCGAGATAATTAATAATACAAATCATCAATAAGAAAAATAATAACGTGAAATAATATTCAGAGATATAATAATTAAAGTTTTTATCTATTAGTATTTGAGGAGCGGGGTAGCTCGGTGGTAGGGCACTAAGCTTCCAATGTTCAAGGTCCTAGGTTCGAATCCCGGCTCATGGCAGAAAAATTTATTTATTCTGTTTCATTGGCCGTTGGGCGACCCTGGGGTAGTGAGACCCTCCTGGCGCATACCCAGCCTCTAAAAAGTGGGTACCTTTAAATAAATAATTGATTAAGGGGGAAAACTGATCTCCCTGCACAAACGTTGGCCTTGTAACAGTACTTTCCCTAAATTGTACTGAACCCAACATCGTTCATGGATTGGAGTGTATTGTAGGTTTTATCTATTACTATTTCTTTTCCACAGCTGTATAATATATGTACAAGTTCGATTAAGGTTACATGATGTAGCCTAAATTTCAAATATAAGTCGGCTCCTGCTGTATAATTGAACATGGTTTAGGTTATAGAAGTACTTAAATGGCGATATAGTAAATAGTAACTGACTCAAGAGATCTGTTGCCTTCGTTCTCTTTCGGATAAGCCTGAACGAATTCAGCACTCCATGAACAAGAGTGACCAAAGTGATTGTGAACCACACGTAATCCGTGCGGAACTCATGTGAACTAGTACTGATTTGTTTGTTGTTACTTGTTTTTTAAATTAGTATATTTGTGTAAGCACACATGTGTCAATTGGTGGTACAGACAATCATGGAGGCATTTTTCCACAGAATTTATAAGCATAGATAGTCTGGAGATCAAATAACCTCATGTTCAGACATTCACCCATCCACTTACCACATTCAGTGTTTCTCAAATTTGATCACTTTACATACCGTAAGATGGGGTAACTTTGGGAGAGCGGGTAAAATTTAGCTTGAAATAATTCTGTGGTGGATACAATGTGTTGGTTCAGCCTGCAAAAACATGTACGTGTAGGCATGTACTTTGCCTGGTAACTTGGTGTAGTTTGAGAACCCTAGTTCACTACACTCGTTGTGCATCTAGGTTTTATTTATTTCCACTGTATTTTTAAAATTCTTGTTTTCACGAAACTTTTTCTTGTGCCTCAAGAATTGTGAACATCAGATTACCATCAGGTGTATAAATTAATTAATACATTCTTAAGTGTTTAATATTGAATTATAAATTTTCACGTGTTGTCATGGTAACTTTGGGACAGTCTCTATGGTGTGCGTATTATGTTTTGTTTTATTTCTATTGGTTCGTTTTTTCAGGATTTTATTGGAAAATGCCTTGAAATTCTAAAAGAGCTCTTGGCACAAGGCCATGCAAAAATTACATTGAAGAAAATTTACAGGAAGCCTTACCAGCAATAAGAAATAAGACACTATCGATCCGAAATGCCGCCTCCAAGTATGGAATACAGAAAAATACACTGCATTTGAAATCTTTAGGAAAACTTCTTAGGTCGGGCTACAGTGTTTTTAAGGGAAGAAGAGGAACAGATAGCAGCGCATGTTGTTGCGATGTCTAACTATGGATTTCTAGTCAACACCTTTGGTTTACATTGTGTTGAAAAATCGTATCTAGACAGAATTGGAAGAAAAGAAACTCGTTTCAAAAATAACTTACTAAGAAATAATTGGGCTGATCCGTTTATGAAGTGTTACAAACCTTTTGTTTCATTAATATGAATTTATTGTTCTTATGTTTTGTGGTACACACTCATTTTCTTTGTTGTTTCTTATGTAAATAATGAGCTTGTACAATGTGGTGATAACATTGGTACAAAGTCATGTTTCCTGCCGTTTCTAATGGAAATAACGCAGTTTCTCAATTTTAGCCCAATTAATGGAGTAACATTAGGAAACTTTAAAATTTTTTTTTTTGTAAACTAATCTTGTTTATAGATTTATTATTCTGCCATATTGAGTAAGAGGAAGAGTGACTTTACATATTAATAATTTGTTGAGCATTTTAATTTTGAAAATAAAGATAGAAGCTGCTTAAAACTTTTAAAAGTTACTCCATCCTACGGTATTACATATTGCCTTAGACCGATCAGTCTCTCCAGCTGTTTGTATCTTCATAAGAGTTGGAATACAAGTCTTGAATTTTAAATCTGCCTATGTGATTTTAAATTGGAGCTACACTGATTGAAGCGATTAAATATATTATTTTTACTAAAGGTTATGTGCTCCTGAGGCCACAAATAAGCCTTCTAATTCACTGATGACAATAATAAAAGATAGAAATGAATTAAAGAATTTGCTATGGGAAAAATATTGTGAACGGATAAAGTGTACACAATCAGTGACTAATATTTTTCCTCTTGAAGGTAATTAATTTGTCATTATTTTTGTAAAATATTGCTTAAAAAATCAATGAATAATTGTGATATTATGATTGACATAATTTTATAGCTTAACTAACTAGACTGGAGATTCGGAAGGATTCTACTTAATAAGAATGTTGGTTGGACTTACTCTTAAGAAATGCACAGTAACTGTTATAATTCTTTTAATATATACCAACATTTTGTTCTTCATCTAAACAAAACAAGATAGATAAGCAAATAACACAGATATTTCCCTAATCATAAGTTAACATGTTGGATGCAGGAAAATATAACAAAAAAGGGAAGGGAGTATGATAAAAGTGAGGAGAGAAGAGAAAAACATTGAGAGATATATAACAGAAAGTTAGGAACCATTGCAGGTGAATTCATGGGGGCGGGTGGCTGAGCGAGCTAAACATAGTCTGTGGTACAGACCACTTGTTATCAAATTATTAACATCTGCCTAAAATTTCCTAAATAGCTTCATCTCATCGTAATCTACAAATATTTTATTTACTAAAATTCCCGAAATTGGGACATTTTTAATCTGGAGTTTGCCAAACTTTGTCTATTGAATTGTAAGATAATATGATCATAAAATAGAAAGAAAGACAAAGGTGCCTACAAAAATATTGGTCCATTTGGCATGACCTTCATCCCCAAAATGTCAACATAAGGTTATATAGGGCAAACAGCCCAATATTTTTGAAGGCCACCTTTTTTTTTTTTCTTCAGTTTTTTTTATGTGAATACATGGGAATACATGAGTTTTCAGTACCTTATTAAATAGACAAAGTCTGCCAATTTCCAGATTGAAAACGCCCCAATTCTGAGAATTTTAGTAAATAAAATATTTGTAGGTCATGATGAGATGAAGCTACTATTCACAAAGTTTTAGGTGGATCTAAATAATTTGATAAAAAGCAATCTGTACCATGGACTAACACTCTTAGCTGAGCAACCTGGTTAACTGAAAATATGATGATAAAATAATTACGAGTTCGTTTCTCAGTCCTGGGGTGATTTTTAACTCTGGCATTAATGCCCTCTCCCCTGGCCCAGGAAAAATCCCACCCAAAAGGTGAGAAAGGGGAAGACAAAAAAAATTAAGGTGTGTGTGCTTTAGACCACACGAAAGAAGTGAAAACATCAACAAATTAATAATATGAAATATAAATTATAAATAAAAGCTCATTGTAAAGAGAAGAGGATCAAATGCTAAAAATTTCCCTCATTTACAGTATGCAGGTCCCATTTTTAGTTTCTGAGATATTTTAATCTATATCTTCCATAAACCTCGTTATCATTTAGTTTTCTACACTTTTTTTTTCTTTTCGCCTCTCTAACACGGTGTTGCGTCGAGATACAATTTTGAATAATAGCTCATTACAGAGAGATTTCCCTCTTCATCGAATAATAATGATTTCCCAAGATAGCCAACAGCAATATGCAAGTCTGGTTTTTAGTTTTTGAGATATTTTAATCCTTAAAATACAAAAACACTTCAATTAGTCAACTACAGCCAATTATAAAGTGCCATTATCTGAGCATTACATATCGGAAATCTGACGGCTCAATCTAATTAACTCTCCGCAAAAAAAATGCAAAACATGCCTAAAGAAATTTTCACTTAAAAAAAAATATATGAGTTCATAGACATTAATGTTCTCACAATGAAAAAGGGTAAACATTTTAAAAAACTGTTTTAATATATTGAAAAGATATGTACCAACTCTAATAGCTGGTGTAAAATTAAAAAACAAAACATATTATAATGAAAATGAGAAAAGAAGGTTATTAGGAGATGAATTATTAGCTATTGTTTTAATAATTTTAAAATTTGGAAATAATTCAGATATAATTTTTATTATTATTATTTTTTTTTTATTATTTTTTTTTTTTATGAGATAGGATTCTGATAGAGTGTAAATACGTACTGAGATTATTTTGAGGTGTGTTTGAGAACAGTTGATAAAAGTTTTGTCAAAATAAAATATTTATTTGAGAAGTCACAGTTAGGAATTATGGTGAACAGTTTTGGAGCAGTAATATTTAAGAGGAATAGGATCTCTTAACCTAAAACTTTTCTTCAAATCTTACAAAAACCTTCGAATGTCTATACAATTGTAAAACTAAGTGCATTTCTTTACAACATATTTAATTAAATTTTAAAATAAGGTTATGTGAGTGAACTACTTTGAATTTTGTTTTTGTTAACATCATTCTGGAAGTGATACATACTGGAAAAGGTTTGAATTTGAGTGGAACAGTATACGTCCTTGAAATAAATAGGGACTGGATAAAATACATGGTTAACTGCAAAAAATTTCAGTAATATAGAAATAAAAGGGATTGTGTTTGAACACGTAAAGAAGTTTAGGTATTTAGGGTCTTCAATAAATAGAAAAAAAAACGAAATTGAAGAGAAAATTAAGTTGAGGTTGAAGGGAGGAAATGCTTGTTATTTTTGTGTTTAACTACTCAGCTCACACTTCAATTAAAATTTACAAAACTATATTCCTAGCTACCATTTTATATGGATGCGAAACGTGGCCACTTACATTAAAGGATGAGGATATCTTAAGGTTTTTGAAAATAAAATATGTAGAATGTTCAGACAGGTAGACAACACTTTTTTATCACAACAAACAGTTTTTTTTAGACAGTACAACAAAAATGGTTGGTGTGTTTTTATAGTAAAATGAAATTATAGTGTCTTTTTTTCAATTTTTTTGTGTTAAAAAGGTAGAAATTTTATGAAGACATGACTTATCATATACTTTGCCATGGTACGAAATTTCTATTGTTTCCCCTTAAACCACTTTTCTGATACTTTATATTCTTATATTCTGGTAAGCTTAGTTCTCTGTTTTATCTCAGCTCCTTAACACCTAGACTGCGAACGGAATACCTGCCTTCCCCCTAGGAGTTGGGTGATCCTTGCGGATGGGATACCTGCCTGATTATGGGACCCACCATCAGGGAAGAAACACTCGTTATGAGGTCTCGCAGTCAAAGGGTTAAGATTGTTTTTCTTCAGTTTTTAATCCACCTGAATACAAACTTTCTTTTTTTATTAATAATCATTTATGATATCCTCCATATTTGAAATAATTAATGCAAATAAAGTATTGAAGCAGATTATCATAAATTATTTGTAGTATGATATTAGTGAAACAATCAGACTTATATATTTTTTTTTTTGAAAAATCTTTTGTCTAGTTCTGCAGTTAAAATATTTTTAGTGTGTGAATTGGTGAGTGAGTTTGTTTCCAGACTATCAGAGTGTTAATTGACATCTAATTAGTCAATGAATGAGTTAGCGACTCAGTGTCGGCAAGTTCTTTATGAAGAAGGCTCTTATCTAGTGTTTAAGTTACATTATTTTCTCAAGTGTCAATTATATTCTTTGTGTATGAAAGCTCTGCAGTAAAGATTGTATTTAAAAATAATAATTTAGATTTAATTTATTGATAACCATAATCAATGATTGTGGTTAAATTTAGTTGTCATTGGTTTTTAATCAAAACTGCCTTAATAATACAATATTATTATATATTTGTTTCAGATCGTTTAAAAATAGCAAAGCAAAGAATAAATGATATGATTTATCGGAAGTAAGTTACTTATGGAAATTTTCCTGTTTATATTTTGTTAATTATTGTTAACTATTCGTTCATTGTAGATTTTTGCAACATGCCAAACAGTACCCAACTATACTCAGAAGGATATTTTCTAACGATGATATCAAAAGATTGGCTCAAATTGTTGTGAAAGAGAAAGTTGATAAATGTCAACAGACGGAAGTTGTGACAGTGTCTGACTCAGTTAACAAGAATATTCAATGTGAACTGTTGACCAAAAAGGATTCTATGCTATCTTTCCCTAATTCATCTCAAAACAGTGGTAATAGTCAGAAAGAAGAAGGAAGTTTTTTTGGTAATTATTAAAAATTTAACATTAAAAAAAAAGGGAAATATTTTTTTTAATTTCTTTTAATTAAAATGAGTATGTAGTAAATTTATCAGTATGCAAGCGACCGTGATGATTGAGCGAGTTAAGGTATCTGCAAAAATACACTCAAAGTGTAGTATTTTTTTTTTTCGATTTTTACCGAAACCGAAAAATCATGAGTTCATATGATCCTATAATAAAAGAAAAAAATATAATTAACAATGAATAAAATGAAAATAAAATAAGTGCAGGCACTACCCAATTACTTAGACAACCACTGCGCCTCGAGTTGGATTCCTACATCGGGATGGTAACTTCTGCACCCATATATTCACAGGAAGGTGAGCGACCTTTGTGTCTTACACAGTAAAAATACAAGTAACTAAGGGGCCGTGGTGATCGAGCAAGTTAAGGTATCTGCAAAAATACACTCAATGTGTAGTATTTTTGTTTTGATTTTCATCGAAACCGAAAAGTTGCGAGTTCAAATCCTGTTCATATAATTTTATATTAAAAGAAAAATTATAATTAACAATGAATAAAATAAAAATAAAATAATTGCAGGCACTACCCAATTACTTAGATGACCACTGTGACTCTGGTTCGATTCCCACATGGGAATCGTAACATCCTCACCCAGATATTCACAGGGAGATGAGCGACCTCTGTGTCTTATACAATAGTTGCTAGTCCTACAGGTTAGGGGTTGGGCGTAGAGCTAATCCTATCCCATAAAAAATGTCTTATTATGAAACGAAAGAGAAGCTTTGGAAAATCAGACTGTGATAACGACCCCAGCTTTGAATCATGGACTGTACGTTGGTTCTTGGAACATATGTAGCTTATACAGATCAGGAGTCGCATAAATATTTTTCAAAGAATTGAAAAGGTATAATATATCATTAATAGCCATTCAAGAAATAAGATGGCTTGAAGGTGGTGAAATATTATGAACAGCCATAAACCATTCTACTTTTAGTAGAATGTATGTATCACTTTTACTCAGTGTTGTAAACCTAATACATCCTGTACCACAAAATCCCTCTAAGTGAGTTTAAATAGATCTTTAAAAATAAGTGTCTTACTTGGAATCCTCCTATAAGACGGAAACAAAAAGAAACTGCTCATAGATTCTGATTGCTCCAACATTTACTTGACAAACTCTCTAAACTTCCTACATCCAAAAAAATAAAATAAATCTCATTAAAATTATCAACCCCATTAGGGCATACAGAATTGAGCTTCTGAGATCCACAAAGAATTCTTCTTATATCCGATACTTACAATGCAACATCCTTCAAGAAATTCTGAATGCCCCTTTTAATATCACTGTTAACATATCCATAAAGACCTCAATATCATTTGTTGCAAGTTTGTCCCGAAGAAACTTATATTGCAAACTCTTTATTTTCTAACCTCTCTTCTCCTACTAATCCTGAGACATTTTAAAAGAATTTGGCTCCAGGATTTCCTAAATTAAAATACACATCAAAGTGCCATAATATGTAGTTACTTCACAGGATATATTGGGTTGGCAAATAAGTCCTTTCGGTTTTTCAGGGTGAAATAAAACTCAATGTATTATGGACATAAAATTAATTTTAATCTATAATATATTAACCATTACTTAATATGGCTTTTTCCCATCTTTCCACAAACTGCATAATGCCATCTTCATAGAATGTCTGGAATTTATTGTTAAAAAACTGATCGAAGTGGTTTTTGATGTCCTCTTCCTTTTGGAATTTCTTTCCATTCATGGAGTTCTGCAGAGACCGGAATAAGTGGTAGTCACTTGGAGCTAGGTCTGGTGAATAGGGAGGGTGGGTGAAAAGGTCCCATCCAAGGCTCAATAATTTATTGCTAGTGACCAATGAGGTGTGGGGCCTAGCGTTGTCTTGGTGGAACACAACACCCTTCCGATTTTCCAGTTTTGGGAGTTTATTTTTCATTGATTGATCCAGTTTTGTTAATTGTGAGCTGTATAGAGTTGAATTAATTGTTTGTCCTGAGGCAATAGCTCATAGAAAATAGCACCCTTTAAATCCCACCATATGGAAAGCATTATCTTCTTTGGATGCCATCCGGGTTTTGACATTCTTCTAGGAGCCTCACTACTTGGTCACCAAGATTTTCTATGGACTATATTATTGTAAAATATCCATTTTTCATCTCCTGTTACCAACCTTTTCAAAAATGGGTCATTTTGTTGCCGTTTCCATTGTGAACCACAAACAGAAATGCGTGTTGCCAAGTTGACTTCAGTTAGTGTGTGAGGGATCCAAACATTAAACCTGGAAACATAGCCAAGCTTGTGCTTTTCTACACTTGTGTGAGACACATTTAGGTCCATAGAAATCTATCGCACTGATCGTGTAGGATTTTGACCAACAATGGCCTTAACATTGCTCATTTCAATTTCATGTGGGCGACCAGACCGTTGGGCATCATTGATGTCAACATTTTCTGAATAAATTTGGCAAACCAATTTTGACCAGTGCGTTCGGTCGAGGCATCATCTCCATAAACACTGCAAATTTTTCTATAAGTTTCTGCAGCACGCTTACCTTTTTTAAAATAATACAACAAAATATACCGATAATGAATGATATTTCCTTCCATATTCACAGTGCAATAGCAAAAATAATACTAAGCTAGTTTCAACAAGAATTAACAGATATAGTTGTTGACATATTACAAACAGGATAAACAATCCACTTTAGGGATTAATTCATCAGATAAGAAGTTGATAATGATTCATAAAAATAAACAGAAAGACCAAAAGGACTTATTTGGCAACCCGATATATTAAGTATAGTATTTACTTTTACTTTTTTTTCTTTGGTATATACATTTATAAATTTCCATAAATAATTTTTAAAAAAGAATGTTCATCTACTTTTCCTTAGTTACCACTGGTCTATTCTTACATTTAATGAACAGCCCACATTGGTTGTTCTTTTCTTATTTAGATAATTACTTATTCCATTCATACATATTTAGTTTTTAAAAAGTCAATGTTTTGTATGGAAATTTTATTTGTTAAAGAAAGTTTTTTTTATAATGAAAATTAAAGCTTTTAAAAAAAAGAAAAAAAAAGAATCAATCAGAGAAAATGTTAATTTATGAAAGGCTGGGGTTCAATTGTCTGTTGGTTAGATTTGTCTTCAAATATTTATAAAACATGTTTTTATTTTCAGATTTGAATGTACCAAAAAAAATTGATACTCGAGTAACATTTCTTGATTCACTGGAAAACCGAGCAGATATATATTCCCCAGGAGTGCAGAATACCTCACCAGATGGTAATGTTACTCCTCCTCCATCCCCTTTTCCAGCCAGCATTCAACAATGTTGGGCACCGAGCACGGTTTCAACTCCCCGGAAACCTGAGATTTTTTCACCTAACATCTCTCCTCTTCAGCCTAGTTTTCAAAAACCACCGATCTCGCCCTCACCACCTGAGCCAGTTGTTTTTAACCAGGTGACAGATAGTTGTTATTTTATTTATAAGTAGTTTAATTTAGGTTTAAGAAGGGACTAATATGTGATTTAAAAAAAATTCTGATGGATTTTAATGTATGGAATAATAAATAACTAAAGTATGTTAAATGCTTGTGCTCCAAACATATTAGGGGTACTCATGAAGCCTGTGGTTAAGGCCTAAGGTGTTATGCTTTGTAGCCAGCACAAATTTTAAATGAATGGTAAATAACCTGTCTGTGGCAAGGTGCTAAAGTGTATGTAGCAAGGTTATGATTATATATTAAAAAAAGTTAATGAATTCCCCAGCTTGATTGATCTAATAACATTTTGATTTTTTGAAATAAAAATGTAGAGTTACTGGATTATCTGTTTGAAAATGTTTTAATAGAAAGGATGAATGAAGATTCAGAAGGCGCAGAATTTATTGAACATTTTTTGTGAAATGAAAATATAAATGAAATCCTAGCTGTTAGGTCAATGAGATATAACATAAATTTTCTTCCTGGATCTCTGAAGAAGTGTTCTCATTGGTGCCAGGAAGTATTGCTCCAAATTGAGGCAGATGGTGAAGGTTGATAGATTCCTGTTTAATTTTATATTAAATTAAATTCGAGACCATCCTGTCTTTTTACCAAGACTGCATCCAATTTCTGTCCTATTGTTTTTGTTATGTTAGTCTTGTATGGTTATCAAAATCTCATTATAACCTTCTCTGTGCATTTACCAAATTAGCATCACTTTACAGGGCCCCAGATTGCATTAACATCGAGTATGCTAGTGGCCATATTTAACACATTTCTTAGATAAGTTACTCGACTTTAACATATTTAAAAGGTTTACAATGCTTTGCTCTGGTTGCATGAATTGTCTTTAGACACAAGTATATTTTACATGACAAATTGATCGGTACAACCAGACAGAGGGATATTATAATAATTTATGCATAGAGAAGAAAACTGTCAATTTTTTTAGAATTCTGTTTCAGTATAAAGTTATTTATTGTTAAACAAATTTTTCAGCCAAATCTGACGAGGGACAGGATAAGGAAGAAGATATCTCAACTTCAGTTTATACAAAATTCAAACACTTTTGATTCTCCACAGCTGTGCTTTCCAAAAAGAAAAAGATTGGCCTATTCTCCTCATAGATTATAATATATTTTAAAATTTCAAATCATCTCATTTAAATTTAAAAGAAAGATGATATTTTTCAAATGTTTAATACTTATTTAATTGATTTGGTTTGTTTACTGGTTGTTTAATAATGGTTGTATCATATTTTTGTTTTTCCTACTTTAGTATTAATTATAAATAAAATGAACTTACATTAATATATGTATTTTTTTATTTGATTTAGCAATTAGTAGTGTATTTAAAGTTTTAAAAAATATTGTTTTTTATCTATATTTTTATAATTAGTGTCGGCTTTAGAGATTTGGCATCCCTGGGTAATGACGTCATAACCCCCCAAAAAATTAATTTACTTCTTTAGCTGTTTCATATTAAGTAATATTTCATTTGATTCAGTATATCTCTAATAGTAATGTTAAAATAATATTATCCCCAGAAAAAAAAAGTATATAAATAGCAGAAATAAATATAGATTATATAGTCTACAAAGTAACTATTGATATTATTAAGCTATCATTTATATTTGTTCTCTTTATATTTTTGATTCCATCCATTGCTATCCATAAATATTCATATTATTTTTAGTTACTAAATCTAACCATATAAAGTTACTTATTATATTCCAATTATAAACAAAATTATATTTATATTATATTTAATAAAAAAAATCTCATTTATTCTTGGCTCTGTTATATTATGCATACTTCCTATTTATATAATGTATTTATTTGTACTAATCATTTAGTTGATCCAATGTTTATATAATTTTCTTTTTTTCTTGGTTGATTTACATTTATACTTTTATCTATATCTTATTTTTCTGATGTGATTTTTTAAAATTTTCATCCGCATACTTGGGTTGAAACATTGGCAAGCCTAATAAACCATATATATATATATATATATATATACTGCAAATCCTGACTATTTGTCTTTATAATTTTAAATAACAGTAAACTATATATCCATCTCTAAAATGTTTTTAAATTAATATTTATTTGATTTTGAAAATATTTGAATATATTTATTTATTAACGTGCATGCTAAATAAAAATTGTTTTAATAGCACCTAAATTATTCCGAAAACTATTTGAAAAAAATAATCGCTAGGGACTGTTAGTGGACAAAGTTTAGTGAATGAAATTAATATAAATAATTTTTTTACCCCTAATTTGTATTTTTAATCTATGATTCACTATAGTAGTTTTGCAGTACAGGAAGTTGTGAACTTTATCTAACTTCCTTTCCTAGTTGATATGAACCGGAAGGGGGTAGATCCCTTCTAGCCCCTATCCTTCATTCATTGATTCAGAATGAAATTATATCATTTGAACCTATTATTTGTTGTGCTAACTAATGGATTATTATCAGTCAGTGGAGCACGTAAGTATTAATTTTTTTTCTCTATTATGATGATAATTTTTGCCATACATTATTTGCACTTAAAAAATAATATTTGTTTGATTTGATGTTATTTTAATTAATTTCAAAACTATATACTTGTATATGAGAGATAAAAGCTATAATTTTGAAAACACTTTAATATATTATTTTTACTGTTTCAAATATGTATAGCAAAAAATAAATATAATTAAATTATATTTTTTGAATTACTAGTTTGTTGCTACTATATACAACAGACTACCATAATAATAATATAATAGCAAGTATTAATAGAATTTATTTTTTTTTATTTTTCTCTTAAAAATACCGATATTTTCTTCTTAATTAATTATATAATGTTTCTAATCTAAAAATTTAGTTTATCATCAAAGTAAAAATATTTCTGTATTAATTAAAATTAATAATTTTTATATTAGGATTATGATGTTTATTTTTTAAAATTAAAATATACATACCCCCATACCCGACTGAAACGACTAGAAACCGCCCGACGTTTTCGACTACTGCAGCACTTACTAGACAAACACTCTAAGCTTTCAATCAATTACAAACGACTCATATATATGACAATAATAAGACATATTTGGACTTACGGGATTGAGCTTTGGGGCTCCACTAAACCATCGAATTTCTCTCATATCCAATCCTTACAATCCAAAACCCTTCATAAAATCCTCAACGCTCCTTACTTTGTCACAAATAAAATCATCCATAAAGACCTTAATGTTCCATATGTTTCCAATTTGGCTCAATCCAGATACCTATCCTTCCATAATAAACTGCAGAACCATCCGAATCCTATCGTTTCAAACCTTTCTTCCTCCTCGATTCCTGATAACCCTCCGAGGCGTCTGAAAAGAAGATGGCCTTGGAACCTTCTAATATAGCACTTTAATTGGAGTTCTATCAATGGGTAGTTTCTCTTCATGTTGTACATGTCATGTTACCATTGTCATATTTACTTGATGTATTTTCTATGTAACACAATTGTAAATTTCAGTAAAATAAAAAAAAAAAAATATATATATATATACATTGTCCTTATTATTTTGTAATATTACAGGTTTGAAGTGCCCGTCTGTTTCTATTGCAAATGGAAGTTTTAAAATCCGTTCGAAAGGACGAATTATTGTCTACAAGTGCTCCAGAGGATTTTATTTACTCGGTGAAGCTTATGCGGCTTGTATTAAGGGAAAATGGGATTCTAATCCACCTGTTTGCATGAGTATATTTGATTATTTTATCTCGTTGATAATTTTTTTTAATATTAAAGAAAATGTAACTGTTTGTATTCGATTAGCAGAAAGAAAGAAATAAAATGTTCATTTTTAGAACCTGGTTGCCCTCGCCCAACTAATTTATTAAATGGAAAAGTGCAAGATAGTTGGAGATCATCTTTATTGAAGTTCACATGTAATCCTGGTTTCAAACTTATTGGGCCACCTTATATTTATTGCAACGGAAGACAATGGAATGCTCCTCAACCTATCTGTCAAGGTAAATATAAACTCGCAAAACATTTTATCATTGTAGACTCTCCTTATATTATTTTTCACATCAATGGTAGTAGATTTACTTAATTAAGAATCAATTAATCGGAGTAACTGTGCTGTTCCTCAGGCCCTGAGTTTGAATCATCCTGTAGCATATAATTATTTATTCTGTTAAATCAACTACAGCGTGAAGGAGATTGGGGTAGCTCAGTGGCTGAGCACTGACTTCCTAAGCTCAAAATCCCAGGTCCGAATCCAGCTGATGACCAGTAATTTTTTATCAGCTGTGGGTCCAGGAGACCATCCTAGGGGCAAACCCAGACTATATAAAATGGGTACTCTTAATTAAATAATTAATTAAGAGGGAAAATCTGACAGTTGAGTGTGATATTGACCCATCACCTTCCAGCACAACCGTTGGCCTTGTAACAGTACTTCCTCTCATTGTACTGAACCCGTAACCCTTCATGGGTTAAATGCTGTTAGTGGTTAATAATAAGGTTTTTTAAAATCAAGTGCCGATATACCTTGGGTATATGAGGTCATCCTGGAGCACACACAGTCTCTATAATGTGGGTATCCTTAATCGGAGTAAAAATCTGGTGATTGGAAGTGACCTTGGCCTTATCACCTTCTTTTCTTGCTCAATCATTGGCCTAGAAACAGTATGCATTTTAGGAAGCTGGAGGGCTTTGGTCTGTAACTACTTAGGCCATGTGAAAATTCACTGTAGCTAATTGTACAGAAATGAGAAAAGATTATTTAGGGCACCAAGAGTTGAGTTTAAGGTTTAAAAAAAAAATGTATTCTTGACAAAAGACATTCCCTACTGGAGATGATGCTTAAAATTGCATTTGAGGCAATTTCATGGTACATTTAAATGTTAAAACATTTCAATTTAATATTTTAGGGAAGGTTAACAACAAAACATTAATAACAATCCTTACAAAATATCACTGGTTAGATCATCTGAGCTAAGATTGAGAAGAAAATTTTGTTATATAACTGGTTTTTAATATCATGAGGATTATTTTTAAATATATTTTAAAAAATGTGTGTTTCTTATGACTGTCTGTTTGTTTTTTCAGCTGTTGATATCAAGTGCGACTTTGAGAAAAAAAATACATGTAATTGGATTATAGATGATTATGATGATGACGATTTTAATTGGCGTTTGCAGCAACATGAAACTCCTTCTCGAGTTCTTAAAACAGGACCTTTACATGACCACACTCTGTCTCCTAATACGACAGGTATCAACCTATTATTATTTAATTAATCTTTTTTATATCAGTTACTTTAATCATACTCATATGATTGGCAGAATCAGAAGTAAAGCTATTCAAAGTCATATTATAATTTGAATAGGAAATGTAGAAGTTCAGTGATATCAATATGTTGTGTAAAAATATTATGTGATTTTATATCCTGTCAGCTTTAAGTACCGATGTTTTCAGCAAAAATTACTACAATAAATTTTTGCATAGTTTTAATTCATTTTTTTCATTCACCTGAGATGTATAGAAATAAATGGGTGAACACACTTTTTATTTCAGAAAAAAAGTAAAGATAAGAAATTATGAAATAAACGTTTCTAGTCCTAAAATTTATGTTGCAAATAAAAGATACCTGATGATTGATTCATTTATTTTCATGAAAACTTAAATATAAGGATCAGGAACCTTTAGGATGTCACTTATAAATATGGATCAATTCCTATAAGAGGTCTTGCTGAAAAACAGAATTCCATAACCACTTTAAATGAAAAATCATTATATTTAACATTTTTTTTATTACTAATAAAAAGTGTATTTAGGTAATTATGGTTATTGTAATACATTCCAGATCATGGAAAAACAAAAATTAAAAGCTTTTTAACAATTTATTTTAGTAATTTTTACTGAAAATACATATATTTTTGGGTGAAAGGATGTAAAATCTAAAAGGATATAACATAATTAATCAAAAAATCACATAATTTTTTTTACACAACTTGAGGGAAACCTCAACTTTTTAAAATCTTAACTTGATTGAATTAAACTTAAAGCTTATTAAATGTGGAAGTGTTTCTAAAAGTGACCTATCTACAGTATAGTCAGAGGATGATAAAAAAAAAAAAATTGCTCATAATTTATGATTTTTTTTTTAAAACAGAACTTTGCTTAGTTTAGGCACTCCATGACTACTAATTTTATTTCAAGTAAATTTTGTATAGTTTACTCAGGAGTAATTGTTAATTACTTAAATTAAATATTTTTTAGTTATCATTCCTTATCCACCTATTCAATCCAAAATATGATAGTTAAAAAAACATAAATCTTAAATTTCCTACTTTTCTGCCGAAAATCAGACCAATATTTATATAAACTTTTTTGTAGCTCTAGACGACTCCTATCACTTCTATAAATATATCCCTTTACTTATGGGGCATTCTGTATATATTATGAATACACATAGGCATTGGCATTTAGGAAGTATTGTGTGGACGAAGATTTGTGTAACATGTGATACTTAAAGGAGTAGCTCATTAATCATAATTTTATATAATATATTATTTCTCAAAGATTTTTTTTTGTTGTGTGTGTGTGTTATAATTGACCAACGATAAAAAAATGAATTTCACTTTTTTATACTGTATTGAATTTATTTATTTCCTTATTATATTGCCATTTGTTCACTGCCCATTATATTATATTGAACTATTTGCATGTTCAATTAGTATTATAATTATTATCTATTCAGTTTATTGAACTTTTTCTGATTTATTTAAAGTAAATGCTGTCATTCTCAGTAACTGGCTTGTTTCATAAATTATTGGAGAGGGGAGAGAGGGAACAGAAAAGCCTTTCCCCTCCCCTCTAAGTGCTAGCACCAATGTGTTTACATATCTCTTACATATATTGTGATTTCTTTTGTATTTTACAAATAATAATATAACCTAGGAAGATCACTTTATACTATAGTGTTACTTCCAAAAGAAGTAAGAGGTAGTTAAATAAAAAAACAAATTATAAGAGTATTAATATATTAAATTGAAATTTATAATTATTTTATCTCAGGTATGGGTTACTGACAATCAGATCAAAACACTCAGACAGACTAACTTTAACTACACTATACGCTATATGATTTTAAAATAATGTCAAGTATGCATTGGCAAGCTAACCTTTTTTTCCTATATACAATGTTTCTTCCTTTGTGGCATTGAATTCATTTGTCTTCAAACAGTTTCCAAAGTTCTGCCAAACACACTTTCCAAAATGGTGACACTTTCATCTATTCAACTCAAGCTCCCTGGGAGATCCTCTCTCTCTTTTGATTCCAAACACCTAGTCGTCTAGCTAAACATCATCCGAAATTGTAATATTATTACTGGGTTTTACTCACTGGAGCCCGGTGTATCCCTTCTCCCATCCTCTTTTCACCCCAACCAAACACCAACAGTTTCCTAAACAAAATCCTTTGTCCCTCCTCTCTTTGGGATTTTCGTTTTTGAGGAATATATAGAGCAGCTATTTTCTTTTTCCTGAACTAGTAGAACTATATTAGCTTGCCTTTTAACTGTTCAACATTAATTTATTAAACCATTTTTAACAACTTCCTATTAAGGTATATATTACAATATACTTGTTTTTTAAAATGATTATTTGTATCGTGCTTTATTTAATTAGTTTAAATTTATATTCAGGTCAATACCTTGTGCTGGATACTAGTGAATACATGCCATCGTCAAAACCAGCTAGAATTCATTCGCCAGTCTTCCCACAACCTCCTGATAACAGTTCTTGTTTTATATTTTGGTATCACATGTATGGAAATACTATTGGTAAATATTAAGTTCTATAATTGTTATTAAAAAAGTGTTGTTATAAAACAAACTAATAGTTAACAAAATATATGAAATGTATTCAGGGTTAAGTGGCCAAACTGAAAATATGAATTAAGGACTAATAACCAGAGATGATTATTTTTCTGATTGAAGATACCTCTTCTTGTAAAAGTAGTTTCATCTGTCCTGAGAATTTTGCCTAAAAATTGTGGATTTTGAACATTTAATATGATTGTTAATGTTTACATTTAATTAATAAAGTAGTTAGAACAAATAAGTAGGCTTTATTTATTTCATATAACGTAAATAATTCATAACCACGAAAATCTTTAAGTGTGAATATCTCCTAAACAAAGTTTTTGTGGACATACCTTCAGAGGAAATTTTTTTCTTAGTTAGAGGTTCTTAGTTCACTTGTCGCAGTTTTGACACTTAACTACGAATCACACTGTATATAAAACCGATGCTAGGGTGTAAAGTGTAAATATATAAGTTAGAATATTTTTTAAGTATTAAAATTTTATTTTTTATTTTTCCATTACTTTAATTGCACGTAACTCAAAATGAGTTAATTTTGAAGATATTTTTTTGGTTGTTAAATGTTAAATGTTTTAAGCATAAAATGTTTTAATCATCAGTACCCAATCCGCATGGAAAACTATTTTTGTTTCTATATTTAAATTAAATTTTCAAAACATTTAGTGTTATTGCTTGTATATTTAGAAATACAATTTTTTTGGTAAAATAATATCAGTAAAGTACCATACCGAAGGTTAAATTTTATAACTACATTACAAAGAACTGAAATATCTTAAAAATTAAATATATATAAGTTCAAGCTTCTTATGTTTTTTTATAATAATTGCTCCGTGGTGCTTTGATAAAATATAATAAGCTATTTTTGCACAATTTAACAGCTATTTAAGAGCTAACTAAAAATTTTCCCCAACTCAAAAAAGAGTGTGATCTGATCAGGAAACTATGATATTACATCCTCATTTATCAATATCTCTTTAAATTGAATCTCATATGAATTGGTATAGCAGAGTAGTTAGAGCGTTGTTGTGTACTTGTGATTTAGCCGATTGCCACAGAACCTACTTCTTATCTCGTACCTCTTCTCTGCTTAGTTCTTTGTGCGTTCTCGTTATTCGATTGTTTACATTTATTTTCGTTATTTTCTATTTAAAATGTATATAATAACACATTGGCAATTGCCGTCTTTGGAAGATGAAGCTGTGAAATACTTTTAGAAGTTCTGAATAATTCCAAAGATGAAATTGTGTGAAGAAGGTCATCAAATGAAGTTTGACAGGAAGACCAAATCGAGATGTTTTGGTAGGAGTTGAAGGAAAAACATTTCAATCAAGAATAGGAACGTAATTAGAGGGATCAAGAATTAAATTTATTTATGACTGGACTCATAATTTAACAACGATTGAGTTGGACAAAGAGCAGCTGAAACTATCCAACAAAAGTGTGGTTGATTGGAACAGATTTTAGAGAGAATTTTGTGCTCATAACATGTTCACTAAAATGTTATACAAGTCAAATAAAAAAATTGGAGGGCCTGGAAAAGTGGTTGAAATAGACGAAAGTCTTTTGTTTTTAAAGAAAAATCATGAAGAAAGAGTGCTCTCAACAATGAATGTTTACCAGAGTTTGTCGAGAAACAGACAAGTGTTTCATTGTAAAATAAAAGGCAGACTTTTTGTGGTGGCGGCTCCACAGAAAAGAGTCTTCATTATTTTAAATTGTATTAAGCTATTCTGTCTTCCAGAATAAATAAAATGTTGTAAAATAAAAATGCTTTGTTATTATTACATTTCTTTTTGTCTATTTCAATTTCTATGATTATAAATAAGAACATAGATATTATGAGTATCAGAATTATCAGTGTTCAGGTTATAAACAATGGCGGATAGCAGTCCATGGCGACTGGCTTACTCACAAGTACCGAGCAAGTGTTGTACTATTAAAGTGAAGATCATAAGGTCGAATCGTGGTCCCTACCTCCCAGTATGGCTGGTCTCTGCAGGAAGTTAGACCATATCTCCTCAATTAGAGGAGGCCTACAAGTTGAAAGTTGTAAGAAAAAGGACACTAAAAAAAAATTATATTTTTAAAAACGTTTGATGAGACATATCTATCTAATAAAATTTTATTTTATTTTTTTCTAATTTTGGCTAGTTCAATAAATTCATTTACCAAATAAGACAACTCCCAACTACCTACTTTGATGGTAAAAAGTCCTGTATATCATGTTTTATCGCACCACTCCAGATGTTTACCTCATCTAAAGTATTAAGGTTCTTGTTTTGTTTTTTTACTTAAAAAAAAATAATGTACTTATTTGTAAAAAATATATTACTCTTTCTAATAGGATGGTTTGAAATAGCCAAGACTACAAATTATCAATAAATCTATTTTTATCAGTTTATTGTTTTTTTCAGGCACACTGAATGTGTTTCTTAACAATGTTTTGTCTTTTCAAAGACAGGGTAACCATGGCGATCGTTGGATAAAAGGAATTATTTCTCTTAGTGAAAATGTTACCAGGAGTGATTTACAGGTTATTTTATGCGTTACTCTAAATTAGAGAGAAAATTAATAACATGTATAATCATAGAGAGAAGGTGAATATCGCTACTGTTAGTGCAAAAGGTCAAATGTAACAATTTTCCACTTGTGTTCTGTTTGTGCTAAAGGTGACATTTTGTAGTCTGCAACTGCTATAAGTAGCTTATTACTATGGAAAATAACAGAGAAAAATAAAACATGAAATTATACTAATAAATCATATAGAAATAATCAGTTTCTATTCTCTACTGTAAAAAGAACTCAATTTTAACATACAAACTTTTGCACTATCAGTAGGGATATGTTCTTTGTAAATTTAATTTAATCTTTTATAGTGATATAATTATGGCTTTGCCCATCACAAATGATCATAGATTCAGTCCATTTGAAATTAACCAATTTGAATTTATTTGGTTGCTTGAAATTTTTGATTTTTATAAAATTTTTTTTAAGGCTTATCCTTTTTCTTGGAGGCCATTTTCAATTTGATTTTCGACTGCAAATGTCTAAACTTTGGTAATTTTGTCAATATCAAACCAAAATAAAAATTAAAATAATGATGATGATTTTTCTATTCTTTATTTTTGTTTTCTTTTATTACAATACCTAAGAAGAAAGGGAAGTGATTAAAAATAAATCACAAAAATTAAGAAACGAGACTTTTAGTGCTTTAAAAATGTAATAATGAAAAGAGACTTATCTCTGAAAACATTGGATAGAATCCATGTTGAGTTCAGAAATAAATTTTATTGATTTTTGAGAACAGTATTCCAATAGAACAGTATATACATTAGCCCAATCACAATTACAGCTGATAAGGTGACAGTTCATTGGCAGTTGATGTGATAGTAGCACTCACTGCCGTAGACACTTATATACCTATCCTAGAATTTGTGGAATGATAAACTAAGATTCAATTATGTGTCTTAAATTTATATTTCAGGATACAAATTTATTGTTTAGATAGCACAATTTTCAGCATTAATTGATACAATATAACTCTGGAATCGATTGAGTCTCAGTTTTGGAAATCATGTCATAAGTTCTTGTGGTAATGAGGTATAAACTGTAAAACATGTTTTTGATTAATAGCAAATTCGAATTGGTTGACAAGAAAAAAGTTTCAGCATTAGAAATTTGTCAACTATAGTTTTGAACTAATCATTAAATAGAGAATAACTGGTAAAAAAATGTTGAGCAATATGGTCTGAGTGATTTCAAATGGATTGCACCCATACATAATAGAATTTGATTATTTTTATTATATATACTTTAACAAAATTAAACAAACAAAAGTTGTAATCTGAACTGATTTATACCTCTCACCAAAGTTAATTTTTTGCAAGCTTTATTCTCATCTGACTGACATAGTGTTAGCTTTATTTATTTTTTCTCAAAGCTATTGATTCTCATTGTATCTATATGTCTATCAAGAGGTTTTATTTTGCATTTCTTTAAGCATTTCATTTTTTAATGTAGGTTATAATTGAAGGCACTTATGGTGGGGGATATACAGGTGACATCGGTTTAGACGACTTCTCTATAGGCAATGGGACTGATTGCTTAGGTTCTGCAGGTAAACAATAATCTAGTAAAATAGCATTATAACCAGAGCTCTGATTTTTATGTAGTAATATGTTGTATAATATGCAATAAAAAAAAACTACTTAAAATATGCACCAAAAAATCCCCAACTATGCATTCAGTCAGCTAAAACATAGTAGCGTGACTATATTAAGGAACGGATAAAGAAAGTAGAGAAAGGATTTTAAAATTAAACAAAAATCTTTCACATTATTTTTATGTATTTTCTTTCCTTTATAAATGAGAATAATTAAAACATAATGGTGAAAACTAAAAACAGGAAATAAAAAAAAAATATATATATATATATATACATGTATTATTATTTAAAATTGTAATAAGAAACACTTTTAAAAAACTAAAATATCAAAGTAATACAAACTTGCACTTAATAATAACATAGAAATGGAGATATAGATAATTTTGTTTAAAAAGGATAAGTAATTGACAATACTTTTAAATAATGAATAAAACACAAGTGAATACAAAATAATTAAAGAACTTCAAAAATTAACTCATAAGAGACTAAATGTATAAAAAATAAGTAATGTAAATGCATTAAAAATATTTATGTTAATATTTGTTAACATTAAAAGCATAATGTGAAATACTTTTTATTGACAATGTCCAAGACCAAATTCTGGTAAAAATTATTGAATGCAGCTTCCCGCTGTCATTCCTGCCTTCATAATCTTGAATTTTATTGTTCTCTAGAAAAGCAGAAAAACTCTATTTATGATACAATGCTTTTTTTTTTTTTTTTAAATTATATATTATTTCTGTGCCTAAGGCTGGTTTTACTCCTTGTCTCTCCATCTTCCCAAACTGTTATCAACACCAACAATCTTTTTGTGTTTTCAAAATTGCTTGTGATAAATCCAAATTATCTTGAATTTTGTTTATTTTAAATAATTAACTACTTCTCAATGTTTGTGGTACTAAAAAATGGATTAATATAAAATGTGAAAGACTTTAATTTGGATTAGAAAAAAATCCATGAATAAGAGTAGTAATACAGATGTATAACATACTGTTAAAACTAACGGTTAAATAAGTAAATAAATATTAATATCTAATAATATATAGAGTCATAGAAAGTAACGATGAAGGATGGGATTCAGTAATAAATTCATGTAATTAAATATAAACCTACTTGAGTATTAATTAATTTGTATTTTAAGTAGTGATAAATGAAATTATTGTAATTCATGCACTATTCAAGTTTTTTCAAAAGTCTTTTATTCCTATATTTCAGTTAAATCCTGTGTTGGAAGATGTTATGAAGATAAGAATGAGGTATCTTCATGTTTATGCAATCCCGAATGCTCAGTTGATGCTTCCTGCTGCGAAGATTTTCTGGATGTCTGTAGTATAGGTATTAAAAACATCAATTAATATATTTAATCTCTTTCTCTGATTTGTAAGTGAGTATGATGAATAAAATTATTGAGTTTTACTTTAAAAACCCAATGTAATAAATGGGTATCATCTTTCAGAATCTACAACACCATTTTTTGAGGCAAGTACTGGGGTCGAAGATAGCACACAAGTATATTCCGACACCTCTGGAACTACAGACTATGAGACTAGTTATTCTGAACCTATTAGCTCGACTGAATTAGGATTCACTGCCGCCTCAGAAAATAGTACTGACACAAGCAGTTTTACGTCTTTACAAGATTTAGATTCAATATATTCAAAAGCAGATGTTGAACAATTTGAAAAAACAGAATTTTTAAATAGTAGTGGAAAAAATCATGATGTTACTGGTACTGAATTTCATTCTCTCAGTACCTCTTCATATGCCCAAAAAGAACACGGAACAACCAATTCTACTAAAGAAACTATTATTGTAAATAGATTTGCTTTTTCAACAGGCATAATGGCTCAAACAACAGATAGAACTACTGTTTCTACTCCTGAAAACAATATTACAGTCAAGAGTTTTTATAATACCACGACTGAGGCAACTTCAAAGCATTATGATTACTTGTTTAAATTAAATAGCCTTGGAACAACTTCTACTAAAGCTGATTTAAGTAAATTTACAAAGTTTATAACTAATTCAATTAAAACCACTATTATACCTCAGGCAATATCGACCAAAACATTTTTCTTTAAAGTTCCGACTGACAAAACTTTCAATCCAAACAATTTAACGGAAAATACTACAACCTTGATGCCTTTGAAAATCTTAAGAACCAAAGAACCTGATATTAACAATAAAACTGACAATAAAGGTAGTACCACCAATATGCCGTTGAAAATTATTACATTAAAAATCAAAGAGCCTAATATAAACAATATAACTGAACGTAAAAGTAGTACAACCTATCTGCCTTTGAAAATTAATTTATTAACTACCAAAGAACCTAATAAAAACAATAAAACTGAAAATAGACGTAGTACAACTTATATGCCTTTTAAAATTAATTTATTAACAACCAAAGAACCTAATATAAACAATAAAACTGAAAATAGAGGTAGTACAACTTATATGCCTTTGAAAATTAATTTATTAACAACCAAAGAACCTAATATAAACAATAAAACTGAAAATAAAAGTAGTACAACCTTTATAACTGTGAAAATGAATACATTGAAAAGCAAACAGCCTAATACTAACAAAAATTTTACTACCAACAAAACGGTATTCTTAACATCAAAACATACTCAATCTACTACGCCATTCCATTCAACGAAGGTTTACCAAACCACTCCCGTTCCTAACTTGACCTCTAGCAGGACATCTAAATCTGTTACGAAAAGCCTTAACCCATTAGGAAATGGAACCACTCTTCATTCGATGGCTCCATCCAATAAGATTACACCAGTCCAATCTTCAACAAATGCTATACTTAAAAATTTAAAAAGTATAACACCTTCTTTAGAGAAGAATAAATTTTATTTCAACATCACATCTACCATTGTGCCACTGTTCCATAACGTTACTGTACCGACAACATCTGTTCAAACGAAAATGGCTACCAGTAAAGTTGATAGTAAAAAGATAGTTAATGATTCTCATACTCATTTACAAACTACCTCGCAATCTCCTCCTCTTTTGAATACTACCGAAGGATCAGTCCCATTCACTTTTATTATAACAAATACACAGCCAATCAAACTTAATACAGTTAATAGATCTAAAAAATGGAAATCAATATACAAACCGAAAGGTGAGTTTTATAATATGATAGGTTTTTGTTTATCCTGTTACAGAAACTTTGCTTAATCGTATTACCTCATAATATTTTTATTTTTCAGATAGATTTATGTTCTCTGCAGTTCGGAGTAATAAAGATAGTGACAATAAGACTTACATAATATTATCGACTTGCGCCGTAGTAATTGGTATTATAAGTTCTTTGCTGGTAGTTCTCTTCATCAGAAGAAGGAGACTAAGGCTTGTGAATGAGTTAGAAGAAGCGGACACAGACATATTATACCATTCCTCTCAGGAAATGTTGGATCTCCATATTGCGAGGCCGAACCATTAAAACATAATATGTTCTCATTTTTTTTTTTTTTTACTTTAGACTGATATAATTTGTGTGTAGTTTAAGAAAAATTTGAAGCTGTAAATTTAATTAAAACAAAATATTTTGTATGTGACAGATAAAAAAAAATAAAAATTGGCAAGATTTTCGATGAATGAAAGATATTGTTAACAGTATTTTATATGAAATGTCTTGTGTTGAGCATGTACAATGTTATGAACGATTGTCGTAGTTCCTTAGTTTGTTGTATAGTAACTGTTATTAATAATTTTGTTATTAGTTTTGAGGACTCTTAATGATTTTTTGTAAGATAATTTTTGATTAAAATTTAATTTATTGTAATTTTTGAAATTTAGGTTTTAAATTTGCTCTGTTTTAACATTGATAAGTTTATATCTTTTTTATAATTACTTATTTATTGCAATGAATTGAGAAGAAGAATTTTAAAGAGTTGTACGTCAAGAATAATGATTTTGTTTGCTTTTGATTATTGATTCATGTGATATTGTGATTTAATTTTTTTTTCTAAATAAAATATAAGCCTGTACTTAAATGAGTATTGTTGTGTGAGAAGCAATAAGTTTCAGCATTTGACTATTTTGTTCCAGTAGATATTCCCATTCTTGGATAACTATAGGCTCACTCTGAGAAGGAGTTGGTCGGGTGGAGGGGGGGGGGGGTGCCTTCAAATAAATACTAAATTTTTAAGAAATAGTAATTTTAATTACGCCGATGTTTCGACCCACCTTGCAGATCTTCATCAGGGCGTGGCATGTGGCACTGCAGGAGGCAGTTGACCTATAGGCTCAATTGCTCGCAGAATTTTTCAAAGGGATTAACAGATGAAACAAGATAAGTTGATTTTTTGCATATATCTTAGCACAATATCTCCATAAGTAAATGAAGATTTAATGATAATAGTTACATTTAATAGTAATACTGCATGTCCAAATGTCAACCTAACTTTTTGTGGCATAAAGCCATCATCATTAATATTGTTCTATTGAATATTGACTTGCATGTTTGGTTTGTTTCTGAAATATCTAAACAAGTATACAAAGATGAATTCTATTATTTAATTTTCACATAACTCCTTCAGTTGTTATAAAAAAAATATGGTGCGCGCATCACACAACTTTCACTTGCCCCTCTATTTCGAAAATCAATTCTTGTCTGGCAATATTGTGCTATTACAAGAAGTTTTTTAAGCACAATTTTAATGCAGCTAAACAACATATTTTTGAATTTCGGTCATATCTATCAATATAAAAACTCATTAAGACCATAAAAATAACATAAACTCTAATTATTATATCGATTGTAGGCAATAAAAACCTTATAAGTGTATCAGTCTATTTGAATCACATAACTGCAGTCTCTTAGCTCCATAAAACTAAGAAACTGGAATAAATAGAATCTTACTACATAGTAAAAATTATAGTTTTTAAATCTCTATCACTTTTAACTTGTATTTAAATTCTTATTTTTTACCATTGTAAAATTTGCCAAAGTACAGTTATTTGCTTTTAAATACAGCATCCACAGGTCAAAAGTCGTCACACTAATTATAAATGTGGTAATTTCAAAAAGGAAATTTTTTTGGGAATAAATCAACGATGTATGCCTAATTATTTAATTATAATATAAGAATTAGAGTTATTAAACTACAATAAATTTATTTAATGTTATAAACATATGTTTTAAATATCCATGAAATATTTTTATATTCCACTTCTTCTTTCATACAAGTACAATGAAATAGTTTTTTAAACAATGCCATTGCTTTGATTTGGTGGATTTTAAATACTTTTTTTTTCAAGCTTAAATATAATTTTAAAATTTTACATTTAGTTATTGTTAATGATTAATAAAATGTATACTAAGAACAAAATCTAAAAATAGATGGAACGAGTATTGTAAAGATGAATATGGTGCAGAGCACCAAAAACTCATAAATAGATGAGACTGTTAAAAGAAGGATGTTTTTCTTACTTTCAACTTACTAAATTTAGATTTGTTTGGTATGTTATATTTGATTATAAAAGAGACAAAGCTACCTAAAAATGCACAAACATAGTTTACACTAATAACATCTAATACAGCCGATGGGTAGATGAAATCAACAAAGATGTAATAGAACTGCGTGTAGATAACTGAAAAGAAATAGCACAAGACAGGCAGAGATGGAGCAGCCTTGTTAAAGTAACAAAAGATCTAAAAGGTCTGTAATGCTAAACAAATAAAAAAAAAATATCAAAGACTTATTTCATCTCTATTTAGATTTCAGATATCCTTTGATATGTCTGTTTTGATTGTTGGTAATATTAATTTTTTTAGGTATAGCAATCGTGTAAACATTTCGAGGAGCAGAAGCTTTTTTATTAATCAAGGTGATTGATTTGGTTCGAATTTCTTTTTTTGTATTTCCTCTGAAAAAAATGTAAACAAGAAGTTCAACAATACTTAACAAACTGGCTCCAAGGAAAAGACCAGCTGTGCCTCCCATGCTCACTGGAAATGAATAACAGTTTCATTATTAACATACTTATATAACAATAACAGTTACATTATTAAAATATTTTGATAATAATTTAAAATATTTTTGTTTATATAATTGATTTACCAACTAAGTCGAGACGCGTCCTCACTACATTTCTTTTAAATCTCTGTGACGGAAGAGTATCCATAATTACAGATACTTTTGTACCATTGTCTAGAGATTCTTCATTTCTTTAAAATTATTTAAATATTTTAAAATTGGTTATGTGAAAATCATATTAAATATAAGGACAAATATAAAATAAATGAAACTTACGTGATTTGTGCTTTATTAATAATTGTGTACTCTGGTTCTATACAACTAGACATACAATTGCAAACAAGTCCCTTTTTTTCATTATCTTCTGTCCGCAATGCTCTTAATGTTTCTGAGAATAGTATGGATATAGTCAAATACGAAATATACTTAACTCAAAATATTTCTTATACAATAACAAATAAATGAGCTATATAGAAAAATAAAAACTGTATAAATATTAATAAAATGGTAAATCTTGTCTAATACTAAGGCGCTAGAGATGCTAAAAACAGAGAGAATAATTAGAATAAAATTATAATTCAACAATAATATTTCTCTTTACTCCCATAGAACAAGATGGTACACTAAAACTAAAGCTTTATTATCGTTAAATCTGTTTTTTTGTTTTCTTTTTCTTGAATGGAAAGCTCTGTACAGTGGCGGCCTTAGAACCAGGCAACCTGGGCAATTGCCCCGGTACAATGATCCGGAAGAGGAAGCCTACCTACCACTTGTTAGGGATAAAAAAGAGAAGAGAGCAGAATAAAATGATAAAAGAATAGGCCTTCTTGGCTGCAGTGTATCTTACCACAAACAAAAAAAATATGAGGATAATTAATTCTAGCCTATTGATAAAACAACTGAATTAGAGACGTATTGAATGAAATAAAATTCAAATATTACTAAATATAAAACACTTTATGAGATAATTAAATTTTTTGGGGGGTAGATGATGTCATTGTCTAGGGGTGCCAAATTCCTAATGCAGGCATTAGGTTTGTAAATAACGGTTAGTTTATTTAATACACAGTTCATTTAGTATTAAAATATAATAGATATTTTTATATTTATCACATAAAAAAAAACCTGTACCACTACAACCTATGAAGGGTTTTGGATTCAGTACTATTTAAGAAAAGTATTGTTTCTTGGTCTGCGGTTGTGCAAGGAGGTGATTTGACCGAGATCACGCTCAACCACCAGATTTTTCCTCTTAATTAATCATTTTAATTAAGGGTACCCACTTTATAGAGGCTGGGTGTGTCCCAGGAGGGTCTATCTACCCAGGATCGCCCCACGGCCAATGTAACAGAATAAATAATTTTTCTACCATCAGCCGGGATTCAAACCTGGGACGTTTAGCATTGGTAGCTCAGTACCCTATCATTAAGCTACCCCACTCCCATTTATTTATTTATCACCTAATAGATAAAAACAAAAACAAAAAAAAAAACTGCACCACTACAACCTATGAAGGGTCTTGGGTTTAGTACTATTTAGGAAAAGCACTATTTCTTGGTCTACGGTTGTGCAAGGAGGTGATTTGATCAAGATCACACTCAACCTCCATGTTTTTTTCTCTTAATTAATTATTTTAATTAAGGGTACCCACTTTATAGGGGCTGGGTGTGTCCCAGGGTCGCCCCTTGACCAATGAAACAGCATAAATAATTTTTCTGCCACGAGCTGGGATTCGAACCTGGGACCTTTATTACCATTGGAAGCTCAGTACCCTACCACTGAACTACTCCACTCCCATTTATTTATTTATCACCTAATAAATATAAAAAAATAAGTTTATTATTGGATACATATATGGATATATTATTATTATACATTATAATAATATTATATTATTGAATGAGTTTAATATTTATTTATTGGAAAGCTCGAAGAGCCATCTGCTTGATTAAAAATGAGATTGAAGAAACTTATGAATTATTTTATAATATTATTTTTCAAGTTTCCCAGGCGCTCATAATGTACCTACATTGAGTTAATGTGGCTTTATTCTATTTTCCAGCAACAATACCTATTTACTGCTTTAAACAACACTAGTATACAGTAACCGAGAGAAATGTACTTAAAACTGGAAAATTATAATTATTCTTATGAGACTTTCGTCTCAAAATAAAATTATATTTTCATACATTCATTTCAAAAGATACAAGTCCTTTTATTTGGTTACCTGAATATTCTGTGAGACAAGTCAATCCCTCAATATTACACATTGGAACTCCTTCTAAAATAGATTAATAGAGATTATATTCATCATTATCTACGGTTTAATTTTATCACATTTAAACGGTTAATTAATTTTTCAAATTACCTTGGTGGGGTATGAAATGATGAGTACAGTTACAGAATTCAATCTGTGCTTTCGTTCTACAGTTTACAACACAAGTTGAATAACTATAGTAGTCATATACATCGAGAATATTTTCGTGCGGAAATCTGCAATTTCTTTGCTCAACTGAGACATCTCTCAAAGCTGGATCATTATCAATTTCATTCACCTGACCCATGTTTCAAATGTTGGATAATTAGATTTTATGTAATAAAATATGTGAGAATATTAATTTTAGTGCTAAAACCATTAATAATTGAAATATATAATATCATTAATAAATATTTATTCTTATTTTCTGTTCAAATAAATATATTCAACACCAAATCATACGTCTGATCGTTTATCAACACTGTTAGGTAGCCTCTAAAGGAATGACCAAATTTGAAAGACAAGTGAGATATTATAGCTTGATCCAAGAAGCTTTCAACATGTTTTACCTGAATACAAAATAAACTGTTAGAGAAATAGCTGGAAGAGAAATATATGTGAAATATCCAAATTAAAAAGTTTTGAAGTAAAATCAAATTGAGCTGTAAAATAAACTTGAATACTTGAAATGGGAAATTGGAAAAAAAGTAGATAGAATTAAAGAAAATGTGGTCTGTAAAAACATCAGAACAGTCAGAGAAGGAAGATAAAAGTTTATAAAATAAGGAGTAACCAACCATAAAGTGATTGAAGCAATACAAAGTCACCAAAATGAAACTGATAATAAATATGTATTCTGCATAAATATTAGGAAAAGAAGTATTCTAAGACAACGTATTGTATTGAGTAAGAAAAGACAATATTTGTAAATAAATACAGAGGAAGAAATATAAATTATGACGTATTTCACACAAATGTTCCTGATCAAAAATAAGCTAGACATTTAGATATAAAGTTTGGATGAACAGAAGGAAGATTTGAAAAAAACTTTCAGTACGATTCAAAAGTATTAATTCCTTAGGGACTACTTTAAATAACTTTTAAAAAAATTAAGAGAACATTTGTCCTTGTATGAGGAAAGGGTCTAGCTTTAATTTCAGTAATTATAGAAGCACTGCATTCATCACTGTAGCCTTCAGATATAAAAAAAACTTAAATCAACAGATGACAATTATCAAGTATCCTTATCTTTCTTCCAGGATTCAGAAGATAGAAGAGTATACTTGATCAGATCTTGTTTCTGAAGTTTGATCTTAAAAAATAATAGGTGAAATTTTATTGGGCTATAACATTGGCTTAGCAAAATGTTTAGCCTTCTTGATAAAAATCTATTGCTGGATTTCTGTAATATATTAATACATTAATTATAATAATCATGATTTTTTTTATCTTACATTCGGTCCTATTGATAGCCTTTTTCAATTAAAAATAATCAGTCTTTCATGTTGATAAAATAATGTTAATAGTACCTGAAAAGACATACTGTAAACTGTTCCCCAATTTAATACAGCTTTTTCTTCAAGTGGGTGATTAATATAAGGAACGTCATCGGTAGAATGAATAAAAAGCTAGAATGTACCAATGAATTAAATGTATAATTAATTGAGAATGAAAAATCTCATAGCTTAACAATACAATTTTTAATTACCTTTGCAGCTTCATAAACTTGGAAACGCAATTTTCCTGGTCCTGTTTTCTTATTAGATTTAAGTACTAGTTTTTTCAACTTTCTAAAAAATTATATAATGGTTTATTTATTAAATAATGGTTATGTATGTATGTATGTTTTATGGAATTTTAATGACATTAAATAATAATTAATGTTAAAGCTTAATATGAACCAAACTCATTAAAATATTTAAATAAATCATAACCAAACTTATTAATTACGATTTTGTGTGAAGAGAATTTATTGTATAACAGAGTCCAAGCTCAGTTTTCAAAGGTAGAAATTGCGAACAACATTCGAATGGCTCACCATTCCATGTACAGTTGCCCAGAAATTCTTCACAAGGAGCCCTCACCTAATAAATAAATTATATTATGTGATACTGATAGAGGTTCAAATTCTGATTCTATTTTTAATAAAAAGCAATGTTTTAAATTTTTCATTCAATAATCACAAAGCATTAACATATGTTCTACTATTTTTATGAACTGTCATACCTGTTCAACTAAATAATTCAATTCTTCAGAACAGTTCATAGAATGTCCGCAGTGTGTTTTGCATGAGTAACATGTTCCATCAAAAAAAGCTATATCTCTTAAATAAAAGTCCATATTCATATTCCGTTTTATTCCGAAAAGCCTGTTTTAACAGATGTTATGAGGAAATCTATTAAAATGAATCTATCTCTATCATAGTTGATTTAGTATACCTGGTTCCAGAATCAAATATTTTATCTGGAGATTCATTCTCACAGATAGATACTGCAGGGAATGTTGTATTCCATTCCAAATAGGATGTTTCGACAACAAAACTCACAGCATTATTTTGAAAATTATACCATGAACCTTTTAATAATGAGTATGTTCCATACATTGCAGTTATAACTACACAAGCCCAAAACAATCTTAAAAAGAAAATACCATCTTTTAATGTAATTTTAATTCTTTGTAAGTGTTATGAAGGTTTTATACTTAAATGTACCCATTTATACGGAACTAGAACCAATTTTTTAATGCACATACAAAACAGTTATTATTAGAAAAAAAATGGTTCTGAGAAACTTACAATTGTTGGTTCCATATCATGTTCAATAGCAAAAAATATAAGATATATCACAAATATTTCTACAGGCCCAAGCCTACAACTGAATAAATATATGAAAACTTTCAATGTATTCATGTAATATGACACTAAGTATATTTTATTTTGCTGAATTATACCTTAATATGGTGTGAATGTGCTCTCAGAACTCTATTATAAATGTCCTTTATTGAGACAAATTGTAATATTTATCAATAAACAAATAATCAACTTGTAGTATTGCAAATTATACCAAGCATTTTAAAAGCAGAAATTTTAGCATGATGATTTAACCAAAATTATTTTGACTGACCACTTCATTATCCTAATAGAATAGAACTATTTAAAAAATCCTGCTAAAAAACGGCATGCTCGTAATGCATATGAAGAGCAATATTAGTTATTACAACCTGACATGTTTTTAATATATTTCTAAAAATTAGTTTGCCACAACATCAATTTTTTCATATGATTAGTAGCATGACTAAATAGTACAAATAAATAAGGAATTGAATAACTAAAAACAACAAGATTTTAATTAAATTTATGGTTAAAAAAACATATACAATAGAATAGAATAGAAAAATAACTTAATTCTGGGACAAAGTCTCCTAACAATTATACAAGTCAGTAAGTTAACTTTTGTTGCTTTATTCTTCAACTTTGAAAATATAAAAATAATATAGTTTTCCAAATATTAAAAATTTTAATACTATCAAATGTAACTAAACTATTGACAATTCACCTTTCAGTAATATGTCTCTTCGGTTCAGTAATATACCTGAGACCATGGATAGAACCATGATCAAAATATTCCTTTGTTTTAATTGGAATAAGTACAGTAGCATTTGAACAGAAAGACATTTTTTACTTCATCTCATGACATATCCAGATGAAAATACAAAAAAAATATATAAATCAATATATCTTATAATATATAGCCATCTAGATCAGTGTGATGATTATAACCATTGGCTGATCATATCTCTCTATCCATTAAAGCAATATGAGAATCCTTTTAACAGTGCATTATTACATCATGCAACCTTTTTTTTTCCTTTTAAGTTTGTTACATCCACAATCTGATCATGGAAGAGACAATAGCCTGCATGATTTTCAGAAACATTGCATTTGTTTCCATTTAATAATTATGAATAATTAATATAAAAAGATGTGTAATTTAGAATGTTTCCTTCATAAGTAGAACTTATGAAACATATATATAACATATTTAAATTGTAAATATAATGTAATTTGAAGTAGCTTTTTACTATTCTAATAGTTCAAGAATTGATAAAAAAAGTATTATGTTTTACAAAATATTTTATATTTGTTCATACCACAATCACAATTATAAAATAATAAATGTTAAACAACATTAAAGATTTTAATAAAATAGACCTACACTGCAAGCAGTAGTATACACACATACCCTACTTAATACGCCACTGTTGTCACAACCTTTATTGCCTGCAAGGCAAGGCAAGAAGAGAGAGAGAGAAAAAAAAAGATTGCTGAACTAGGAAAAATATCCATTATAAATGTAGTGCAACAGTGATTCACAGAAGTAGGAAGAACCTTCCTAATAAGTGAATAAAATAAAGACATTATATTAGAATATATTTTAAACTTTTTATGACCCATAAAAAAATAATATTACAAAATATTAAAAAATAAGTTTTATAAACTAACCAACTATGAGAAACAGTTTTTTAAATATGATGGTTGTGGGTATGGGAAAAAATAGAACAACAAAAAAAGTTTACAATGTACTATGTGTCAATGTTTCTGTATAAATAAAACTGAAAACATTTTCACCATAATCTATTCTCAACTATATTGAATCCATGTGCAATAATCTCTGTGTACACAATTATAAATAAAATTTAAATTATCTACAGAGGATAATTAAAGATATTTTTACAACATAATTTGATTTCAATAATAATGAACTGTCTAATTTCTGAAGTTTGAAATATGTTCTTCTTACAGACACTTCATTGATTGAGATTGATAAATGATCGTGAAGTTAAATATTTCTTCTTTTTTTAAATTTTATTTGTACTGCAGTAAGCATTATTGTTCCCTTTTATAGAAAAGTTACACAATATATAATATTAACAACATATGAATAATAAAGTTTAACATATAACAGAATTAACAATAAAATTAAATTATAGTAATGTTTTTATTTTAATATCAATGTTGAAACATTATTTAAATTATAAATCATACTTAAAGGAATATTAGCTTATAAGTAATTTATAAAACAGTAAATAATCCTCTTCAGAATTTCATACAATACTTTATTCAGTAATTAACTATATTCTGACATGGTATGCCTTATGTGTTATACAATCATTTATTTTTCAGTCATCAAACATTAAAAATTGGCAATTAGTTTATTGAGTAGGAGGCTCAAATTGGTGTATACAAAAATAATACAATTAGATAAAAATACTGTCCAAGTATTTATTCGATTAACAATTTTTTTTTTTAGAACCATCTTATGGTAAGTAAGGTATAAATATCTTAGATTTGCAACTTTGATTATTTAAATTTATCACTTTCTTCATTTCCCTTACATTTTTTCTAGTTTTGTTATTTCCAATGGCAGATTTTAAAGTACGCTGTCTTTGAAAAATCATGAAGTATAACCATTCAATTAAACTAAGAAGACTTACCCCCAAGAATAACCCTGCTGTTCCACCTAAACAAACTAAAAATAAACTTATTTAAATATTTATTAAATAATCTTTGTAAACAATCCTTAAAACATTTTAGCAATAATAATAATAATAATAAAAGGTATTAAACTTTCTCATGTTGTTCATAAATTCTTTATCAAAATCTACTGGAACACATTTTACTTTTATTTAAGCTGGAATTATTCAGTTCCTAAGGTCATCTTTCTTTGCTCAAAAGTATTAGTGACTGACATTTGCAATTAGGATTTTGTAAAGTTTTACTTTTGTTTATCTTTATGAAGATTTATTATTAGATTAATGAATCTCGGTAGAGAAAAATTACATCTGTTTGCTATTGAAATCCTTCAATTTCAATAATTTTGTCTGTCCAATGTTACAATCCATTCTTTATTTGGAAGTTATTTGGCATGTTAAAATTCGTATATAAGAGTTCTTTGAGTTGGGAAAAACGAATATCAGCTTTGTTCCTCACTTAAAAAAATATTTACTCTCATATTGCTATATCGATTGGTTCAAATTACGCTCATGCTGTAGATATCTGTCAAACATAATATTTATTCAATACTGGTCTTGTATCTATAGTAAATATTTTTTAAGATATAAACAAAGTTGATATTCATTTCTCACAACTCAAAAAACCCTTAAATACAAATTTTTATAACAATTAAAAAATTGAAATTTTAGCCTCGGCTGGATCCTTCAAAATTTTGTCAACAACCAAAAAAATTGTAATAACTTTAGAACGACTCCACTGACCAACAAAAAAATTATTGATGGTTTAGAGCTCTATATTCTACATGAAATGCTTTGAACCGACTACTGTAAACTAATTAGAACCCAAGCTATAATATAAACATTATTCAGAAGTTTTTCTTAATTTCTTGTTTAAAAATGAAGGAAATCGAAAAGTTATCAATGTGGGTTTGAAAAGTAGTAATTAAACTTTCCAATTGTTGTACTAACGTTGAATTTGGAGAAAATACTGAGAATTTATGAATGCTTTAGTTATCGGCCTGAAAAAAAATCCTCTAAGAAAATCAAGTATTAAATTTTGCAATTTTTAATTTATATCAAAATTCATATTTAAGATTTTTAAAGGATACTAAAAACAAATCTAACTTGCTTTTTCTAAAAAAAAAAAAAAAAAAAATTGATTTGGCCTACTTTGCTGGAAGCGTAGTAGTAGGCTTTTGTAATTTATGATAAATTATAACTCATTTAATATAATAGTGAATATATTTTTCTTATCCTGCACAAAAAAAGAAACCAGTTGATATATATGTATATTTTTTTATTTATTTTTTTTATTTGGGTTTTCCCACAACATAAGGAGTCATATCTCCAACACCCAAAAGCCAATGTTCCCTGTCCGTCCAATCCCCTTCACGGAGCCCTCTGGCTGCCATGCATTCCTCCACGTCCTCTATCTATTTCTTCTTTGGCCTTCCATGCTTCCTTCTTTCAGGTGGCATATAGTTATCAATTTTCTTTGGCCAGCAGTTCTCATCCATCCGCATTAAGTGGCCATACCACCATAACCTTTTGGTCCCGATCACTTGAAGGATTTTCTTTTGACATCCGACCTTGTCTCTAATTGCTGCCTTTGGGATCCACTTGATTCTAGATCTGCCACAGCTTCTTCTCCAGAAATCCATTTCCATGCAAAGCAATGTATTTTCCCCGCTTTTTTTGTAATTGTCCAAACTTCTAATTAGTAGGTGGCTACACTTTCTACAAAGGAATGGTAGATCTTCTTTTTAGTTTCCAATCTTATTTCCTTACTCCATAGGGTTGAATTTATCGAACTTATTATTCTTTTCTCATTGTTTATTTTATGTTCGATGTGAACCTCACTACCTCCCTTTGAAGATAGCTTAAAAATTCAGGCAAAGCAAACGCAAAAATAAATAACGAATTTTGTTTGAAATTATATACAAAATTTTTTCTCGGCTCCTAGGGCCCATTGGAACGAAAACCGGGATATGTGTCTAATATTTATCGGAGTAGTATCAATAAAAAAAATTAGGTTGAAATTCGTGACCACCCCCATCTGCAGCCTCCATCTGTAAGTTAAAGTCAATCTAATTTTAAAATACTTCTACCGATTTGACCAAATTATTATTCTGAAGAGTTTTCTTTCTTCAGCTCTTTTATTAATCCCCACATATATTATTACAGTAAGGCTCGAAATCGGTTTTGCACCAAATATAAGCTCCTGTGATGCTCAAATACCATAAATGGAGTATTGTTGGATTCAGAATTTCATGGGGGGGGGTTAAAAAATCGTACTCTCTCTTTTGTTTTTCTTTCTAAAATAAATGAAGTTGATAAAAACATTTTGCTATGCTTCAATACTGGAACGCTGGTAAGTCTGTAGATCCTTCGGAACTATCAGGCTCTGAGTTCTTAAAATCAAAAACGTACTATTTTTGTGATAGCACTAGGCAAAGCGTTCGTATACATACAACCACACGTTAATTGTAGTACTGTTATTGAATACATGTCTCATTTCGTTGACTTGAGGCCCCTATGATCGAGAGAGGAGGAGTTTATATTATTTATCGAAGACGTTTTTTGCCAGTAAGCCAAATCATTGTTAATTCTCCACCAAATCCCAAGATTAAGCCACTTTTGAATTTTTCCTTCTCCTTCAGGTGGGCAAAATATTTCAATCACCCCAAAAATTCCGCCAAAAAAGTTTATTTGTGAATAACTCAAAAATTACACACTTTTCCCTTGGTTGTTTCCATGATTACATAAAAGATTACTAAATTCCCTACAAAAGGAAAACAAAATCATCGAAATCGGACAATCTTTGGCAAAGATACAACTTATTGAAATTTGTAAACATGTTGGTTCCAAACATTAATGAAGTTTTAAATTAATTTTTGTTTCCCTTATCGATCGAGAAAGTAACAATTGATTTCTTTATCTTATGATACGTTGCATTATTTTATTTTCTTATTAATTTGACATTTGATCACTTAACAACATGCTGTGCAAATTTTTCACACCTGCCTACTGGTACATTAATATATCTAAAATCCTAAAACCTTAGGTTTATCAGCAAATGGATAAGTCTGATACTCACCGACAAGATCCATTCTGGTTCTCACAATATATCTACGGAATCTTGTTTGAGGCAAAGATGCCATATAAATGCCAATGAATGAGCGATTTTCATCTTCATATCTAAAATTTATAGTATTATTTAATTTAGATTAAAACTATAACTATGGCTCAGATGTACAAAAACTTTGTTTATGATAGTATCCACAAATGCTTGCTTCAAAGAAAACCAATTATTTATACTCATGTTAAAATCACTATATATATATTTTTTAGATGAAAACCTGAGTTTTCAGTTAACTTACGGTGCCAGAATTGTCTCAATTACATGATGATCGTGTTCAGTGCAACTTGGTATGCATGGGCAAACAAGACCAGGCTTATTACTATCGATTGTTTTTAAAGATCCAATAATTTCTGAAAGTTAAAATTGAAATTATCAATTTAATCAATGAAATTTCATGACTGACTTTTTTAGGAAACAGTATCAATCAGACTAACTTGAATTTTTTGAAAGGCATGCCAAACCACTAATGTTACAAGTTTCAAAATGAGCTAAAAAAAGAGGCAAAAAATCAAAGACAAAAAAAATTATGCTAATATTAAAATTGTGTTCTAATTTATCTACGTTTGGTTATATATCAATATTATTATTGTAATGTATTATTAATAATAATAGTTATTATATTACATCATTACTTTACATTACAGTTACTATATCAATATTAACATTAACCCTAAGCTTCCATAAAGTTGGAGGGATGGCCAAATTAAAATTACGATATTTATATTTGATCGCTTTTCTGCTGATGTTATTTAGCCAAAAGTATTATGCAAGCATGAATGTATGTTTTATTTTTTCTCTTTATTAATCTATATTAGACATTATTATATCTGATCAGAGACATTATAAAAGTAAAAAAATAGATGTGGAGTAAAAATAGTATATATAATAAAAGGTAGGTAATAGTTTATTGTTTTGATGGAATAATAAAGAATTCAAACTAAATCTAACAATTGGAAATAATGGATCAATTCAATATGACAACTCAAAAGCTGCCACAAATAGATGTTTAACAGAGCATAAATCTGATCCTAACTAATGAATTAATTTTTTTTTATTCAATGGTATGCTTTCACAAGCAAGCTATAGATATACTCTTTGACGATTTAAGGTGACTTGAATTTAGGGATTCAACCTCATTTCAGCAAGTGTTCTAGTAGTTACTGGACTAATTGTGCCACTACAAACCTTTAGGATTATTTAAGTCATCAGAGAAGCAAATGAAAAAAGTTCTTGAGTTAAAACCAATTGGAAACTTCGGGGATGAACATGATAGAGATGCGAGTAAAAGAGTCAACTTTCTCATTATCTTAGGAGCCAAGAACAGCTTTAATGTAAATATGATAGGAAATAAAATAAAATATTACAGCCTTAAGATGAGTATGCAATAATCTAATCTAGTTTATTAAGAGAAAATTAATTATAATTAATAAAATTTAGAGGTATCCTATATTTTAACTTTTTACTTATTTTTGGCATAAAATGATGCAAACATTGACAAAAGTTGATTTGTGCTTTAGCTCTACAATTCACTATACACCCTGAATAACTATAATGCTTGTATGCTTCCAAATTATTTTCATAGTGGAATCTGCACTTTCTTTGTTCAATAGATATTGTGTCCAATAGCAAATCATTCACGATCTCGGTAACCTGAAACATCAGGAATAAAATTTACGAAGAAAACAATCTATAAAATCAACTTTCGAAATTTTGAAAACTTCAATAAAATAAAAAACAAATCAGCTACAAAAGATATGAGATTATCAGCTATAATGAAAATATATATGTAGGCTATTCTAAAAAAAAAAAAGAAGATAGATTATATAAATACCGGAGCATTCTTTCAAATAGGTGTGTCCAATTTATAATTTTTTATTATATATTTCGTTATTAAATAATTTTTCTTTGATTGATACCAGAGAGTTTTTTCAAAAAAATAACTATCCTTAACACTTTAATATCCATTTATTTAAACATCAAACCAGAGGCGCACACTATCTATTGTGATTGGGGAGGGGGATGGACAAAATGCTCATCTAATTGCAGTACAAATACACCCAATGATGTCTATAAACTACAATTTAAATTTATTTATTGATCTTATTAAGTAGAAATCTAAATAGTAACTTACTGTGAATTTCATTTTAAAATTTGATCCCAATATTACTGTATGTTTAGCTTCTTGTGGTGTATTGATGAAAGGTACATCTTCAGTTGTATGCATATATACCTAAAATAAGTAAATAAACAGTAAAGTAGAGTATAATTTTTGGTAATACTATTTTATATCTTTGGAAAGTTGTTAATAATGTACTTATATACAGTAAAGAGATTTTGGGATAGTTTGATAATTATTCAAAATTTGTAATGCTAATGTTATATTATTAGTATATTATTCTGGTGAGACAAGTTTTTGTTATTGGCAAAAGAAACTGAAAATGATTTATCTTTAATAAATAGGTTTAAACTCATGAGTTCTTTGAATGACTATGAATATAAAACTTTATTAAACTATTGTTATGTACTTACAATAACATCTTTTGAAACTTTGAATTCAAGTCTTCCAGGACCAATTTCCTTGTTAATAATAAATTTCTGGGAATCGATTGACCTAACAAAAAATATATATACTACAGATGTTTTTATTAAATCCAAATAAATTTTAAATTAATGTTAATGATAAAAATAGTTACCCAATAACATGAATCGATTTAAGAGAATAACATAGGCCTATCTCAGTAACTAAAGGTTTAAAAGCCTCACAGCAATTTATAACCAGACCCATCCATAAGCAGTCAGAAAAAAGAGTATGGCAAGGTTGTCGCACCTTCAACAATTGTTTTACAATATTTATTAATCTTAATAGATATAATAATCTGATTATATGAAGTCTTTTATTTACTTTTTCAACTAGAGTTGCCAGATCTTCAGTACAATTTATGTTATTACCACACAACTCTTCACAGGAATAACAATTTCCATCAAAGAAAACTATTTCTTTTAGAAATGTATCCAGATCTAGATCGTGATGTTCGCCAAACAATCTAAATAAAATTTCTATTTCTTTAGATATCGTTTTAAGTGAATTATACTTCAGTTTGTAAAAATGTCTGATTATCAACCGTATTAAGATTATTCTACATCAATTCAACACAAGGTCTGAACTTCACCATCTCAGGTTTCCTTGAATCATCCACTAGCTGATCCAGGGAAGGGGCCCAGGGTGTGTTGGCACACACATACAGGCGTATGTATGTATATACATAAACACACACACACAAAAACATATATATATAAACATTTTTATTTTATATTATTATATATATTAAGATTTTTGAGCATTTGCAAATAACGTTTCTTCTCCTTCATAAGTTTTTTTTTTCTGAAATTTTGGGAGGATGTGACTATTTTTCCACCTGAAGGAGAAGATCTTGAAGAAGAAAATGAGGACCCAATCATTGGATTTGATGAAGATATGGCATACCGCCAAAAAACACCTTTGTGAAAGAATATACAGAGTTTTTCTCAGTTCTTAATGGCTAAAATCTAGGGGGCGGGAGAGGGGAAGGAGAGGGTGATTCTAGACAATATTTCTAACAAAAAGTTCATTTAATGTATTGGGCCGATTCAGAACAGTAACGGAGTTAAAACCAATTTTATATTTTCTTAAGTTGGTCCCATTTTTTATTGAATATGAAGGAATCACTCAAAAACTGTTCAAGATAATTAAATTCTAAGTACACTATTGTAAATTAGACAAAATTTTGTTTGAGAAAACAGGGATTAAATTTATTAAGGTCAATGATGGTCCTTAGAACACTAGGTGTGAGAAACTGGAAGGAAAGAGCCAGCAATAGAGACGATTGGCATGCTATGATTCAGGAAGCCAAGGCTCACCCTGGGCTGTAGAGCTACATAGTAAGTAAGTAAGTAAAGTCAATGATACTTTCAAAGGGACTTTCAGGAGGTCTAATACTGTCGCTGTACTGCTGCAGTTGCAGTACCCATACAGGAGCAGCATATCTCTGTATTCTCGATTCGTGAAATAATTCGGCTTAATGGTGGGCTTAGCATTTGTAATGCTAAATATTAACTGATGATAAAGTCGTTCTCTTGATGTTAAATAAGAATGTGGAACAAAGTTCATAAATATGATGCATTGTTATAAAATGTTGATCTTCACATGTCTCCTGCAATAATACCTCCCTTTCTATCACTGTACAATGTGTAGGTTGACCACCATTATTGTTGCCCAGAATTAATTAGTGAGGGTTACTAAATGATTATCTGACACCGTAAAGGTTGAAAACCTCTGGATTAACATTATTTTCTCTTAAAAATAAATGGTTTAATAACTCAATAGCGAGAAACCTATGATTTATCAAGAAACGCATCTTTGCGTTATTGGACCTAATCAATTTCCCTTTTATCTTTGATATTAATAAATTTATTCACTGTTTTCTCAAAAACATTTTGTCTACTTTACGATGGTGTATTTAGAATTTAATTATCTTGAACAGTTTGTGAGACATTCCTTCTTATTCAATAAAAACACTACCAAATTAAGAAAAAAAAATTGGTCTTAACTCCTTTTCCGTTCGAAATTGGCCCTTACATCAAATGAAATTTTTTTTATCTTGAATCACCCTCCAGATTTTGGCCATTATGAACTGAGGCACCCAATATAAAGATAATATAAATTTTTTTATGTTCTTAATTTTTGTTATTTTTATTTATTTATTTATTTTTCAATGATGGTGAATATTCTTATACAATAGCTCATTGGGAGATAGAGTAAATGATGTAGATAACGTATGGTATGGCCATCCTGATAATATTAGATAATAGAAGTTAAATAATTTTTATAATATTGAATTCTTGATAAATGTGTATTTTAGAGGAAGGAGATGGTCCGGGGTGGCGGTCATAAATAGCCTAAAATAGTGGAAAAACTATTTTATTTCAAGCCAACTTCTGCAGGTCTGACAAGAACCAAAAGGATATAGAAAATTATGAAAGTTACATAATATTTAATTAAAAATTATAAACAAGATGAATAAACTTATTGAAATGATAAACAGTAAGTACATTGAAATATTAAAAACAATAAACTATATAAACAGAGTAAACTAAGTAACAATATCCTAAACTGAAGTAAATAAATGGTAACAATTGTTGTAGTATAATATATAATATAATATAAGCAATTATGATTATACTCCTACAGAATTCAAGGAGAGATTGGAAAAAAAAACTGAAATAATGGACATAAAGGGATGTGAAGAAAATGAAAAAAAAAATAAATAAAAGAATAAATATAGAGACTTACAGGTGAGTTCAGCAAGGAGTTTAAGTTAAAACTGGGAAATCTTGGATAGAGCATCCTTTGGGAAATTTGCTGACCTAGTTGGGGGAGAGGTGAGGATGTAAGTAGTAAAAACAAAACAAAACCTGGAATATTACAGTATCTAAAATTTGAAGATATTGATGGATATGAGAAAAAATAAGATGGTCTTTCATTTTTGTTTTTATTCACATTGTACCTCAATCTATAATTTCTTAATTCTATTATGTATGTATATGTATATATTTATAATTTATTAGTTCATAAATATCGTATTTTTTCTTGTATCCATCAATATCTTCAAATTTAAGATACTGTAATATTCCAGGTTTTGTTTTGTTTTGACTACTTACACCCTCACCCTCCTCCCCCTACTAGGTCAGCAAATTTCCCCAAGTTTGCACAGTTTTAACTGAACTCACCTGTAAGTCTCTATTTTTATTTATTTTATTTTTTCCTTTTCTTCACACCCCTTTTTATCCAATGTTTCATATTTTTTTTTTTCAATCTCTCCTTGAGATCTGTTGGAGTTTATTCATAATTGCTTATATTATATATTATACTACAAAAATTGTTACTATTTATTTACTTCAGTTTAGGATATTGTTACTTAGTTTACGCTGTTTATATAGTTTATTGTTTTTAATATTTCAATGTACTTACTGTTTATCATTTCAATAAGTTTATTCACCTTGTTTATAATTTTTATCTAAATATTATGTAACTTCTACAATTTTCTATAGCCTTTTGTATTTTGTCCGTTCTAGCCCTGAAATAGACCTGCAAAGTCGGGTCGAAACGTTCACTTGAAATAAAATAGTTTTCCCACTATTATAGTCTATTCATGATCAACACACCGGACCATCTACTTCCTCCATTTTTATAATAGATTGGACCTGGTTGCAGCGACACTGGTGGTGCTCAGGTCAGAGTCTGCCTCACAGACGGATATAGCTGGGAAGGAGGTGTTCCAATGCAGCCGATCTCTGTCCACGACGAAGGCGATCGATTTGTAGTAGTAATCGTCGTACGTCTTTAGAGCTAGGTATACCAGGCCGTATGTTGCCAGCACGCAGGATATCACCCAGAATAAGCTGTTTAAAAACAAAATTTTAAATTATCAAATAATTTTTATTATTATTTATGAAATTTACAACTGTATACAAATTATTATACATTCAGTATGTGATATAGAAAAATACACGGCATGACAAGGCTTGTAGAGAATCTACCCATTGGTATCACTCTAATAAAGTATCAGGAGGCAATCTTCTTATCAGATGCTTAGGGGATTATCAGAGATCGAGAAGGAAGCAAGATTAGAAACGAGAGGATTAGGTTGGTTCTGAAGATTATCATAGAAGGATAGGTATCTGGATTAGGCCAGATCGGAAACATATGGAATATTCAAATCGTTATGGATTACTTTATTTACATTAAAGTTAATATTTACATTAAAGATTTTAGATTGTAAAGATTGGATACGAGAGGAATTCGATGGTTTAGCGGAGCCACAAAGCTTAACTCCGCATGTCCAAATAGGTCTTATTATGGTTATGTATATCAGTCTTTTGTAATTAATTGAATGTTTAGAGCGTTTGTCTAGTAAGTGCTGAAGTAGTTGCAAACATCAAGCAGTTTTTTTGTCGTTTATCAAATAATTAAATCATGATTGTATCTAAAATCTTTAAGAATCAGTTTAATGTATATGCAATAATTTTGAATAAATGAAAGAAAACTGTATTCGTTTATATACATACATTTTATATGATGTGTATTTATCTGGGAATATATATATTACATAGTCTAGTATTTAAGATTTCAAACAGTTTCAAATACAATCTGATGCTCCCTATACCAGTGGGTCCAATATTATAGGAAAAGGTTTTTTTTTAACTTAAAACTTCTTTAGTCGCGTTTTGCACTTAGTGGAGAGTGAATTGGATTGAGCCGTCAGATTTCCGATGTGTAACGCTCGGGTAAAGTCGCCTGGATTCGGCTAATTGAAGTGTTTTTACATATGGATTAAAATATCTCAAAAACTACAAATCGGATCTGCATATTGTTAGCGAGAGAAACGTTCAACATTTCATCCTCTTTGTAATGAGACATTATTCAAAATTGTATCTTAACGCGACGTCGTGTTAGAGAGGCGAAAAGAGAATATAGTACCGAATAACAAATAATATCGAGTTTTATTATTATGGATTAAAATATCTCAGAAACTGAAAATCAGGCCTGAATACTGTAAGCGAGGGAATTCTTCAGTATTTCATCCTCTTTGTAATGAGCTATTATTTATAATTTATATTTCATTATTAATATCGCCTTGTTGATGTTTTCACTTATTTCGTTTGGTCTAAAGCACCTTAATTTTGTTTTAATGTTGATTATTATGTAAAACCAATAAATATAATATATATATACATATTAATAATAATAATAATAATAATAATGTTTAACCACGAGATATGGTTGATGTTTTCACTTCTTTCGTTTGGCCTAAAGCACCTTAGTTTATATATATATATATATATATATATATATATATATATATATATATATACATCTATATTAATTAATACATATTATTATTAATATGTATATATATATATATATATATATATATATATATATATATATATACATATTAATAATAATAATAATAATAATAAAAGGTTTAGCGAACCCGAAGGTTCG